GTCATCTGAGCCACTTTCAGAGAAGTTATGCTCGAATAACCACTTTGAAATACCTTTATGGCCAGTACTGTAGGTCATTTAACTTTGCGGTTGGGATTTTCTTGAAACTTGGCCAGGATACTCCTTGAGTCACCAAAACAAGATGCTGAAAGTCTGAATTCCTAGTTTTTGAAAAAGAACACCTCGAAGTCGAAGAAATCCCTTGAAATCCATTAAAATAGGCAAATTTGGATATTTGAGCCCTCATTTCTCGAAAACCCGGGATTCGTGCAGGCTGAAAATTTCAGAATAATTTTCTGATACATCAAATAACTTTTCGGCCAATTTTCAAAGAATTCCCAACCGCAAAGTGAAATGACCCGTCAGATGATCTCTCAAAAAAAAAATTTTTGCATTTTTTTTTTCACATCTTTTCATGAAAAGATGCTGAAAATAAGCTGAAAAGGCTTAGGAGATTCTAAAAGGCTTCAAAAAAGGAGCTCGCAAGGCCTTTTTCCATCATTTGAGAAGCTTTAACAGAACCTTTTTAGCTCCTTTTTAAGGTCCTAAAATTATATTTTCCTCTCACCTCTGCTCCTTTCTCTTTCGATCAAAGGACAAAATTCAAAAAGGCAGTGTTTGTCCTTTGTTTGCTGGTAAATAAAAAAAGGTCAAAAGATTTTTTTTAGTCAATCGACTTGAGGGTGTAGGATGGAATTTATTGGAAAATTTGAAATCTTGAACTTTCCAATTCGAGTTTTTACGTTTGGAAAAGAAGAACTTCTGAGAAAAAATAAATTAGAATTTCAGATGGGGTTTGGAGTGGAAATTTGATCTGAGTGAATTGAAAATAGTCTTTTTAGAACTGTAAAAAACTCCGAGCTGTCCAAATTTCACTCTACGTTGAGAAATCGCTGTGGAGCGTATATTCATTTTACAATTGAGCTCGATTTTTGGTTTATTTCAGAAAATCACTATTTCTTTTTTTCAGTAGTTCATTTTCATTTGTGACTTTAAAAAAAGAAGATTAAAAAATTTACTGAATTTTAACTAGAAAAACTGTTCATTTTTATTTTTATACCATGTAGAGAAAATGAATTGGGTGATTTTTCTTTTTTCCAACCTAATTTATGAAGGCTGAGTCTTGAAATGCATCTTCATAAATTGCGGATTTCAAACAACTTACAAGGAAAATCAATTTTTTTTTTCAGGAGAATCCTAAAATATTTTCCAGAACACTTCTTGATGTACCAAAAGGAGTTTCTGAAAGTCTCATACTTCAAAAATTTCTAGTTTTTGAGGAAAGACCCCCAAAATACACCAAAATAGGCAATATTTCTACTTTGACCCCTTGCTTCTCAATAAATTAGCAGTTTTGCAGGTTGAGACTTTCAGAATATTCTTTTGGTACATAAAGAAGTGCTCTGGCCAATTTTCAGGCAATTCCCAACCGCAATGTAAAATGGCCTTCCTTGTTAAGTGAACCCTAAATAGCTCAGAAAAGGAAGAGTTTTCAACTTCCTCATAATAATTCTTGAGCAGACGCTATTTTTTTTCAAATAGGAGCCAATTTTGGCCTTTGCTCTTACTAGGGAACGTTCAGCAAAGTTTCAGCAAAAGTGCAATCGGAAGGGCGGGGGGGGCGGCAAAAAAACGTTCCCTGGTTAGGAAGAAAATAGTCTTTATTTTGACCTGTTATCATTGATTCTGAATCAGCGTTCGTTTTTCAAAAATATGCCCCACTCTTTCATGTGATTTTCCTTGTCCCGGGCCCGCCTTGTGATAGCGGCGACGTCTTCGTGACAGACGATCTCGATTCTCGACGGCCGACGTCTTCTTTTCCATTTTTCGTTTCGTCGGCTGGTGGGCGGCGTCGTCTCTTCTCCCCCCGCGTCTTGTCGAAACCAACCGAAAAAGTGAACAAGACCGTTCCATTCTGTCCCCCCACCGTTTTTTAACCGACGCCTCACCTGTTTTCCTACCCCAATAAGTTACTCATTCCGACTTCATTCGTCTCAACTACTCATTCTTCTGATTCCTCTGGAATTCCTTCCGGCTTATGGCCAAACAGAGCGTCTTTCACGCCAGCCATCCGTCCCAGGAAACCATCATCTCCGTTCAGTCCAACGGCACCTTGGACAATGTTAAGGTGTCTTTTTATCACTTTTTCAAGATTTCGAGGATTTTTCAATGGTTTGAAGTTGGCTATATTACGCTGTTTTTCTGAATAGCGTGGCTGATTTATTCAAACTTTCGATATTTTCATAACATTTTAACCAATATGATGGTTCAAAATGGTTATTCAACGATAAACTGCATTTATCATGACTGAAGGTTACTGAAAGGTACTGGTTTTTTTAAAGCGAAAAAAATCTGATAACCTAAGAATATTATTTGAAAAAAACCTATTCAAATTTTTATCTAAAAACCAAGTTATATACAAAGTTTATTGCAAAAACCGGTTTTTCATGTTTTGAAAGTTCTTATGATTGTTTTTTTCACATGACAATGCACTGTGCTACATTCACCTGAAGTACGATTCTCACTAATATATCCAAAAACACTTCAAAAAAATAAATTTCGATTTAACACACTAAAACTTGGGGAAGGAAGCGAAAAACACGGCGTTCTTGATTTAAAAAATAACTCTTCAATTTTTCTACTATTCTTTAGGAAAGACGTATCATTATCCTTTGAGTTAACCGAAAAACTCGTGTCAGAAAAAAATGGCGTGTTTTTTTCCATTTCTCGGCTACGGCCAGGCTCTCATGACGTTTTGTCCGTAATGTGGCGCGTGTTTGCACAAATTTCGCGTGACGTGTACTTTTTAAATTTTTCATTTTATTTTTTAAGTTATTTTATTTTGTTCTTGTTTTCAATTTCAATTTTTCTTACAGTTCAAAAGTAATTCCGAAGGCTTTCTTGCTGTATAAACCAGTGGAGAACCCACTATCTGGACTATTTTCCTCAAAAAAGAATTTTTTGAAACTTTCATTTTAGTGAATTTTTTTTTAAGAATAAAAAAACTGTCCCCATTTCTTTTTTGATTTTTGATTCATTTCCTTGTTATCAATACTTCCAAGAATTCTCCACCAAACCGATTGGGAAAAATTCTTCGGTTATCTCCTGTCAAAAGATTTATGATGCGTTCGGCCGCCACCGCCCGTTTTCCACGTCTTTTTTTTTGCTGAATCTTCATCATCGTCGTCCATTTTTCTTCTCGATCGACTCGCTGCACTGTTATCGATTGATTTATATTCTGATTTGAACTGGACAAAATCAAATCTCAGCGAGAAGAAAACTGGCGGGCGAAACCGTGATGGGATATCATGACCACTAGTTACTCGTACGTCGATATTGATCCCGAAGTAGAAACGCTAGGTTAGTGTGGATTTTTTTTCAGATTTGTCTTGAAATTCACATGATTCCTTTGTTCTCGTGGTCCAATTTCTAACATATTTGATTTTTCTCTGGGAATCTGTGGGCCTATTTTTTTGCGATTCATCGTTCTCTTCCTGTGATTTGATGTTCATTTTTACTCGCAAAATTTCTCGAAGTCACTATAATTTTTTTTTTAATATATAGATGATATATTAATGCCTGAATTAGATAGAAAAATGAACTTTTTATTGAATAAAGAAAAAATTGCTACGTTTTACCAATTTTTCTAATTTTCACTTTTCAACTCGCCCATTAATTCGAAAAAGAAACCATTTTCCATGTGAAGTTAGCAGAAATCAAGCGAAAAAAGCAATTTCCATGCAACCTACGTGAAGAATTTTTACGTTCTTTTCATGATTTTTCAACCAGAAAACGTGGGAAATGAATAGTTTTCCTGCTTTTTATTTGTTTTATTTTTTTCTGTCACTTTGAGCTTAAATTCTCTATTTTCAATTGTGAAATAGCTTTTTTCTCTTGTCTCTACGTTGATCAAATAAGTTCTTAGAAACAAGTTTTCTATTGTAGTGATTAAAAATGTTCTAACAAAATCAAAGCTCGAGATTTCACGTTCAATAGTCGAAAACAAGACGAAATTTCCAATAAACTACAAAAAAAAACCGGATTTTTGTCACCTTTTGTCCTTGGAGTGCAAATAAACATAAAATTCGTCCGTTAATTTATCGTTTTGTTTTTCGAAACGCTCTATTTTAGATAATTCACTGAACTTTTCAACTTGGTGTGGTTTTCGAATAGTCAGGGTATGGTTATTTTATGTAATTTTAAATTTTGGAGCAAATGTCGTGAAAAAAAGCTACGGGAAGCTGTCACTGTGTGCTCCATTGATAAGGGCTCGATTTTTTTTTTAAATTAAAGAAAGTTTTTTGAGCCGTGAAGCGCAGTTCAGCTTACATCTGGCTCTTTTTCGAGACACTAAGTTTTTTTATTATTCGAAATGAACTTCAATTTTATTTATATACCTCAGGAAATAATGATTTTTCTTTCTTTAAATCTTAATCTTGTCTCGTTCTTTTTGCTAAACTCGAGTCGGAGGGGTCTCTATAGGGACTAGTTTTTTTCTTTTTTTCACGCGATAATTCACTTGATAAATCAAAAAAAGTTAATTCCTTAATTGGCCACTTGAATTTTTCACCTTCGTAGTTTTTTAAAAAGCTTACTAGACTTTAGGTTAAACTTGAAAAGCTTTTCTGGGAGATTCTGGTCTATTTATAAGTGGCTTCTTTAGTAGTTTTTATTTTAATTGTTCTCATCAAAAAACCCTTTAGGAGCCCCTCTAGCTTTCCTCGTATTGTAACATTTTGATGGTAGTAAAATTTGAAGATTGGTGACTTTTCTTCTGTTCCCATATCGTTGGGGGACTTTCCGATTTTTTTTTTTCTGTTTTTTCATGTTTTATCATGATCCTACGATCATTGAAAACCAGGATGTTATCAAAAAAAGTCGAAAAGTTCAGAAAATTCGCTGATTTTTTATTCTTACCACCAGCCTTTCTCATTCATTCTAACCTCTTGATAACTTTCTGTTTGACTTGGTAAAGAAGCCGCTTAGTGGTCCCTTTAGCGATGTCGGAGCGGATGCGGGCGCGGCATCGACGTCAGCCGCGGAACGCCGAAGACGTGATGGCCGTGGAGCCGAGCGCGGATTTTTCTGCCGCCGGTCCTCTAATGCCCAACCTCTTCCATCCTCCCGAAGACGTCAGCGACAACGATTCCGTTGATTCTGACGATGATGATCATCATCGGAAGTTGATTCGCGACCCTGTTAGTTGGTGGTGTTGTGTCTGGACTGCTTTTTCATTAAGGGAATCGAATAAAATCGACTTTGGGGTCAATAATTTCTGACCATATGCCTTAAAGTTTTGTGAATAAATTCCTGCCTGGACTGAAATTGTATAGAGGAATATTTATTGACAGATCGATGTGAACCCTAAAGGCTTCACTTGGATTTATAGTCAAAAAAAAGGCATTGGTAGGATTTTACGATTTTTATCGAATGTTGGAGAAGATTATAAGAAAAGCTGTCTTAAAGATAGACTTGATTGGAATTCCTATGGAGGAAAATGATTTAGAGGATTTTCAGAAGCAGCTCTTGAAGAGATTATCAACTTATTTTGTAAAAAAGGAAGATTTTGGGAAAATTTTTCAAATCAGAAAAAAAAAGTAGGAAACGGGCGATTATAACAGGGTCAGTGACGTTTCCAAGAGTTTTTTTCAGTTTTTGAAGTTTTTTTCGGAAAGATTATCATTGAGCCAATTATTAAGGTGAAATAGAACGTTTTGTAGCTTTTCCTATGTAGGAAATAGCTGTGAAAGTTTATTTCAAAGATAAAGATTGGAAAAAAAGTTTGAAAATTTGCTTTCTGTTGGGTAATTCTAGTGGTACCGGGATAATTAGAAGTATAAAAATCGATATTTTTGATTTATGGGAATTTTTTGTTTGATATTCTCGATCTCCACTCAGCTGTTTATTGAAGATTTAAAAAGTTTTTGCTTTTTTGAAATTTTAGTTGAAATCTTTAAAAAGAATCTTTAGTCCTAGTTTTTAGTTTTTGGGGATTTTTTTTTATAGGAATTCAGACGTAATTTAGATGGGGAGTTCAAATAAGTTATTTAGGGACCAGTGATGAAGTTCACATATTTTTCCTTCAAAATATTCAATTTGAATTTTTTTCCAGACGGTAGACCCCAACGCCAACTGGTTCAAAAAGAACACACGATGCACTTCGCGGCGACATTTCCTCAATACTTTTGCTCCTATTTTTGTATTTATTGCAGGTTTGTAAAGAATAATAGTTCATTTGATACAAATTTTTGTGTATTTGAAAGGAAAATAATATTTTTAATTATAATTACTATTTTCAGGGCGTTCCTCTCGGTTTAATCGGAGCGATTCCATTGCTTCTTTCCGGAAAGCATGTCACTTACGGGCAACAGGCCGTCTTTTCATTCGCTTATTGGCCTTTCAGGTTTGGTTTTTAAGGGATAAATGAAAGAAGAACTTCTGAATTTTGAATCTAGGGTCCATTAAAAATAGGTAGGAAGCTTTTTTAAAGGGTTTTAGGCCTCCAAATTTCGTCATAGTGAATTTTCTATAGAAACCCGGTAATTTATATCCATTCTATGATGGAAAGAAAAAATAAAGTTCATTTTCCAGTTGAATATAAATTTTTAAAATCAATAAAATTTGAATTTTTAACCTAGGTATCATGAAAAACAGGTGGGAAGTTTTTTTTTAAGGGTTTAATGCTCCATTTTTCATCATTATTCGTCAATTTTCAATAGACAATCGGTCATTAATTGAGTTTTGTAAGTTTTTAAACATATTTTTTGGTTCGCTCGATAAAAAATACCTGTTAGAACAAATAGTTTCAAACTAACACTTACTTTAAATTTTTGATGCCGAAAAATTGAATTTAATTGAGCTTTAATCTCTCTTTTCTATCATAAACTGCGTGTGAATCAGGGATGCACAAGACGGGGGTTTTTTTTTAAATCGAGATCGAGACGAAAAAAATTATTTCGTATCGAGATCGAGACAATTCGAAATGAAAAAAAAAACCCAAATTTTTGTTTCAAAATAACGCTTACAAACTACCAAAACTCAAAAATGTGCAAAAACTTCTCTTTATTATGAGATATTACGCGAAATCTGAAACTGCGCTGTGGTTTTGATCGCTTTCGGTAGGTGACGTTACGATCGGAACGTCAAATTTGACGCCTTATTTTTAAATTTTCGCTCAAAAAAGTCTTTTTTCATCTCGAAATAACTCGAGACGATATTTTGTCTCGAGATATTTCGAGATCGTGTATTGTGCATCCCTGGTATTAATGATCGATTTTTTATCGGAAGTTGACGAATTATGACGAAAATTAAAGCCAAAAACAAGATCCAAGGAGTTGTCAACTGATTTAATTTCTAGAGATATTTTTTGGCAAAAAAATGAAAGTAAATATTGAAAAAGTTTAGCTTTTTGGACATAGGTTACATGGAAAATAGTTGGGAAGTTATTTGAAGGATTCTGGATTTCAATTTTTTTATCATTTTATTGGGAAATCGATGGTCATAGAAATTAGGCTAGGTTATTTCAAATTCCATTTCTGAGTATTTTGAAGACTTTTTTTGAAAAAAATCATAGATTGTAGAAAACACCTCATTTTTGAACGAATCTTTGAATAATATCTCTTTTGAAATGTACAAAGAGGTTCCAGGAATTTCAAAGTAACGGTCAGAAAGTGAAAAAGATAACGGAGTTTTGGAGAGTTGGAGATAATTTTGAATTGCGCAGAAATGGCTAGAAACTGCTCAAATTTATTCAAAACATCTTTTTTTGCAGTTTGAAATTGTTATGGGCGCCGATCGTCGACTCGGTCTACTCGAAAAAGTTGGGCCGAAGGAAGTCGTGGATGGTGCCGTGTCAGTACTTGATCGGCATCTTCATGCTGGTCCTCTCCTTCCAAGTCCCCTATATTATGGGTGAAACTGGTGAGAATATCTAGACTTTTCAATAAAATATTAGGAAAAACACATGAAAATTGTGAAGACGGAACTAATTCAACAAGAGTTTTTTGAAAAGTTTGAAAAAAAAAAGTTTTTTTCGAACGGCGAACATTTTCCACGTTTTTTTCTATTTGTAATCGATTTTTTTCCCCACGTTTTCATAATGATTTATCGATCTAGTTTATATAGTGATTTCCTATTAGGAAAATCTTTTATCTTTTTAAAAAAATCTAAATCTTTATAAATTTAACGAAAAAAATAAAGAAACGAAAAAAATCGGAAAAGTCGTCATTTTAAGAACCACTGGTATTGAATCGGCACCCCATAAATTATTTCAAATTTAAGAAAAAAAGTAAGGAAAATGGTAGACATTGAACGGATTCAACAAGATCTTGAAAATTTCCCTTTTTCAGTGAATTTGACGCAAAAATGGCTACTTTTTGAAGGGAATTGAAGTTTTATATGTATATCAGTTTTATCAAAAAAATTTGTTCCTTCCGAGTTCTTATAAGAGGAACTGGTGAGATTTTTGAGATTTCTCGAAAAAAATATCATTTTCCAATAAAAAGATCGAGAAAGGTTGAACTAATTTAACGCGATTTCCTCGGAAAAATTAGGCTTCTTTTTTGAAAGTTTGGAAAATTCAGAAGGAAAACAGTTGATGATAGGAATTTTGCAGCTTTTATAACTCTAACTTGACCAAATTCGAAAGTTTGATTTTTCAGGAAGTCAGCCGAATGTCATTTTTTTGATGCTTATTTTCCTGCCCCTGAACTTTTTGGCGGCCACTCAAGATATTGCCGTCGATGGATGGGCTCTCACAATGCTTTCCAAGTTTGTTAATAATTTTTTAGATTATCTAGTTATCAATCATTTTGATAACAGTTTTTTTCGTCATTTCAAAAACTCTCATTTTCATTAAAAAGTCGATCAATTGCAAGATTTTTTTGAGCTCACGGTTTCTAGAACAGCACAAAAATCAAAACGGGATTGAAATAATAATTAATGTTTGTTTTGGGGCGGCTTACATAATTTTCTCATTAAGAATGTTTCTAGTGAAGAAGAAGATTTATAAATTTCTGGAAATTCACAAGAAAATTTCCTTTTTCGATTTGAAAAAAATAAGAACTGAACCCATTTTTTTCGGAGAAAAGAGTTCTTCAAGAAAAAAATGTTTTTTTCAAGGTCTAAAATATTGATTCAAGATGTGTTTTTTTCTAAAAGTTTGACCTTAAGAATTTTATTTTAAACGTTTTGGGGCGGTTTTCTGAAAAAAATTTTTTTAGTGAACAATCTAATAAATTTTTGCAATTTTTACTTAATTATCCAACGGAAAAACTTTTTACGTTCTCGACATTCTTCACGAAAATTAAATTAAATAAAATTAAAAATTTTTTTATAAATTTTTTTAATTGTCGTAAAATACGCTATTACCACCGCAATCACGGAATTATTCGAGTTACAATGTTTCAATTTTTTTTTCAAACTGACTAGAGAAACTTTCCTGTGAGTTTAGTCGTGATTACTTGGGTCCTGAAAATTTTATGAGGCCTTTCCGAGTTTCTTATCTTCTTGTACGGTTCTATATTTGGCGTCTCGAAAAATGACGGTGAAAAAATAAATTTACAGAAGAAACGTCGGCTACGCTTCAACGTGTAATGCAGTGGGACAGACGGCCGGATATTTCCTGGGAAACGTCGTTTTCCTGGCTCTCGAGTCGGCCGACTTCTGTAACACTTTCTTGAGAACCACCGCCAATCAAAAGGAGACCGGAATCGTCGATCTTGCCAGTGAGTTTCCTCACTTTTTACGTCGAAAAATGCCTTTTTTCAAAAATTATTCGTGTAAAGTATTTTTTAACAGCGATTTTATTAGAATTTCATACCTTGAAAGTATTCGAAATTCCTATAAATTAAAGGTCTCTGATTTTTTGTGAAGTTTACGGTCTCAAAAGATTTGAAATGGTCGAAATAACTTGATTTTTTTGCTTCGCTACATAAATCCCATTAAAAAAATTACCTTGAAAAACGTTTTTTTCATGGAGTTTTTCCCATTTCCGTGTGTAATTTTGGAGTTTTTGTCTTTTTGGTTGGCAAAAAAACCGGTTCTGGCAGTTATTTGATGCGATTAGTTTGAGAAAAAAAGAGGTTTAATTAAATTCTTCCTTGAGAAAATTTTTTCAAAGTTTTTTTCAGGGTAAATTTCTGATTTTTTTGGTTTTTTTGTACAGCTTTGGAAAGTCGAAAAAAATCATTTCAAAAAAATTTTTCCCTGAAGTGGCAACTTATTGTGAATAGCCGTCGTTCTCAGTGTAAAGTACGCAAGCAGTGGATTTGACGCGAAAAATTTATATAATAATTTCAATAATTTGTTCAAAAAAACTTTCTCATAGCTCTCAGAGCGTCAATTATTTCACTATAGTGGTCACTTTTTCATCTACTCCTGACAAAAACACTCCAGGGCTCACTAGACTTATTCATAAAAGACTTAGTATCTTTGAACTTTCTCTGACCTTCCCCCAGTGAAAACCAAAAACCAAACCTTTTTTTTTCCCCGCGAATTTGCGCTCCAACTCAAAAAACCAAGGCGTGACGTCATTGTTGCCTTCCGAATTTAATATATATCCGTCAGAACGTTCCCAGATTTACCCACGCCTACTCGAAAAAAGGCGGAAAAAGTGGCGCGAAACGGATGAATTTTCCCATTTTGTTTGGTCCCTCGGGGAGGATTCTGAAGTCTGGTGGAAATTGGCCCGGTTTTTTATAACTCTGCGGCGGCTGGTCCAATGAATTGAGTCGAGATTTGAGTATTTCCGCTTCTTCTAGCTCATAAAACAATGTAGAATTGGGTGAATAATGAAAATGTCGTCGTTTGTGGTGTGAAGTACGCAAAAAAAGTTCCATAATGATTTATCGATCTAGTTTATATAGTGATTTCCTATTAGGAAAATCTTTATCTTTTTAAAAAAATCTAAATCTTTATAAATTTAACGAAAAAAAATAAAGAAACGAAAAAAATCGGAAAAAGTCGTCATTTTAAGAACCACTGGTATTGAATCGGCACCCCATAAATTATTTCAAATTTAAGAAAAAAAGTAAGGAAAATGGTAGACATTGAACGGATTCAACAAGATCTTGAAAATTTCCCTTTTTCAGTGAATTTGACGCAAAAATGGCTACTTTTTGAAGGGAATTGAAGTTTTATATGTATATCAGTTTTATCAAAAATTTGTTCCTTCCGAGTTCTTATAAGAGGAACTGGTGAGAGGAACTGGCAACAAAAAAATTTCATTTTTACCAACAGAAAAAGTAGTAGTCGTCCTTTTCAGTGTATAGTACGCAAACAGCAGATTTGACGCGCAAAAATAATTTTCCTTTTCCTCTGGAGACTTTTTTAGACTCGAATTTCACAAATTTGTCGAACAATCTCCAGTAATCTCAGTCCAATGTTTTATCAACAATGTGAACAATCTTAAAACCCATAAAATTTACATTTTTCTGGAAGTAAATTGGAAAAATCCGATCACAAAGCACTAATTGAGATATGATAGCGAAAGTTCTAAGCGATTTTGAACGTTTTACGGCAGGTTTTGGTTAGGGAATTGGATTTTTTTCATCAGCAAGTTCGCCCGATCCAGTAGTACGTGTCGAAGAGGAACATCTCGCAGCTGGAAGAAGTATATTTTTTTGATCAAATTTTTTTGGAGAATAAATGTCCTTCCTTGTTTTTTTGAAAGAAAATCGGTATTATTTTTCACGATTTTTCAAATGGAATTTGTGAAATTAGGACATAATCTTCCAGTACAATGGCGGAAGGAGAAGCCCAACTTCATTATTTTTTTGGTAAAATTGAAATTTTTCTCAACTCTAAATTAACGGTTGTTGGGTCAATTTGTAAATGAGTTTTTCAAAAAAATCGAATTTTTTATCTACCTTTCGAAATGATTTTTTTAAAAGGATGATGCGTTTTTTTGTGCAAATTTTAAATGAAAAACTGCTCTTTATCGTTAGGTTTAGCATTAGAAACAGCTTCAAATAGCGATTTTTGTTTTGAAAAATGTTCTATTTTTCGTTTCGAGTTCAATTAAAAGGCTTATTCCGAGCATTTTCTCAATATCTCGGATAGTTGAGAAGCTCCCTAGTATCTCCAGAAATTTTTACAGTATCTCCCTCAAGTTTCACAGTAAAAAAAACCTGGTATTGCGGAATTGATCGTAGACGGCGCTCATACCGTATCCACCTCTCTCACTGACAATTACCGCACTCCACCAATTACCGAACCTTTCTTCTGATTGCTGTTTTAGGTACCTGGAAAAATAGATTAAATATTAAAATCTAAAGTTTTGCCCTTCCAAGGGAACACTTAAGGGGTTTAGGATTTACTTAAGCAATCACTAATCGTATCAGAATCGAAATATAACGCTTATTATGTTCATATAGATGAGGAAAGCTTGAGAAGATTCCTGGCCTTTGAAGGGAGCACTTAAGAGTTCATGAAATCACTCTAGTGGTCACTAAGTAGCTCAGAACTGTTTGGGAAATAAAAAAGGACAACTGACCGTTTTTCTTCTTTTATAGATTAAGGGAGTTGGAGAAAAGGCCCCAGCCTTTCAAGTGACCACTTAGGAGATGATGAAATCACTTGAGTGATCACTAAGTAGTTTAGAATCGTTTGAGAAACCAAGAGGACGTCTAGCGTTTCTCCTCCTCTTAGGAAAGCTTGAAAAACTTATCTTTTCAAGGGAACTTTTGATAAAACATCACTTAAGCGGTTACTTGATGGTTCTGACCAAAAAAAGCTCACTTTGCCTGATAACTGTACTGGTGGGGGTACATGCCGACGGTTTCCAAAACCAATTCACGTAGTTTTTCTGATTTGCAGTTGTCTCCGCGGACTGAAATTGAAAAAAGTTATTTTTAAAGTTAAAAAAAGGATTTGTTGTTTTCTTTTTGCTCCAGGAAAATAATATAGGATAAATAATTGATTTAACAAAATCAATAGGCTCAAAAGATGACAGTTTATAGTGAACTTAGGTATGAAAATGATATTGAAACGTAAAAAAAATTTGAGATTGAAAATTTTGATTATTCATTTTATAGTCTTTCTGTGAGATGAAAAATGTCCATATATGGCGATTTCATTATGGGAAATAACCACGAAGAAACGATTTTGCTGAAAAGCTAAAAAGAAAATCATCCAAATCAAAATTCAAACCAACCTCTCATCGCGAATGAACATGGAAACAGTAGTAAAAAGGTGGCTAGAAGTCGAAAAAGGGCGTTTTTCCGTGTAAGCATCTCCATTTGTGCCGACGTTACCGCTGCCGCGTTCAGGAAAATGTTGACCCGCACCTTGAATGATTGAAATCGAGAAAAGAAAAAAAAACTACTTTTACGCTTCGTTGCAATACAAGAATTTGTGAATCACCAGAAAAAAAAGAAAAACGAAACTACTTTGAAAAGCTCGCAAGCTCAGTTTAACACTACTTTATATAGCTCTTCGGGTCATAAAAAAGAAGAGAGATTTGGCCGCTAGAAGGAAGGAAAAAAAGTTGCCAAAAAAGAATGACTTTCGTGGGTGGAGCCTTCTCATCCATTTTTCGGCATTTTTTTGGTTTTTTGTCGTTCGTTGAAATGACAGCTCTTCGGAAAGTGACGTGAAGCTCGTTGGAGACCGAAGGGATGTTCGGATTTTCTGAGCAGAACTCTGAAAATTAAAAAAAAAGGCGGTCTAGCTCCTTTTAGTTGTGGATGTTTTGAGATCATTTGAGTAGGCTCAAAAATTTTTTGGAGCGAGAAAAATCTGTTCAACTTGAATTAGTCTGTTTTAGTCGTGGGTCAGGAAGGTTTTACGCTTAAGGAGATTTTTGTAGACAAAAAGGCCGTTTTTCCTCCAATCTGTGCTATTAATGAACACCTGGAAGGTAGAATTGAACAGTTTAAGGATTTTTTTTGGGATTTTTTCGAGAAGTTATCAAACGTTCTCCAGCATATGAGAAGTCTTCACTTGAGCCGTTTATTTTCCGGAAAATTTCTGATTAGAAGATTTTTAGCCGTAGGGCGAACTTTCCTCTAAGTTTCAGCTACTCAGAATTTCTCAGCTCTATTAAATATCTTTGGTTGACTTTTTTTTTGTGCCGTTCAGAGGCTTTTTCAAAGATATGAGAATGGAAAATTTGGTGTAATGGTTGGAAAAATGGAGTCAACTGTTGGAAAAAACACGATGTTGGCGTTTTGAGAGGTATATTTGTGGACACATTATGGTACCTTTCCGATTCGTCCGTGTAGAAATTTTATCGGAATAAAGAAAAATAATATTATATAATTGGTCGTTGTTTCAAAGAATATCTGATGCTCAAAAAAAAAATAATAGAAAAAACTAAACGCAACAACGAATATAGAGAGAAAGGGACGTTCCGTTTTTCGCGTATGATTTGTTTATCGTAGCGGATTCGCAGCCCAGTGGCTACTCCCTCAATAATAATAATATACAAATACCGCCGAGTTTATAACCAAAACAAAAGAGTTGCAAAATATTTGACAAGGGTAGTCTGTACATATTTTTAATTTGAAGCGGCTAACTCCGCCCCTTTTGACTATAGTATCTATCGCGTCGGCATCTTATCGCTTGCAAAGATGATCCTCCTTTAATAGCGCTCTATTTTTTGACTATTTTTTGAACTATACGATCACAAAAGAGATCAAGAAAGACGGAAAATGTAGCGCTATTAAAGGATCATCGTCTTTCGCGATAATTAATCTAAGGTACTGTAGCCACGAGGCACAGTAAGCTTCTTGACAGTATATATCTTGAAAGACTACTGGGAAAAGCTCTAGTGGCCACTAAAAACCTCTATAGAAGCCCCTATTCCGCGTCTTAGGGACCACTATAATAGTTTTTAATGGTGTAGTAGTACCACTTTGTATTCTAAAGAGGTCACTTAATTTTAGCCACTTAAGTGGCCACAATAGTGGTCACAAATCTAAAGAGGCCACTAGAATTTTTCCCAACGTATTTTGAAAATTAACGTTATAAGATTCAGATGAAGCTTAGGGTAGACGTGCTCCAAAGTGCCCATTTTCGGAAATAAAAACGTTTTTTTCACCTGTTTGACTTTTAGAAAGGTGTACAGCTTTATAGAGACCAAAATGTCACTATTTTGCTCCCAAAAAGTTCTCTATTACGTAAATTGAGCTTTAATAAATACTACGACGTGAAATTAGGTTTTTTTTGGAATCAGGGTTCTCCAAAATGTCTTGAAGCTAACTAGGGAACGTTTTTTAGCCACCTGTTGAACTTTTGATTGAACTTCATGACCTCCTGATTTCAGAACAAGAGGAAAATTTCTCTCATGAGGTATTTTCTTCGATTTACGAAGCTTCAAACATTGTAAATGAGATAAATTATCACAAAAAGCGCTATTTCGGACCTTTGAAGGGTCTTAACCTTGAAATTTTTGGTTGTTCTGAAGTCAGGAGGTCCTAGAGTACATTTAAGCAAAGTTTCATAAAAAGTTCACCACGGGAAAAAAAGATCTCTAGTAAGAAATAACGAAGATTTAAATGGGAAAACTTTGAAGGTTACGTCTTCTTCTGGGGCTGGGTGTTCATCGGCACGACGACGCTGGTGTTGATCTTCAAGCGCGAAGTCGACAAGTCCGTCGCCAAATCCACCCCACCGACCACTCCATCACAGCCGCAGTTTGTCAAGAAATAATTTCTGAGAGAAATTTTGACGATTTCCAGAGAAACTGATGACGAAGAAGAGCTGGAACTGGGAATCTTTGAGACCTACACAGTTCTCTGGAAGATCCTCTGCCTGAAACCCATGATTTATATGCTCATCATTTTGATCACTGGAAAGGTTTTTGAGTTTTTTATGGTCGCATGTAGAATGGCTCAGCGCGATTTTGACGGTTCGAAGTGGAGTTTTAAAATTTATACTTACTTTTTTTCATTTTTATATTTTTTTATATATCCATTTCTAAGCCGATATGAGTGCAAAGTTCACAAAAAAATTGTAAAAAAAGCCGACAAAAAAATAAAAAAATTAAAAAAAGCTAACGGTATCCATAATGTCACAGATGCTGCCGTGCGTGAGTAGTTTTTTTGTCGGGTGACGTTTTTTTAGCTTTTTTTAAATCTTTAGAAAGTTTATTAAGACTTAAACCTCCCTTATAAAATTTGAATGGCTCTACGCGTCGCGGTCGCGCTGCGGTTCGAGCTCGATTTTTCATCTTGAGTCATTCTTAAAGAAGGATAGACCTGAAATTTTGGTAGTTTTTCAGAATTTTCTCGGTTTCTTGCTCAGTTTTTGAGGTTCATTAGGGATCTATATCTAGCAAATTTCTTCCAAAAGCCTTCCAATCCAATCAAGCTCCATTTTTCATGCTTTAACTGAGCTATTCTCCGTGCGACCAATTTTTCAAGAATTTCTGAAGCAGTTTTTTAATGTATTTTTAGATGGCTTTCGCAGCGACCGACGGCATGACAAGTCTGAAACTGATCGGGATGGGAATTCCGAAGGATCGACTGGCGAGTATCGGCCTTTTCCTGACGCCGATGCAGATCCTGCTCCCCTGGATGATCGGAAAATGGACGGCCGGACCGAGGCCCCTCAACATCTTCTTGCTCGCTTATCCTTATAGGTTCCTTTCGATTTTGAAGTTTTAAATGACCCGAAGCTTTATTTGATCAGTAAATCAGTCATTCCTTATAGTCATGCTGGTGAATAAGAACATTTGAATCTTTGTCGAACAAAGGCTTCTGTAGAACTAGAAGTTGAAACGTGTAGTTGATCAATTTGAAAGCAATTTCTTACGATATCCACTTGGTTTTTGTGCTCTTATCACGCGCCAAGCTTCGGAAAATCATATCTGGGCTCTAGAACCTTTTTGAAAAAAGATAACTGGTCTTTTGTGACAATTGAAACAAGGGCTTTATTTCCTCAATCAGGGACACTGAAGTTTTCGCCTCCTAACTTTTTTCACCGGCCTCGAGGGCAGTTTCTGAGACCACATTTGGAATCAGCTTGAAAAACCACATTTAGTGAACCTAATCTCATTCAAAAGTCCCACTGCAATGGAGGATGTTCCCTAGATAGTCCATTCATTAGCAATTTTGAAGAGCTCGAAATGTAGTGGACCTTGAAGCTGGAGCTCGGAGACCGTTCTGTAGTTGAGATCGTCAAAAAGAGAGAAACCACTTCAGTGAAGACTACACGGAATATTTTTTGACGCAAAATGACCTTCAACAACAGTCTTTTTTTAATCCATATAGTTGCGTTTGGCGCGCTTACATACGGTTATTCAGTCTTGAGAGAAGATTCCCTGCTGAATCATGGGATGACTGAAAAGTTGTTAGGTTCATGAACCTGTAGTTGATCAATAACGACGCGTAGATCATCAGGTCTTTTTTGGGATAGTAGTAGACGAGTTTTGAAAAATCCGACGGTGAACCTTCTCTATGTGGGAGTAAGCGAGCTTTAAGATTCTCATATTTGAAAGAAAAATCATTTTTTGAAGAACTTTGACTCTCGTTCAGCCTTGTATATTAGTAAAGATAAGAACACCTTTTCAAAATCATAAACTTTTTCGCTTGGCCAATAGAAAATGCGGGAATTCGCGGTAGTTTTTTATTTCTTTTTATTTACCCAAAAGGTCTACAACTTGCTCGCAATGCGAGAAATAACCAAAAACAGTCAAATGGTACCAGGAAGAGAATAAGACCCAATGAAAAGGCGGAGCTAGTATTACTCAAGCGATAAACCTAATTTTTCGAACTTTTCCTGATTTTTTTTTTTGAATCTTTCGGGAATACCAAGCAGTTTGGGAAGCTTCAGAATTCGTTAGCTTGAATCGGAAAAAATCCTTCTCCCTTTGGATCAATTCGTTTGCTTTCAGAATCTTTGTTGGTGGCATTTTCGCGGCGTTGGTCTGGTGGACGCCGCATTTCCGACTACCCGACGGCAAATTCGAGTATTCCGTCTACATTGTCTGGATCGGCGGCTACATCTTCCATCAGGTCCTTCATTTCATCATTTTGACGTCATCTGAGTTTTCAACTTCAGGTCGCCACCTACTGCATGTTCGTCTCGATGATGGCCTTCTGCGCCCAAATATCGGACCCTCGGATCGGCGGCACCTACATGACGCTCCTCAACACCATCAATAACCTCGGTGGAAATTGGCCCGTCACCTTGATCCTGTCGTTGACCGACTGGTTCACCTTCAAGGATTGCGTCAAGAAAGGCACCAAAAGGTGAGTCGAAAAGGCTCAACAGTCAGAGCCCAAGGCCAGTATTCACAAAATGAAGCTTGTTGTTCAGCGTCCTGTACGCCTGCAACAAGAAAGACCTCGCGGATCAGTGCGCGGCCGGCGGCGACGTCTGCGAAGTCTCCATCGACGGATATTTCATCGCCGTCGCCTTCTGTAGTGTCGTCGGAATCATTTGGTGAGTACTCATTTGTTCTTCTTCTTACGCCCCGCCGGCGGCCCAAGTCGATTAGTCGAGGTCCTGATATCAGTGATAATCAGGGGGTTGGCTCTAGTGACCTAGCCGTCCTTGTTTTGGACGGCTGGGAATAGTAGTTGCCAACTACCAACACTTCTTAACCTCCTTGGTTGAGTCGCAGCGGGGATCGAACTTGTGACCCTTTGCAAACTAGACAGGCACACAACCTGTTGCGCTAAGAGCCGCTAAGATATCATTTGTTGCAGTTCTGAACTTGGAACACTGAGCTTCGAAAGAGTTGCGTTTTGAAACTTTCTGGAAATCGGAAAGTCTGATTAGAACCCCAAATTTTAAGCTCCTGTTCGGGCAATGACCCTTTTTCGGTCTTAATAATCCCAATCTTCTGATTTTTGACTTCAACGTTTACACACTGAAGTCGTTTTTGGTCGGTTGCGCTTCAAAGCCATTCCTAACGCCACCATAATGGGAAATTGAAAAAAAAACGTTTTAATGAGGAGGAGTTTCTAATTAACGCACTGGGACTTGAATTCCGGAAACTGAAAAAGGCTTTTTAACGCGAATCGGGCGTGTCGGGGCATTTCTAGTGACCACTTTAGTAGCTTCAGCACTCTTAAGTAATCCCTAGAATAAGAAAGTTTCCGAGTACGTCCGGTTTTCGTTACCGACTCGGACTTTGGTAACGCGAAATGGACGTGCTCCGGACTTTTCTGGGCATTTTTAGTGACCCCTTTAGTAACATCAGAACTCTCAAGTGATCCCTAGAATCTGAAAAGTCCGGTTCTCGTTACCGACTTCCTGAAAGTTATCCATAGAGCACTCTATCTTTCTCACTAATCAACTCATTTCCAGGTACAAACTGCTCTTCAACAAAGTCAAATACCTTCAAAAGATCCCGCGAAGTCAATGGAGCGTCATTAAGAAATAGGGTTCCTCTTAATAATTATCTTTTTCTGACATATATGTATTTTTTGTGGCTTTCCTTTCTCCCTGTCCTGCATGTATTTGTGCATATTTTCAACTAGTCTCACTTAATTTTCCACTTGTTGAGGGTATCTTCTTCTTCATTTCTGTCAAATAATTTTTTTTTCTTTCTTTTTCTTGAAAAAACAAAACTTTATCTTTACTCGGTTGTGATCAGATGATTGTGATGAATTTTCAAATGGTTAGTATTTATTCGTTTGATAATAATAAAGATGGCTTTTTTTTGGATTTCGTGAAGGTTTTCTTTTGTTTAATGCGATTGGCTACTTTGAAAATACAGTTCTATTCAGGTTTAAAAGTTGAAAATGTACAATTTTTTTGTAGATTTCTCCGTGGAGCGCACTTGATTCCAGAAAAAAATTTTTAAAAAGTGGCATTTTTCGTTTTTCATTTTGAGCACTTTTTAAAAAGTCAATAAAAAGTAAATTTTTAGGTATTTTTTTAATCAATCTAATGCCGTTTTCAACGTGATTCCGCGAAATCCAAGATAGTCGCCAGAGAAAGAGAAAGATAAGCAAATTTTGGAAAGTCAGAGATATATTATCGAAAAATTATTTTGAACATGGCATAACCTTTACCTTGGAAAAAAAAAATCAATAACCCCGCCACAAAAAAATTATTTTTTTGAAGCCCTTTTTAGCGTAGTTTCACTTTTCAAAGTTCTTATAAATAATAATTCCGGTTTTCATTTAGTAATTTTCGCATGAAAAACTCACCTCAAAAAGTAGTTTTCGAAAAAGCCGTTCGTTTTTTTAAAAAAATTGAATTAGCAGCAGGTTTTCTGTTTTTTTGATTTTTTTGTAATGAAATAATGATAATTGAGAAGGTTTTTGTTGTCAAAATAGGTTTCAAAAAAATGGCGTTTTCTCCCTGCTTAAATTCAAAAAAAGGGACGAATTTCTATGTCGTTTGGAAAAAAATTTAACCGGAAGTCCATTTTTTTGAACATATTTTTAACCGTAAAAATAAATTTTTTTGAGAAACTTTCTCAGATTTGAGTCTTTGAAATTCGAATAAACAGCAATTTTTCAATATCATTCGAAGAAATCGGACCTAAAAAAATTTTCAGAGATTGATTTTTGAAAGGATTGTGATTGGAGCGGACTTCCCCATCTTAAAATTGGGTTTTTCATAGTTTTTGTGTAAATTTGAATCGTTTTACCGGTTTCTATAGCGTAGAATCAGCTTTTGAAGTCCAAGAAATCCCAATTTTTGGTGTAAATCCGAATGACTTTTTGAAGTTTCTAACTCTCAAGTTTTGTACAGGGAAAATTTTTAGTGGCCACTATAGAGGCTCGCCGAGGACTACTTGGAGAGGACACTAAAGTGGTCACTAAACCCACCTCTATAGTGGCCACTATTTTCGGTTTTAAAGGCCACTTCAGTAGTTTTTCATCCAGTATTCCTTCCAGTAACTCTGATAATATTAAAACAAACAGTTTGGACCAGTTATATTGATCCATTAACCCCTAAAGTGGCCACTAAAGTTTTTATTGGTCTAGTAGTAGCACTAAGACCTCTATAGTGACCACTTATTTTTAACCCCTTAAGTGTCCACTAATTTGACTACTATAGTGGCCACTAAAATGTCAAAACCCTGTAGTAGCCACTAAAAATTTTCCCAGTACATCTCATTTATTAAAATTCCAAGCTCTAAAAAAATTTATTCAAAAATTTGTACATAATTCTTTGAACCGTAAGTGTTTTTACAATTTACAAAGTGGGATAACTTTTTCGGATGGTTATTGGAAATCGATGGCCTGGCCGCTGCCCAGCTCGTTCTGGTCGAAGCTGAAGTCCAAGTCTTCCAGAAGCTTCTGCTCGGATTTCGGGCAAGTCGCCAGCAATTCGTCGGGGAATTGAACGGGGGGAGGACAGTCGACCGTGAACTCGACCTGGCCTTCTTCGTCCTGAGAGATACGGTATTCAACATTTCGCTGTGTTTTTGAGTAACCTGTCGGTCAAATGTCCAGACGCCGGTGCTCCGATCGCAGACGTAGGGCGTCACCAGGGACTTGCCGTCGTCGTTGACCGTCCCGTTGGAACAGAGTCCTACCATCACCAGGCCTTCCTGAAGGTGTCAAAAGTTGGTTTTTTCGTTTCAAACTATTCGGCGCTCAAAATATCACATAATGGGCCCAAACAGTACGAATAACTGCGATGTCGCAGAGGGTATCGCGAAAGTACTGCTTCGTAACCGCGCCGCTATTGCATTCTTCTAGCCGCTATTAGAGCGCCAACGCGCATTTTATTAAAGCGAGATAAATGCGATATCGCGTTAGCGAAAGTGCGAGTCACCCGTAGGTAAAACGCAGTACTTTTGCGATATCGTCAATGTACCGCATTCTTTCTCTCGGAGTAAGCAGTTATTTTTAGATAGCTTTCCAATTGTCCAATTTTCTGCGCTCTCTTTTTTCTCCAAGTGAGGGAAGGGCTGTTACAAGAATATCGTTTTAATGAGAAATTTGAGATTTTTTGAAAATTTGCTTGAAGGCATAGATGAAGATTCCTTATGGAAGCTTGAAGATAATACTTGGAAAAACTTAAATTTGAAGTGAAATAAATGCGATGTCGTGTTAATGAAAATGCGAGTCTGGCGCGGGTAAAACGCGGCATTTTTGCGATATCTTAAATGTACCGCATTCTTTCTCTCGGAGTAGGCAGTTAGGCTCCTCATAAAATTTGAAGCTAATACTTGGAAGAGCTAAAGTTCGAAAGTTGCAAAGTGAGATAAATGCGATGTCGCGCCGGCTAAAGTGCGAGTCACCCGTAGGTAAAACGTAGGATTTTTGCGATATCGTCAATGTATCACATTATTTTTCTCGGAGTAGGCAGTTAGGCTCCTCATAAAAGCTTCAAGCTGTTACTTGGAAAAGCTTAAAATTGAAGTGAGATAAATGCGATGTCGCGTTATCTAAAGTGCGAGTTTGAAAACGCAGCACTTTTGCGATTTCGTAAATATTGAGGTAATCTAAGAAGGACGGTCCCTTATATTCCGAATTTTTGAAAAGTGGAGATAGTATTTATTTGCAAACTGACCTTGAGATGGACACGGACGATCTTGGCAACGTTTCTCTCAACACATTCCGTCCGACATTCTGCAACTCGATTTCTGATTACTACTATCACGTGTGTTATCGTATCATATGATAGCATTTACACACAACTTTCATTTTCGAAAAACTTTAAAATTTTTCTTTTTTTAAATATCCTCATTTTTCTACCGTAGACCGTAATTATCATCAGAGCGCGTTTAGAACGAGAAATTTGAGCTCCAAGTTGACCAAAAAAATAATTTTTTTGGGGTTTTGAAAAAAACAGTTGAACGCAATAACTTTTTAGTGAATTTCAAAAAAAGACATTTTTTTAATTTATTTTTTTAAATCGTTATTTTTTTATCAGAACCAAGTATTTTTCAATATTTTTTTAATAAAAAAAAGTGCCTGAAAAAAATTTTTTTAATCGAGAATAGTGAACGTTTTTTTGGCATAGGTTCAAGTTGCTTAAAAAAAATTTTTTTGAGAAATTAGAAATTTTAGAAATTTTTAACATTTAAAAAAATCACGAAGCCTCAACTTCCTAGGAAAAAAACAAAATTTTTCTGTTTTTTTATTAGAAGCTTCAAATTTTTTTATTGGCCACTTCTGAGTTTACATTGACACAGGGCCGAGATTGTCATGTAGAGACTTTGAAAAATCAATAATTTGATAAATGTGGAAGAAAATAGCCTTTTGAGTGACCACTTGAGGGATCAGGCCTAATTTGACTCACTTTGCGGTCCTGAAATGTGGCCAGAACGATCCTTGATGTACCAGAAAAAAATTCTGAAAGTCCCAACCTGCCCAAGCTCCTAGTTTTCGAGAAATAAGGGCTTAAAGTCTCAAAATAGCCGATTTTTATGGATTTCGAGGTTTTCTTTGCCTCTGAGGCGTCTTTTTTCCGAAAGAAAGGAAGTCGTGCAGGTTGAGACTTCCAGAATCTTCTTCTGGTACAACAAGAAGTGTTCTGGCCAATTTTCAGGAAATTTCTCAAACGCAAAGTAAAATGACCTCCCCTGTTAGGCGCATTTTCATTATTTTTCAACTACTTAAGGGATCACTTAATGCTCGGAAACCCTATAGAAGCCACTGAAAAAAAACGAACCTCCAACGGATCCCGCGTTGACAAAAACGGCAGAAACGACGGCGAGAAGTAGGGCCAGGAGCATTTTTTTAATCGAAAAACTTTTTAAAATTGAAAATACGAACTAGTGTAGAAAGTTCTTTGAAATGTCAACCGAAGTTGTTGCCTATTTATTCGGGCCCCGTTTTTGGTTGTTAATTTGAGAACGACCCCGCCCACCGCAATTTCTTTTCGACTCGCTTCTTGAAAAACGTCACGAAACGTCAGTCAAATCAGATGTTTCGCTTTGACCTTGCCCCTGAATTAGTTTCTGAACAGTTTTCGGCTCGTTCCAACTGAATAACATAGGTGTTTGAAATGAGAGAACGTGTGTACCTGATTCAAACTTTTTCAAAGTTCATAAAGGTCTCGGAACGATAATATTTTCTAGTTCTATTTTAGGAAGTTCGTAGCTTTTCTGAAAGTTGAGTTTAGGAGTTTTAGTCTTGAAGCGAAGAACCGTTCAATAATTATCTTCTGGATTTTTTAAAGGAGCATAGGTAGGGTCAAGAAGGTCTCGAAGCGAAGAGCGGTTGAAGAAATATTTCTGGATTTTTTTAAAGGAGCATAGGTTATGTTTAAGAAGGTCTCGAAGCGAAGGCTTAGGCTTCGGCATAATGAAAACCTCGGAATTTGTTTTTTAAATATCCTTGAACTGAAAAAAACGCGATTTTAACATCAAGACCTGCATGAAAATCCAACCTATGCTCTTTCAAAAGATTAAAAAAATTTTTTTCTGGCGCAAAAAAATTTATCAGAAGTTTCTTCGACTAGAAATCATTTTTTTGACTTTTTACAAAAAAACAAAAGAGAAGTTCTATCAATTTTAATAATTTTTTTACCTTAAAAAAATATTTTTAACCGGCTTTTTAGACAAAAAAAGAGTTCCCTTAGAGACCCCTTCAAGCTCCAAGCGAAAAGTGAATAGTCAAGGTTTTTTTTTTGAAAACAAGGTGACCTTGCTCTTTTCGAACCACTCAGAAAAAAAATCTCTTAAGTGACCATTTTCTCGAATTTTTTAATCAAAATTTCGCTTACGCTGAATTTTTTCATTTTTAAGCTTTACGGAAGAAGCTTTTTTTTTCGAAACTATGACATTTTTTGAGAGAAAATACTGGTTCAGTGATCACTATTAAGCACCCTGAAAGGACCACTTTTTTAAAAACGATCTCAGAGCGGCTAGAAATAAGTTGCCATGCTTCGGATGCTATCAATCATGCCGTTTTGAGAGAAAATACTGCTTTTAAAGTAGAGTTCTCAAAACCGAACGTTCAAAAAATGACCGTTTGAAAAAAATGAACTTTTTCATTTTTCGATAGTTTAGGATATATCATTTTCAAACGTTCAACCAAAAAGTTCGAAAATCGTTTTCTTATAATAATGAACGTTTGCTTTTCACATAAAAAAACGGACGTTCGTTTTTTGAACGAACTGTTTTGAAATGGAAAATGAACGTTCACTTTTTGAACGAACTTTTCACGAGCGAAAAATGAACGTTCATTTTTTAAACGAACTTTTTGGAAATGAAAAATGAACGTTCATTTTTTGAACGAACTTTTTGAAAATGGAAAATGAACGTTCATTTTTTAAACGAACTTTTTGGAAATGAAAAATGAACGTTCATTTTTTGAACGAACTGTTTTGAAATGAAAAATGAACGTTCATTTTTTGAACGAACTTTTTTAAAATGAAAAATGAACGTTCATTTTTTTAAACGAACTTTTTTTGGAAAATGAAAAAAATGAACGTTCATTTTTTTGAACGAACTTTTTGAAAAATGAAAAAAATGAACGTTCATTTTTTTGAACGAACTGTTTTGAAATGGAAAATGAACGTTCATTTTTTAAACGAACTTTTTGGAAATGAAAAATGAACGTTCATTTTTTGAACGAACTTTTTGAAAATGGAAAATGAACGTTCATTTTTTAAACGAACTTTTTGGAAATGAAAAATGAACGTTCATTTTTTGAACGAACTTTTTGAAAATGAAAAATGAACGTTCATTTTTTGAACGAACTTTTTGGAAATGAAAAATGAACGTTCATTTTTTGAACGAACTTTTTGAAAATGAAAAATGAACGTTCATTTTTTGAACGAACTTTTTGAAAATGAAAAATGAACGTTCATTTTTTGAACGAACTTTTTTACGAACGGAAAATGAACGTTCATTTTGGTTGAACGTTCAAAAGCAAACTTGAACCAAAAGTTTGGTTTCAACATTTGTTCGAAAATGTTTGGTCGAACGTTCGTTCGAACGTTTGGTTTTGAGAACTCTACTTTAAAGGTCACTACTAAGGGCCCTAAAAGGGCCACTTCTTGAAAAACTTTCCCAGGAAGGCCATTAGTGAGTTGTCATGCCCGGATCCTATCTAAGTTATGCATTTTTGAGAAAAAATAATGCTTTATGGGTCACTACTAAAACCATCTAAAAAGACCACTTTTTCGATAACACTTTCAGAGCGGCTAGTAGTGAGCTATCATTCGCAGGATGCTATCTAAATTATGCTTTTCTGAAAAAAAAGGATGAAAGGATTGTATCAAGACCAAAATTGAAAAACGTTCGAACTACTACTTTAGTGGTCACTACTAATCCCCCTCAAAGGACCACTTCTTGATTACCAATAAGGACGCTAAAAGGTCCATTTTTTAAAAATGGACGCATTTTTTAAAGAAAGATGGACTAATTATACCAAGACCGAACTTCAGAAACGCTCGGACCCTAAAAGGACCACTTTTTCAATAACTATCTCGGAGCCGCAGGAAGTTATCGTGTCCCGTTGAAAAATGCCCGAAAAATGCTGCTTCAGTGGTCACTATCACGCACCCTAGGAGGATCGCTCTACCAAAGGCCATCTCAGATCAGACATTTTTTCGAAAGAGAACAATGAACCAATTATACCAGCGCCAAACTTCAAACATGTCGAATTAAAAGACCCGGAAATTCGATCTTCCCTACGTCATGAATTGAAAAAAAAGGAGAAGGAAGGGACAAATCGGCTAATTGTCCAAGGTACCAGAACTCCTGTATTTCCGAAACTGAAAACCAGTCGAAGGGACGTCCTCGAAACGTTTTTCTCTTCTTCTTCTTTTTTTTGTTGATCTTTCTTCCGTAGAGACCCTCCAACAACTTGAAATCGTTTTATTATTCCTTGGGTGTACTCAGAAAGGGAAAATCGTGTGGAGAGTTTCTTTATTTTCTGTTGGTTCTTTGTTGGAATTTGGGGCAGGACACGTCGGAGAGCGTTTAGTTTTGGCCGAGCATGCTTCTGGAAATGGGATTTTGGTTTGGAAGGAAGACTTCTTGAAGAAAAATCGAACAAAGGTTGAATGAATCGAAAAAATTTGGCCAGAAGGTTTGAGAAGGGTTTTTAGGTTTTTCGAAGAAGAAAATATGCTGAACTGATACACAGGCAAAGTCGGGAAGGGTCGGAAAAGGCTCCAAAAATGTTCCTTTTTTGCTACATTTTTGCGCCATTTCATCGGCTCTTATGCACCATTTTTGCCGCCTCCCACCATTTCTTGAGCCTTTAAAATCCCAGAATAAAATGGAAGGCTTGATAAAGGGACCCTTTCTGCGCCCTCTTTGCGGCCCTTTTGCTGCCTTTTTGCAGCCTTTTTTGAGCCTCTCCCCTCTAGCGGCCATTATCCACCATTCCGACTTTGCCCTAATAATAATGAACAAATATTTTTCGAAGTTTTAAATGTTTGTAATGGTTCTATTAACTTCAGCACTCGTAAATCAACTATTTCACATTTTAAGTTAAAAAAAAAAGACGAAATCCGGGAAAAGACACTACTGACTATTAATATTTGTCAAAATCAGCTATCAATTTGAACTTGACCTAAATTGCGACTTTGTTAAAAAATGAACCAAAAATCGCAAAAAATCATGCCGTGTTCAATTTGATTCCCCGAAATGCAAAATACCCGTTAGAGAAAGGAAAAGATCACTAGATTTTGGAGAGTCAGAAATCATTTTGCATTTCGCGGAATCAAATTGAACACGGCATCATAAAACTCGCAACAATTATCCATAGAGCGCACTTGATAAAAATTCTAAAATTTTTGAATTTTTTCAATTCTCCGCATCGAAACACTTCATTTTTTTTTTCAAAGTTGAATATTTTCAAAGGTTAAAACGAACCTATAACGGAAATAATAATGCGGCAATGTCCTGAAAAGCTGTCCATTCCTCGCGTTGCGTTCGAATCTGAAAAATATTTTTATTTCTGGATTTTTATCATTTTACTGGGAAAGTCGAACTCATTTTGATGCTCATAAACATAATTCTATTTTTGAGCAGGTGAAATAAAAACTAGACTCCAGCTGTTCTCAATTCTCAAGTTTTTCAGAGAAAAAAATCATAGAGATAAGAAAAAGGAAAGAGGAGTCAGAAAAAAATTTTTGAAGTTATAATTTTTTTCTTCTAACGTAAGAAGGACTCCAAACAAATAGTATTCCCTTTGCGCCCGACTAGAAACTACTTACGCATTTCAGCATGGGTAGAAACAAGTCTTTTGTTTTAATAGCGCAAAACCAAAAAAAAAAAGAAGTTTTGATTAATTTTTGTTTTTGAAACTGTTTCGAGTCGGGACATACGAAACTATAAGTTGAAGGCTGATTTTTCATTTATATAGTCTGTTCAGATTTTAAATGTCAAGTCCTCGCTGAAGCTCCGCCCCCTAATGGCGCGATAAACCAATCAGAGAGCGAGCCATCCACAGCGTTTTCGAATGAGGTCATTCTACTTGACATTCAAAATCTGAACAGACTATAGACTCGATTTCCGAGCCATTTTCAATGCTCGCGTTTTTCTAGGGATGGCTCAAAAGTTGTTTAAGTTTGCACCCGACCAGAATCTACTTGCGCAAAATGAATTCAAAAAAAAAAGTTTAATTAATTTTTTTTTTTGAAGAACACAAGCTCAATTTCGATTTTCTCTGCCGCCGCGATCCTTGAGCCATTCCCAATGCGACCATCGCGCGGAGGAAGTGAGTATTTTATTCTAAAGGAAAGCTCTCAAGCTCACGCCTTTCTAGGAATGGCTCAAAAGTTGTTTAAGTTTGCACCCGACCAGAAACTACCTGCGCTGCATGACTTCAAAAAATTTTTAATTCGTCATTTTAAAGGAGGAAGACAAGCTCAAGTTCGAATTTCTTGAGCCATTCCCGATGCGATAAACGCGAGGATAAAGTGAGTAGTTTACCCTAAAGGAAAGCTCTCAAGATCACGCCTTTCATAGCGCTCCAGCGGCAACTCCTGCAGCAGGAACGCCGACGTCAGCCAAGTCAGAGCGAGAACGACGGCCGTGAACAGTGAGCCCCTCATTTCTTCTGCTTTTTGTGTCGATCTTTCTGGTCCCTGTAGAAACATTTTCATGTTATTTTAAGAGAAAAACCAATAAAAACGTTCAGGATTCGAAAAATGGTTAATTCATCCAGACAAAGTTGATTTCAGAAGAGACTTGAACTATTGCCTGAAAGAGCAAAATTTCCGTTTTACTATAAAAATTTGGATTTGAGAGCTCCTGATTGATAAAGATGGAAATTTTCACAATTTTTTAAAAAAGTTTGAAGAAAGGCTCGATTTTCATAGTGAAGTGCGCTCCATTGATAATTTTACGAATATTTATTTTTTTTTGGAAAATGGATGTTTTCGCGTTTCAGTAGCGATCCGGAGATCAAATTCCAAAATAAAACACTTCGGAAAAAGATACGGCTAAAATTTATATATAGAATGCGCTCCATTGATAAAGTGTGATCCCTTTTTTTCATTGGGGAGTATTGCACCTAATAAGCTCATTTTTTTATGCTTCAAACGCGCTCGGATGATAAAAAAATGCTTTTTATTAAAATTATTTAGCATAAAACTCTTTGTTTTTCTTTCCAAAAAGAGTTCTCTGGTGAAAGAAAGACCAGAGTCTTTTGAGACATTTTTTCTAGCTAGAGGCTCAAATCACCGAATATGAGTGCGCTCCATTGATAAAAAAATAGAAAACTATGGCTTAATATAGGGTTTTTGTCTATTTGGACAGCCTGAAGCTCAAATTTCTCGTTCTAACGCGCTCTGTTGATAATTGGGGATTACGGTAGGGAGTGAGAAGGGTTACCTCTTAGAAAAATGAACTTTAGGCCGATTTTTTTATAAAAAAATTTTTGAATAAAATGCTCTGAAATTCTAAAAAGTTGATCGGAGAACAACTTTTTTTAGAGTGTCGAAAATTTCCAACTGAATCTGGAATCTTGAAAATATTTTAAGCTTAAGAAGCCCTAAATAAACCAACTTTAAGGTTTCGAAAGCGTAAAACTCACTATATGTTGAATTCTTGAAGCCTCGAAAACTGGACCAACGGAAATTTGGTTCAAAACTGCTGTATAGAAGACGCAGCTGATTTTTCCGTGTTAAAATTTTCGTTTAGTTCCTTGAATCGCTAATTTTCACCTGAACTAAATGTCACTTCAACAAAACAAAAATGTGATAGAAGGTTTCAAACTGCTTCAAAAAATGAAAAATTTTGGCCGGAAAAGCAGAATGGTCTCATGTAATGATATCATTATCGTTTGGCGCAAAATAATCAATTTCTTGATTTTTAAAGTTTAAAAAGTGTTGAAGGATATTATTTGTTCAAATAATCGCGTTTTTCTGAGGAAAACAGCCGCTGTACAGTTATGTTGTCATTGGAGCGCAATTGAACATTTTAAGAGGAAAAATTGCCGCCATGATACTGCGTCATCATCAGAGCGCATTTTGAAAAAGAAAAATCGTAAAAAAATAGCCGTTATAAAGTGATATTACCTTTTAGAGCGTGTTTACACGTTTCTTCAGTCAGAAAATCAGTTTTCATGACGTCATCAAAATAAAAGCCAATAACTTTGTGAAAAATCTGAGTTTTATCAACAGAGCGAGCTTTCCGCTTAAAATCAGCCTCGGAATTTTTTGAGCTCAGATAGACTATAGACATAAAATTTTGTCAGGTTTATCGATAGAGCGAGTTTTCTAAAAATAAAAAAATTAGCCTCAGCAGTTTTTTCGAGTTTAAAGAGCGCTTAAGCTTCAAATCACGTTAGATTTATCAATAGAGCGCGTTTTCCAAGAAAAAAAAATCTGCTTCGACAGGTTTTTCGAGCTTGAAAAGCCTAGACGCTTCGAATCACGTTAGGTTTATCAATAGAGCGCCTTTTCCTAGCGAAAATAGCCTATTTCGGATATATTCCATAGAGCGAGATATCTAAGATGAAACAGCCTTCAGAAGAAATTCCAAATTTTTAGAGCCTATACCCTTTTTTTCATCAAAAAAAGTAGTGAGAAGCTGAATTTTCTGAATTTTTTTTGGATCGAAAAAATCATTAAGCTTCTCAAAATTCGAAAAAAAAGGCTATTTCTTGACGGAGCACATTTAGTCATATGAAACAGCCTTTGTGAACTTTCTTTTTGATTTTAAAACATTGAATAGTGCCAAGAGCAAAGTTAGAAAATGGCAAGTAACCGTAGGAAAAACTTCTCCAAATCAGGCTGGAGCAAATAAATGACAAAAAAGCCGAAGAAATGTGATACTTTGGCTGGAGCCGATATGGAAATATTTATATATATCACATTCCATTCAGAGCTTTTATTGACACTCAAAGAAACTCGGGGCGGATAAGTTGATAACGTAAGAGAGAAGGAGTAATTGGATTCCGGTCGCTGTACAATTTATGAATATGTTTTTCAAGGAACCGACAAGGAAATGAGACAGGGAAAATCGAGCGAAATTCGTTGAATTTTCAATTAATATTTGTTCTTTTTTCGACAAGGCTTAAGATGCTTTTGAGGTGTTTTTGAATGGGCGAATATTTTTGAAAAGCTTCCTCGATCAGGAATTTCAGTTATATAGCTTCTGAAATATTAAAAATTTTGGAAGGCCAGTGAAGATTTGAAAGCCAGGTGAATTCAAAAAATCACAACACATTTTGCAGGTAAAAATACAGCTAATCAGGGATTCTTGAATGAAAAAAATCATCTTATTTTCAGCCTTTAGTGATATTTTGCCCAAGTAGACTAATTTTCCGAAAAAAATAGTTTGAGGAAAAAGTTTTTATTCAAAGTTTGCTCGGATATTGGTAACGCGAAACGGATGTGTTCCGGACGATTCTAGGGATCACTTAAGAGTTCTGAGGCTACTATAGTAGTCACTAGAAATGCCCCGACACGTCCGATTCGCGTTACCAAGGTTCGAGAACTTTTTGGGGTCTTAAATTTTTCTCGCGGCTTTTCCTTTAAGATGAACCCGACCCGAAGCAACTTGCGCACTTGAGCATCGAAAAATGTAAGCCCAAGAAAAACGGCGAAACGTTTTACTACTATTTGAACTATTTATAAAGGCGCAGCCCTATGGCGAAGTTGGTAAGAGGCTTGTTGATGGGTCAAGGACTCTCGAGTTCGACTCCTCTTCCAAAAAAAAAAAAACGATGAGAATTCAAGAAGCCTAAAAAAAAATGACGAGTAAATTCGTAGAAATGAAAAACGGAAGAGGAATTCCTCCTTCTAGGATTGCAAAACAGCCGGGCTTCACTAAAAAATTCAATCGACCATAGAAAATATTTGAAAGATTTGACTTTCGTCATGTTTGTTTGTTGTGTTGATCACTTGTTTCTCGAATTTTTTTGTTTTTGAATAAAAAATGGTGTTAAAAAGGCGTCATTTCGATACAATTCGATTTGAAAGAACCACGATTATTTAATAAAAAATGAAGTTGTTGGGAATCTGTTTTCAGAACGCTCCTTTTCGAAATCTGTCAAAACCAGACACTTCAATTAGAGCTTTGAAATGAATCATTTTCTGAATTCTGCAAGGGTTTTTTTTTTCGGAAAAACTTTTTTATGGAAGTTGAAAGCTTGCACTTTTAAGAGACGGTTTTTTGACTTTCTTTCCATCTAGGGGCATTATAAACTCATTATCTATGATCTGAAATGGTACTCTTGAATTTTGCAGTAAAAATTTGAGCTTTTGGACGGACAAAATGGCCAAAACTTGACTTCTCTGTGCTCTCTTCTCACTTCCTTGCTGTTTTCACGTCTCTAGACAAATCTGGAGAGAGTTAAGAGGGCGCAGAGATATCAGACTTTTTCAAATCATAAAAATGTAGTCTACAAGTGCCCAAGCTCATTTTAACTTTGAAAACAACCAGTTTCAAAATGCCGTTTAAGTGAAAAATAAATAAAGACTTGAAGCTTGTTGGATGTACGAATTCATGAAAAATCTAGTATGCCCATGAAAGTCCCACGGTTCGGATTAAACATTAAAACGAGGAGGATCTTCGGAAACATGTTGCAAGTCTGAAAAGCAAGGCTTCTTGCAGAGAATCTCAAAGTTCAAACCAAAGAAAAATTTATCTCCACGGAAAAAAATTCCAAAATGTTTATGGCTCCCACGTGTGGGAGTTTGCTTATAAAGCGATTTCAAATTTGATTACGCATTTTTTTTTTCCTCCGCAACCCACCTTATTCACTGGAACAATGGCTCAGATAAGGAAGGAATGGGGAATTTTCCGCGTGGGAGAGAGCTTTCTTTTCAGCTGCCAAGAATTTCGAGTTGGAAGAAGAGTTGAAAAAAGGTGGAAGATCAGCTTTTTCCGGCGAAGGACAATGAGAGGAACTAATGAGGAAGGAACAATTGGTCGGAGGAAAACGAAAAGAAAGAATTGGGTGCTCTTTGAACGACCGCTTTTTCATTTGAACCGAGATCAATGATCTTCGGACTCCTTGGAAGTAAGGCTCAGATGGTAAAGCTTGTGACTCTGGTCGGCGAGGTCTCTGGTTCGATTCCCGGAGAAGTTTCTTTCTGATATTGTTCACTCGCGACGAATGATATAATTTTAATAAAATTTTCATCGATTTCCTTGTTTCTCCCTGTATCCTAAAAAAGCTGACATCGTGACGAATCGAATGATATAATCCAATAAACTGTAGCTGCTCTGGGAGCCGAGATATGATCTTTCAAAGTTTTTTTCAAAAATAAAATTGCGCGTCAGATATATTCCCTTGGCCGAGGTTGCGCGTCGGGTCAAGCGCCTGTCTGAGGCCCTCACCGGTGTGATTTCCTCGCGAAAAAGAAAAAGCTCAAAAAAAAAGTTTGTTATTTTCGAGTTTTTTCTAGTGTAATCGATAGAGCAGCTTGCATATGGGACTGTTATCATATCAGTTTGGAGAGAAAAGCTAAAATATTGGGAGAAAAATGGGTCCGAAAAAGTTGCATTTTTCAGACTTTCAAGCATCATAACATTGTTCATTTTTATGATACAGACAAACTGATTATATCAATCGATTCGTCTCATTATCAGCTTTTCAATGACATAGCACTTCATAAACTTGAATGCCGTCATGGGGATTTATCAGCATTCATCTGAGCTTATCCCTCAAACCGGATGATATGATCACCGTTCGATAGAGCGTCATGAGACGGATCTTCTAATTCGGTTAAATCCCTGATAACATATAACATTAGCTGATTGCAAGCTGAGAATAGTCTGAAGCTTCTGGATAAAACTCAATCATTTTGATACCTCTATCATTCGAAAGCTGACGTGGAGACTAATCGATTGATATAATCAGATAAGCTGTAGCTGCGCTGGGAGCCGAGAAATGAGCTCTGGAAGTTTGCCTTAAAAATAAAAATTGCGCGTCAGATATATTGCCTTGACCGAGGTTGCGCGTCGGGTCAAGTGCCTGTCTGAGGCTCTCATCGGTGTGGTTTCCTCGCGAAAATGGAAAAGCTCAAAAAAAAAGATGAATATTTTCGAGTTTTTTCTAGTTCAATCAATAGAGCAGCTTCCATATGGTACTGTTATCATATCAGTTTGGAGAGAAAAGCTCGAAAAATGAGGCAAAAATGGGTCTGAAAAACACGCACTTTTCGGACATTTAGGAGTCATAACTCCGTTCATTTTGAAGCTATATAGAAACTGATTGTATTGATCGATTCGTCTTATCATCAGCTTTTTAATGACATGACTTTAGAAGTTCCATCCGAATGACGTCATGAATGTTTTCGGCTTATATCGCAGCTTCTCCCTCAAACATGACGATATGGCAATCTATGGATTAAGCGTCATGAGACAGATCCTTTGATTTGGTCGGTTCCCTGATAACTCATCATGTCAACTAGTTGCCTCAATTTTTGTCATTTTTAAGACTTTGAAAAATCATAACTCCATTCTCAGGAGGTTAGGTACTTAGAGACCTAGTTTTTCTTGATCCTCGTGATCTCCTCTATCGATTGATACCAGTTTTGACCTACTTTCCATTTTTCGATCTCCAAGTTTAATCGGCTCTAACTAATGTCCTAGTTGACCTACGGAGGTCAAACCCGGTCCCCGGTTATTTTTTCGACGAGATCTATCGATTGATATAGGTTTCATCTTGATCGGCTTCCATGACCTCAGAAGCTCAAAAAAAAGCTAAGGGGTTAGACTGTACTTTTTTCAATTTTCCCGAAAATCAAAATTTTCCAGATTTTCACATCAATCGATAGGGAATGAAGTCAGAAGTCCGAAAGTTCAGGTCAAAATCTTCTCAGACGCCTATAAACAAAGTTATGATTTTTCAAAATTTCCGAAAAATCATAACTCGATTTCTAGGAGGTAAGGTACTCAGAGACCTAGTTTTTCTTGATCCTTGTGATCTCCTCTATCGATTGATACCAATTTCAAGAAGTTTCACATTTTTCGATCTCCAAGTTTAATCGCCTCTAACTTAGTTCCTAGTTGACCTACGGAGGTCAAACCTGGCCCCGGTTATTTTTTTGACGAGATCTATCGATTGATATAGGTTTCGTCCGGATCGGCTTCCATGATTTCACCCAGCTTTTCCCTCGAAATATGCGAATAGTACTATATAGAAGCTTCTCTACCAGTTAAGTTAGAAGAAACTCAAAAAAGCATCAGGGTTGAGGAAAAGCTGAGATTTAAGCCGCGGTTCTATGAGGTTATTCACGTTGATGGAAACTCGTGAAGATCTAACTCATTGGAAAGCTGATGATAAGACGAATCGATCGATATGATCAATTCCTCTGTAGCTTCAAATTGAAAAAAGTTATCAGCCTTGAAAGTCCGAAAAATGCCACTTTTTCGGACCCATTTTTGTCACATTTTTTGAGCTTTTCTCTCCAAACTGATATGATAACTGATTTATATAGATGGTGCTCTATCGATTCCACTAGAAAAAACTTGAAAATAACCAACTTTTTTTTTGAGCTTTTCCTTTATCGCGAGGAAAACACACCGATGAGGGCCTCAGACGAGCACTTGACCCGACGCCCAACTTCAGACAAGACAATTTATCTGACGCGCAATTTTAATTTTTAAGAGATTTTTGAACGCTTAATTCTCGGCTCGCAGAGCAGCTACAGCTTATCTGATTGAATCAATCGATTCGTCTCTTTATCTGCTTTTTTTTGATATAGGTTATCACTAGGTCAAGCTCCACACAAAAAGCTTCTATAAAGTTATCAGGGATCAAACTAAATCGTTTGAACCGTCTCAAGGCTTGATTCGATCTTGCCCAGCTTCTATGTTTATAACATTCGGAAAAATGAACAAAATAAGATTTTACCTATGCAGCGAAATAATAGGCTGGGACTTGTACAAAAAATAAGCTTTTTTCAGTTTATATCAACTTTTTTGCTCCGGAAAATGATCTCGATAAATTTTCAATACGGTTTCAAATAACAAGAAAGCGAATGTATATGTGTGAAGAACAGAAAAAAAAAAAATTTTAGTGTGTAATAATACGATACAAATAAACAAGAAAAAAAATGAAGGAAAAGCCTTATTTCGAAACAATGAAGGTGGAGGTGATCAGACTAGTTATGAAACGCGAAATGAGGGGTTTTCCTGCACAGAAGAAGCCCTTAACAACCAGGAACAAAACTGAAACTTCCGCGAAACTCCCAATTTCTCGGTAAAAGATTTGGAATGGGTCTTCCACCCGAAATTCAAAAAGAACACGTTTCGAAACAGAGTTACACGAAAAAAAAAGCCGGAAATGAAGAGGATGAAGAGATCCGTGGACGGTAGACGAGTTCCCGTGGGAAATAAGCCGCTTCTTCACGCTTCCCAGACTTTTGACCTCAAAGTTCTTAGGAGAAAAATTGGATCGAGTTGAGTGAGGAGAGGTTTTTTAAGTTTCCAAAAGACGTCTTCCACCATTTCCATCTTAAAATGAACGCCTAGAAAAAATTACAAACAATACCAAGTTTTTTTTTTGGCGCAACCGACCGGAAACGGCTTGCGCGAAGAATTAAGAAGCCATTATAAGAAGCTTCATGAAACCGTGACTCCATGAGCTTTTCTACACATGATCACGGCGTTTCAAGCCGGTTGAAATTTTTTACGAATTCGAAAAAAAAACCTCAAAAAAAGGATGATTTTTTACCTTTTCTCGATTAAATTGTCAAAATAAAGTTCTGCTTCTTCCTTGAAAATGAAGAATCACCCAAAAATTTGAAGAAAAGTTTTTGACACGAAATCAGAGATTTCAAATCGTAAGGAATAATGTTGAGATCTTCTTTTTGAATTATATCAACGCTTCTTGAAGAATCACAAGCTAAGAATGATGAAAAAAATATATGTATACTCACCTAAACTTCACTGAAAAAAAGGTAGACTTTCAAAAAAAAAATTCGGAAAACTTGAGAAACATTTTTAAAAGCCATATGCGTTTTTAGGACACTTTTCAGCCGAACTTTGGATTTTTTTATTCCGTTTCCGAGTTTTTTTATTTACTTTACCACCGATCGGATTTCAATTCCAGAACCAATCATTATCTGAAAAAAAATTATAAATATAACCGCACTATAAAATTTAAAGTTTTCGTGGTCCTTCCGATTTTTGAAATGGTTGTTGGAAATATTTTTCTAAACTCCGTATTCCCCGACAAATTGAAAATTCTCCTTGACTGTACCTAGAATTTTTATCATTTTTATAAAAAAATTCGATTTTGATGACAAATCTTCCAGTTCTATGATGAAAAAAACCTTTAGTAAAAAGTTCAGGGCACTTTTCAAATGTCAAAAGTCTTAAAAACTCAACTTTGTATTTCTGAAAATAAAAGCTTTCTTCACTAAAGTTAAAAATTTGAAGTTCAAAACGAAAAGTTTGTTTTTAATTGGATCAAAATCAAAGATAGATGATGGTACGACAAAATCTCAAGTCCGCGAATCTCGAGGACCGTAATCTTGTGTACGCAGATCTAAAGTCCCATAATCTTGGAAACCAAAACTTGGAGACCACAATCTTGGGAAGCAAAAATCTTTCTTTTTAGTCTTCTTTATTGCACTTTATCTACGTATATTCTCTTGTTTGGATCACCGAATACAATTTCTGATAAAATCTATTCGCAAAAGCGTTGATTTTTTACTTTCCAAGATTGTGGTTTCCAAGATTTCGGTTTCCAAGATTATGGGACTTAGATCTGCGTACACAAGATTACGGTCCTCGAGATTTGCGGACTTGAGATTTTGTCGTACCATCGAAAAGATAATCAACATTAATACAATCATTTTTTTCCCATTGATCGGAAATTTAAAAAAATACCTTTTTTTCTGGGAGCCAAACGCGTTGGACCCAGCACAAATCTGTAATTTGAACTCGTATTTATACAAATATCATTGAACTTCTTCCGTATCGATAATTTTCAAGTTCAGCTTTCCAACTTCGAAAAAAAAAACTTTATTACAAATAAAAGAAACGACAGCAAAATACAAAAATTTCAAAAACAGTAGGATTTGGTTTGTTTTAGAGCTTGCATAAACTGTGTGATAAACTAAAATGTGTGGTTAAATATAATTATGCGAGGCGTATGCGTTAAAATGTCAAAAAAGGAGAGTTAGAAACTGGTAAGGAGGTAAGAAATACATATAATAAAACGTGTTTTTGGATTCGATGTAAGAGATAACAGGAGAGAAGCGGCGAATTGAATCACAAAAATATTAACTGAAAGTCTTAAAATAAGGCTCTAAATTAAGAAAATTGCGATTCAAAACGCGCAGGGGCAGCGATAGAGCGAGTTTCGAATTTGGGATTGCGATTCGTTTAAGAGACGACGAGCGGCTCAGCTTCGACGACTCTGAAAAAAATAAGCAATTAAAATAGTTCACTTTATTGAAATTGAATTGAACATGCACAAGTTCTTCCTATTCTATCATGCGAGTTAAATTCACTGTTAAATTGGATTTGTTAATTTCGTAATGATTCTCTTGGAAGAGCTAAATCATGCGATTTTTGATGAAATTTTTTTTTGGGAAAAATTTTGAAAGCTTTATCGATTGACTTCCAAATTGGCTCTACTTGTCAACTTTTGGATTTTGGTTCCAAAACTCTCGCAGTTAAACTTGATGCTTTATTTTTTTTTCGAATTACGAAACTGAGAAAAAAAAACGGTCAAAGTTTTTCTCATTTGACTTGCATCGAAATCGGTATATTTTTTGCTCCGAACCAACAGCGAACAACATTTACGAGGTTAATATCTAGTCTATCGATTATTAGGGTTCTATCTACTATCTTCAACGATAAGCTTACAAGATCGCTTCGGCAAGACGCTTCTTTAATTGTAAGCGTTGCTATAACACCAAGATTTTCACGAGTTCATCATCTTTCTTCTGAAACTTACTCCTTGCCAGTGAGGGGCTTGAGTTCCTGGTTGCCGGTGAGGACGACGTACTTCTCCTCGACGTCCTGAGGAGTGTGGAAGCCGATGAGGAACTGGTAGAGCCAGCCTCCGAGGACAGCGCCGATGAAAGGACCGAGGACAGGGACCCAGAACCAGTTCTTGTGCCTGTAATTGAAAAATTCCGTTTCAGACTTTCTGGATGATCTTCCACTGGAAGAAAAGTTTCATGATACATTCGAAAAAAATTTTCTTATTTTCCTGTCCTCCTGGATAAATTTAATATTCTTTCCAAATTTTAACCAAAGGTGTTCAAATTTTTTCTTCAAAACTCTTTAGGCCAACACAAATTTCAGTTGATTTATCTCTTTTTTTGTTTTTGCTTCCTGTCGAGGTCATTTCTCACTGGAAATTTTTTATAGGTGCCTCTTACTCTATATTTCAAATTTCTTTAACAAGATTTATTGCAAAACTGAGAATGGGGCTTTAAAAGGGAACTTTTACTTTTTCAAACCTCACCTAACAAAAATACTAAAATTTGACAGTTTCTGAGTCTTAATTGAGAAAAAAGGATGGCAACATGAAAGTCATTTTTCACCTTGACTTTCGTCACACAATTAAGAAGAACTGTTTCTTGGGCATCTAAAAAGACCTCTAAAACACTTATTGCTTTGCGCAGACGGAAAAATGTCCTTGGTGAAATTGTTCTCGACACGGCGCGCAACGGAAAAATACCAACAACACATCGAAATTCGCTCCCTAATTCACGTCCTCCAAACAATTTTCTCTCCATTTTTTTTCTCCGGGTACGGGTCAACGCTCAGAAAAACGGGAGAAAGAGAAACTCCAAAACAAGAGGAGAAATGTTGTTTTTTGTTTTTTTTTTTTGTTGTTGATCAACCGCAGAATACCAATGAGAGAAGCTCCCGAGGCTGTTATTGCCTCATTGCGGGGCAGCCAATGCAAAAAACAAGGCCATAAATGGTGTCACGAGGTTCACGAGCATCAAGTTCATTTTCTAGCCAACTGGTGCATCGATGAGAATGTTTTGCTCTAATTAAGTTTGAATGCGAATTGCAATTATTTTCTGGATGTTAAAAAACTTGATGATTTGCAAGTTTTTCGATTTGATATCGTAACAACGACTAAGTCCTAATATCCCTTTTCCTCCCAAATATTCCAGTTTTTCTTCTCCAGGTGCCAGAAACTTACGAGAAGACTTCTCCTCCGTAGACGAAGAGGGTGAAGAGCCGGGGTCCGAAGTCGCGGGCCGGGTTCATGGGGAAGCCGGCGTTGTATCCGAAAGCGACGCCGACGCCGAGGAAAGCGGTTCCGACGAGGACGGGCTGGAGCCAGCTGGCGTATGAGTTGCGCTTGTCGGTGACGTGGGCGATCAGGAAGCAGAAGACGGCCGTTCCGACGATCTGAAACTCGACTTGATTATCATGTTTCTCGTCAATTTTTTGCTCATAGTTCAACAACTTTGTCTCTGAAGAGCTCAATAAAATCATTTTTCGTTCCGATTCACCTGGTCCAGGAGACCGTTGAAGTTGCTAAGGTGGAGCGAGGGGTAGGAGGCGAAGATTCCGGCGGTGGCGCGGGGACCGACGACGGTGTGGTTACCTCCGTCGAAATGGTTGATGGCGTCTAGAATTTTCAGATGCATCTTTTTGTCATAAATGTAGTAGTATAGTTCATGACTTAAAACGCGAAATTTCTGCCGCGTTTCAAGCTAATTTGACGCTCATGGAGATACAGTTCTTCGCGTTTAGAAGGACGAGCCAAACTCCGCGTAATTGGCAAGAAAAGCTTTATCAGAAATTATCCAAAAAGGCAGTACGATTTGGCGGTCTGCCGAGTTTCGACTCAGCCTTTGGACTAGAAAAACTGTTTCGCTGTCAAATCAACTATAAACGCGGATTCAAAGACAGTCAGGGGCCTTTTTCTTTCTGCGCTCGACACGCGACGGTGATATCTCTTTTATGCTCCGGTTTGCAGCAAAACCAAAATTTGAAATCGTTGCACCGCATCGCGTCAATTCAATCTCTTGCGTTTCAACTCCTGTCGCTCAAAACATACCACAGTAGACGGCGTAGGAAACGAGGGCTCCGAAGAAGGCGCCGAGGGTCTGAACGATGGTGTACAGGACGAAGCGGAGCGGGGACAGTTGCTTGAAGGTCAAGAACATGAGAGAAACGGCCGGGTTGATGTGTCCTCCTGGAAAATATTGAATAAAGGCCATTAATTTTCATATTTTTGTTAATTTGTCGAACCCTGAAGCTCTCCCAGCCCCTTTATCCCTTCTTAGTACATCAAATTACTTTTTCTCCCTAATATTGCGAGCCAACTTTTGAAGAACGGCATAAAAACGATGGTACGACAAAATCTCAAGTCCGCAAATCTCGAGGACCGTAATCTTGTGTACGCAGATTTAAAGTCCCATAATCTTGGAAACCAAAATCTTGGAGACCAAAATCTTGGAAACCACAATCTTGAAAAGTAAAAATCAACGCTTTTGCAAATAGATTTTATCAGAAATTGTATTCGGTGATCCAAACAAGAGAATATAAGTAGATAAAGTGCAATAAAGAAGACTAAAAAGGAAGATTTCTGCTTTCCAAGATTGTGGTTTTCCAAGATTTTTGGTCTCAAGATTTTGGTTTCAAGATTATGGGACTTTAGATCTGCGTACACAAGATTACGGTCCTCGAGATTTGCGGACTTAAGATTTTGTCGTACCATCATAAAAACATTTGTTTTTCGAATTTTCAAAGGTTTGAACATCTTGAAGTTTGTTGAAACTTGTAGAATTTTGAAGTAAAATTTTTCCCCATTCGAACGCAGTTTAGGGCTACAAAACGTTTTCAATACTACTTTTCAATTCTTTTCCCATATTCTGAGTCATCATTCAAATTGTTGAAGGGGGGGTTTTCGATTTCCCGGTTCCAAAATGTTAAAGTCAAAAAAATAAATATCTTTTTTTGAGCTTTTTGAATAGATTTTGTTTTTTTCTAGTTCATTAAAAGAGCGAAAATTTGCCATTTCTCACTCAAAAATTCCGATTTTTCTCTAATTTCCAAATCTCATCCGTTCTGGAACCGAGTCCTTTCCCACAGTGCAAGATTCTTTGTTTCTCATCCCTCTATCCGAAAGAAACGCTCTCAAAACTGATTTCGCCTCACCCCGAGGCTCCACGTTCTCTTCTTTGTGCTTTTGTTGTTGTTATTTTGGCCTCTTTCTCCTCGTCTCTTCACGGTTGTTTTTACGCTCGTGGATGCTACTGAGGTCGTCTCTCGGATACTCAGCGACGCGTAGCGAAACAAAAAGCAATAAACGGGGCAGACTGCTGGCCCCGTGGCCGAATTATGCAAAACGTGCCGTGTCACGGCCTCGATTTCATCTCTTTATCGTTTGGGAAGTATGGCGTAAATTATGTTAACACCTCGTATTTATCTTTGTTTCATTCCTAGTGGAGAGCACAAAGAACGAGTAAAGTTCCCATGGCAAAATTGATATTTTGAACAGAAAATCTCTCACAAGACGGTCTGAAAAACTGAGAAAATGCTGAAAGCGAAGAAACTCAATTGCAGCGCAAAAGGCATGAAAACACTTTTCTTATTAACAATTTGAGTATTAAAAACAGCGACAAACGAACTGAAAACCTTTTTTGCAGCTTTTTAATGAAAATTTTGGTCAGATATACTTTTTTTTGGATTTTGTAGCATTGTGAAACTCTACTTTTACATAAATTTCTGATAAAAAACTTTTTGGAAGGATCCAAGCTATTTGTTCTCTTCCAAGCCTTACAACGAATGAAATTTCAACTTCCCACAGTTTAGGTGTTTACTATAGAAAACACTCTAGCGTGGGATCATGACCATATCATGCGGACGAATCTCATTTTCGCCCCCACAATCCATCAAAACAACACTTCGGGAAGCGTCAGCCCAAATATGTGGACGGAAGCGACGGACCAGAAATTTTGGCCGACACGGCGACGCCGAAAAGGATGGCGAGGGCGAAGCCGATGTAGACGTTGACCATATCGGCCGGCTGGGGTCTCTTCAGGACATGCTGGGCCACAGCGCTGTTGCCGATCAGCTGAAAAAATTATTAAAAGATTAATTATTTTTCTCTGCAAAGGGATCCATCAGAATCCCATCAGAATCCCAACAAATTTGGGGAAAATCTCTGCTTTAAACGTCATAATCTTTTCAGTATACTCAGACTTCAAAGCCTTTTTTTCGAAAGTACTTCTGGCTCAAAAAAACAAAGTTTCAAGTTTCAAGAATTTAAATAACCAGTTTGTTTCTAATTTCCTGTCTTTTTCTCCCTATAAATTTAACCTTCTTTAAAATCCAAAAATCCACTCCATTCATTCCCAATTCCAAGAGACTTTGTCGCGGCAAAAACACACACATTGACAATACATCGGAAAAGGCCACAAGGGAGCAATTCTTGTCGCAGAGCGCGTTCTTTTCCGAGATTTTCCCATTTCAAGATTGATCGTTTGGGTTTGGCGTTCGTCGTCGTCATTGGCCAGCGAGGCTTCAAAGATCTTTTCTCTTTCTCAATGTGCAACGGGAGGAAGTCATACTAATAGATGCGTTTCGGACATTAGTAGGCCGCGAGGGTGGACTTTTCCACTCCGAAATGCCAATTGCACCCATCCGAACGACCTCCAATGGCGCAAGTCTGGTCTGGCGTCGGCAGAGCACTGCGCGGAGAGGTCTGGTGGCGGTGAAATATGGCACGGCACACGTCCAAGATTTTTATCTGTTGCGACGGTCATACGGGTGATGGTGGACGTCTGGCGGACACAAAACTTTATGGAGGTCCTGGGGAGCAACCGTCCGCGCGTTGTAAAGGTCGGCTTTCTGCTCAACAGGAGGTCGTCTCAAGAAGATGGATTCCTTCGCTCGCCCGACCAGCCAATCGAAAATGCCATTTGCACCAATATGAAGGACAACCGAGCTTTCGAAAACCACAAGAAAAACGATCTTTTGAAAAAAAACCCTGCGAGATTTCTCCGCAGAAAAAGTAGACTCGAGCTCTTTTTTCGGTTAGAAAACTTCAGAATTGCCCACATCTGCGCTCTTTCCTACACTTTCGAGTCGTTTTCTGTGGAGAAAAAAGTTGAAGAAATCGACTCTGACGAGGATTTGCAAAAAAGATCGTGAAGCACATGTGTAGCCTTTTTTTCTTGGCTGTTTAAGATAGTTTTCCAGTTGGCTCTTTTCGACGCAGGAGCAAAGGAATACCCCAGTTTCTATTAGAATAGAGGACAAAAAACAACTCAAACATCGAAAATTGTATTCGATGAGAGCGCGAAAGTACTCCGCGACAGGAAATTATTTTGGAGCCTAGCCCTCTTTTTTCAAAATGAAAAGCAAGCTTATCAAAACAACTTTCCAAGGTACTTTTGTAGTGCATATTGAATACAATTTCCTGAATTTTCTTCTAACGGGGCGCATATGGAATACAATTTCCAAAGTTCTTTGCTCATTATCTAGAATTCATCTAATCTACGGCGGCTCATTTCCGCGCCAAACTTTTATTTCGAATCAGCCATTCTTCAGAAGAAACCAACGCGTGGTAGATTGGCATCGGGCCAAAACGCCGGCAGATGACATTGGCGGTTGAAATCAAAGCGTGCGGAATGAATACTACGTGTGCTGGGAAAGGCGGCCGACGGTCAAAGCGGCCTTTTTTCTTTTTTCTGCCTTTCCAGTGATGCACCAGAGACCATCCGCTCTTTTGTTTCCAATTATCAAGTCCGTCGGAAACGAATGATGAGTGTCCCTTTGCGTGTGTGTCCGTGTGAGCGATGCCACGGCCTCCAAATTCGATAATTATCGGATTGTGGCCAACGTCGTCGACGTCGTCGTCGCATGCAAATTAAGGGTGTGTGGACTGTCCCGCCGGGTGCACCCTCCGATGGGTCAAGCGGTCGTCACGCCGGAAATTACTTTGCAGTCTATTATACGTATCCAAAGAACCATGCCTATGTTTTGAAGGTTGAACGCAATTTTTCAAAACTGTAAACCCAGCAAAAGAAGAGATTCGAAATAAATCGTGTGAACCTTCTGCGAGAAATCGTGTTGAACAATGTTGGCTTTAGCTGGGAAAAAATCAAGGAAATGCGAAAAAAAAAAGGAAGAAATGTTCGCAAGCGAATTTCGCAAAAAAAAATATCTGAACGAAAACTTTTTCTGAACTTCAAGCCCTTGTTTTGCTTTATTTTGAGACGCGTAAGAGTTTGAAAAAAACTCAAACAAGACAGAATCAAAAAAAAAAAAAATGGAAATCAGTTTGAAAAAATTTTGAACTGAAAATATAAATTCACCATAAACTCTATAAAATAAAGGTTCTAAAAAAATAAATTTTTCCTCTAAAGACGTCAAAAAAATTTTTTTATTTTTGCAAAATGGTTTTTTTCTGAAACAGTTCGATCTAGGGTTTCTCATCGCGACTTTCTTCCTTTTCACTGCTCATTTTGTTCTCGATTCATGGCAAACGGCAATGAAAACCCTACATGATCATTTAAGAACACTTTCTTTTCCATGAATTGTTTGAACCCCTAGAAAATGTATAGCGTAAAAGTTGTTTACTGCCTATTTCAGGGAGCAACGAAACATTGACCAAATGCTTTCTTTCTTCTTTTTTTTTCTCCTACTCCAGTCGGATCCCAAGAGCGGCAAGTAATTGGAAAAAAAAAGCCTCAAATTTTGATGCGATCATTTTCCATTCTAACGCTTGGGAAGGACGAATTAAAAGGGCTCTGGCAGGCAGCAAAAACAATGTTGCTGCATCATCTAATGAGGAACATGTGTCCCCGAAAGCCTCGCAAGCGTAGAATTGGGAATGAAACGGAGGCAATTGGCATTGAGCTCATTTCTGGAGGAGCCACACATCTGCTGCGACACGCGATTGTCGCCCTTTCGGGTTTGAAAATGAGGATCTATCTGGTCGGATTATCGAGGCTTAATTTAGAACGATCGGACGCCTATGGTGCTTGAGTAGGTCTTTAAGATCTATTATGCAACGAAAACTAGCCAAATTTTCTTTCAAAACTATCAAAAGCTCCCCATTTGAAATTTCCTAATAATATTTAATTTTTTAAAGGACGTGTTCAATGGAGAAAAAGAACATGCCCAGAAATCTGTGAAGCGTGAAAAAAAGCCTTTCTCTATTTTAAGACATTTTCTCTACTGACCAATGAACAAACGTCACAATTCAATAAATAAAGTACTAATATTTTCAAAATGTGACAAAATAAAATACCAAAAGCAAGAAGGTGCCGGTGAACTCGGCGAGCAGAGCACGAACAAGGTCGTTCTTCACGTGGACTTTTGCCCGAATGTGATCCAGCACCATTTCTGAAAGTTATTAATTTAATCTCAAAAAAAAGAAAAGCGGGGAAATAAAACGACAAAAATCAGCACAAAATCCCCGAAAAGGACAAGTCGCATGGACTTGTTTTTTCCCTCGCTCTAAGCTCCCACGCACGACAGGAGTTCGTAGAAAGAGCCGAGATAAAACTGCGAGAAAAACAACAAGATAGCGCATGCTGGGAGCAGAGCAAAATTCGACTTTTTTTTCTTTCCAACTCAATTCTCAATTCGATTGCCACCGAAGATAAAGGTTTGTACGGGGCGAAAAACATAGGTTGTTTGCATGACTTTGATAGCAGTAAAAACTGAGAAAAAACAAGTAATAAAATTGTAGGTTTGAAAATTCAAAGAAGATCATCGGTCTAGAAGTTACGCAGACAGAAAATGTTTTAATACAAAAAAAAATTAAAACCATGAAAAGTTTTCAAATGTAGCAAAAAAAAAACAAGATTGGGATAATTATTTGATGTTATTTCTACAATTAAATCTGAAATAGTTTTGATTGTGAGAAAAAATTTCACACAATAATATAATTTGACACACGGGAAAAAAATGACATTAAAAAAAGGCATGTTCTAAAAACACGAGCGGTTGTGGGGCACGAGCGGCACGACCGTTACTAAATCACGAGCGGTTTCATTTTTCGCTCCTTCGCGAACGCTTCTAAATCACGAGCGTTTTTTTGGCTTATCGTTCTGTTCGAGCGTTTCTAAACCGCGAGCGTTTCATTTTAATCATTTTTCTTTATTACCATCCAAGTGTGTTTTTTTCATATTTCTACCTTCTTTTTTTCTCCTTGAATAAAAAAATTTTGACGATCTTATATGCACATTTTTTCGCTCAATTTGTTGATTGATTCACATTTGAGGTTCATATAATGGATTTTTTCTAAGTTTTTTTGCGGTCTCTATAATTTCACAGAAAAAAATTTTTGAGAGAAAGTATTAGAAAAAAATTTGCTATACGCAAAATTTGAGAAATATTGACTTTCATGCGAGACGTCTGTGAAATATTAGTTTATCATACGCAAAAATCTGTGAAATATTGAATATGAAAAATCAGATGAAATTATTAGAAAAAAATTTGCCATACGCAGAATCTGTGAAATTATAGAGACCGCAAAAAAACTTAGAAAAAAAATCCATTATATGAACCTCAAATGTGAATCAATCAACAAATTGAGCGAAAAAAATGTGCATATAAGATCGTCAAAAATTTTTTTATTCAAGGAGAAAAAAAGAAGGTAGAAATATGAAAAAAAAAACACACTTGGATGGTAATAAAGAAAATGATTAAAATGAAACGCTCGCGGTTTAGAAACGCTCGAACAGAACGATAAGCCAAAAACGCTCGTGATTTAGAAGCGTTCGCGAAGGAGCGAAAATGAAACCGCTCGTGATTTAGTAACGGTCGTGCCGCTCGTGCCCCACAACCGCTCGTGTTTTAGAACATGCCTTAAAAAAAAGTTTTCGAAAACTCCGAGAAAAAAAGTGACGTCATAATTTAAAGGCGCATAGTTGTACGGTAAGCTTTATGAAAAAAAGACATTTTACGTTTTTTTCAAAATAAAATTTGCAATTGAAGTTTTTTTCTTTTTTTTTTTTTTCGCTTTCAATTTATGCAAAAAAACCGAAAATTTCTCAAAATTAGACTTTCTGTTAACTAGGCTCTCAAAACTCTACAAAAAAAGTAATTTTAATAAATGTGGAAACTTTTTTTCAATTTTTTTAATATCACTCAAAAATTTTTTTAAATCTGGATATAGTATTCGGAGAATTTTTTCGGGTGATTTAAACGCACATGAGTCTAAAGCTAAATTTTCAGATACAACTTCATTACGGTTCTTGGCCTTACAAACATTGAAATCAGATTTTTTTTTTCAATTTCTGCGCATTCGAACGTTCCAGTAACAATTTTTTTAACAAATAAAACTGCAAAAAATCTCGGCAAGTTTCTCAAAATAAGAATTCGAGTGAAACTGATTTCAAAACAAGTGTAATTTTAAAGAATTATGCGCAACTTTCGTGCAGATGTAATTGAAGTGTTTTAAAAAGATTAATAGATGAGAAAAAAAAAGTAAAAATTAAACGATGAATAATTAGAATGAAGTTGTTTACAATGGCCTTCAGTTAAACGGGATACCGGACTGAACCAGGCCGGCGTTGACTGATGGAAAATGGGCGGAGTCGCTCTGCCGGAGGGTGTTGTTGTGTCCTCCACGGTATATAGACCACGCCTACATTTTTTCCGTCCGTTTGGGTGCAACGACCACCAAACAGAGACCGAAATTGCCCGATTTCGGAACGATTTGCAATGGGAACAACGTTGAAATGATCAATCGAATTCTCGATATGTACAGATTGGAATTCGCAGAGCCGGACAAAAAAAGATCGATTCAGTGGGAAAGTTTGCAATGCTTTTTGGACTTCAGAATTTCCTACAAGATTCTTTTGCTGTGAGTGACTTTTTGTATAGTAAAAGTTGTTTTGGCGTTCCACACATTTTTCTTCTACAAATATTCGCGTTAAGGACCTTGGTATTTGCTTCTCTCCTTGACTGTATTGCGTTTTTAACTTGAAAATTTTTCAGGAAAGTAGGGAATTATTGATTTTTGACGAAGTTTCAAAATAAATAAAATGAAAGAATTTTGAAGCTTTTAAAACCCAAGGTGTCACACCGGCAAAATAATTATATGCCGAAGGGAAGTCGGTGACAGCTGCCGCTTCGAGATCCGTGTCAACTGATTCACCGTCGAAGATGTATCATCAATCGGCGGAGGCGGTCGCGTGGCCCCCTGCCAATTGCTTCTTGGATCTTTGGCCTGGTTCCAAACTTATTTACAGAAACTCGAGGGCATTTGAGGAATGAAAAATTATGATTTATCGATGTGTGGCATCTTTTTCATGGTAATTTTCAATTCAAAACTGTTTTTCAATTTTTAGGAATCACAGAAATCAATATTAGTCAGATTTCTACTTGCAAATAACTCCCTTTTATCGATTCTCGATCAAAATTTTCTCTTTTTATGAACGATTCAATTTTCATCACCATTTGAAAACGACTATACACCTTTAGCACGTGCAGGAAAAATCGAAGAGCAACAAACGAAAAAAAAAACACAAGAATGGCTGAAAATAATCAAAGACGACAGCTGCCCTGGCCTGGCCCAGGGCGTAAACTAAACTTCTGAGCGCCTTTCATTTTTAATGTGATCTTTTTCCCGTGTCCTTTTTGTCTCATTCTGTTCCACGTCGTTGTTTTTGACGTGTTTCTCGTGAAGGAAAACATTTTTTGATCTCAATTTTAGGGTCGTCTGGGCAAAAACAAATGGAAGCGTAATAAAAAATGTGGCGATCGTAAAAAATTCATTTTCAAACCAAAAAAAACTTTAGAAAAAATCAAATTTTGAAATTCTAGAAAAAAATATTTCGAAATGCCCAAAAGTCAGAAGATATTCAAAGGCGCAGGGCAAAATTATTTAAACATACCTTTTTTACCCCGCGCTTTTGAATATTAAACCTACCCTCGAGAGAAAAAAAGTACATATTTTCCCAACAAAAAGGTCAATTTTCAGTGGAAACCTCAGAGGAGAAATGTGTAAAAACCGAGTCACTTTTCTCCAGAAATTTATTTTCCGTTTCCCAACAGCTGTGTTGGTGTTTTTGGTTGAAACGAACAGCTCATCACAGGATTTATGTGTTTGGCTTGAGGTGGGGGTTGAAAAAATTCTGAAAGAACTTGAAAAATCTCTTCGAAAGACACTCATACTTTTAAAGGAACATCTAGAGGAACATTTTAAAGGAACATTAAATAAACCATGCTTCAAGTACCTTTAATTAGAATTTCCAAAATGATCTAAAAAAAAAGCTTCTAGGTGCACAAAGAAGCATAGGAAAGTTGAAAAAACCGAAAATTTGAAATTAATGTGTCCACCTATTAAAGGAGCATAGGTCAACTTGAGCCACACCTATGCGCCTTTAAAATTTTCGAAAATGTTATCAATGAACTATGGGGAACTTTGTTAGACGAACGTAGAAGGGCTTTACAAGCGAAATGAACAAGACGAGCCCGACCTAAAACGGCTTGCGCACGGAGGCATCGGTGAGCAGCTACTTTGAGCAAAGCCAAAGACAGACATTCTCCATCCACCGTACCCCATCAAAAACCACTAGAAAAGCTATAATTAATGTCTAAATTGGTTAATTAAGCCAACTTTCCGCGGCTCGGCACGAAAACAATTAACCGACTTCCTAGTGAGCAACTTTTAGAGCTTTGTTTTCGGCTTTTCAGAGCCAATATCGAGTTTCTACCGTGAAGTAACTTAATAGCGTTAGTCGAGGTTCTCAGTTAGAAGATATTAATTTTTAAAAATGGTCTAAACATCATTGTTTTGTCAAAAGACGTGGCTAGAGATCAGTGTCGCCTAACAGAGAAATTTCAAAATTTTCTTTCTCTGGCGTTTCTTCAAGCTTTTCTAGTGACAAGAAAGAAGAAGATCGGCCTAAAAATTGAAATTGAAACAAAGCGCAAGCTAGAGAACACAGTGCCCTGAAGAGACGCCAGACACTTAGAGTTTTCTAGCTTCTCTGGCGTCTCTTCAGGCCCTCGCTGATCTCTCGCTTCCGCTACTTGGAAGTGTAGTTTTGATGCAAATTTTCAACTCAATCTTCATTTTAAAGACAAAAATCTTCATCCGAACTCGGAGAAAAAGGCCTTGATAAAAGAACTCTTCGATAAAACGTCTTGATCCGCCGCCGCCGACGTTATCAGTGGAGCGCATCTTCTCACGGCCCACCGCACATCTGTGCCTTTTTCTGCACCGAGATCCGTGCAGCGATACTATTTTGAGCCGTTTGTTGACGTCATAAAACAATGTCAATGACGTCATTTTATTTTATTTTCGAAGTTCACGACTTTCAAGTTCTCTAACAAAAATCGAAAAAATACGTCATACCGAGATTTCGTGACGTCATAACCGAATGGAGAAAATTCATTAATAAAATAATTTTTGCTGATTTTTGAACTATCTTATGACGTCATCCAACCCTTTAGTGACGTCATAGTCAATTTAAAACGCTTCCAAGATTTTCTAACTTGCGAAAACGTTCAAATTTAGTCAATCGTGTTAAGACCCGATTCATTCAAATTAATTTTTTCTGAGTAAATGATCAAAAAAAATTTCCCTTGTTTTCGCCTAATTTACTTCTGATAGTGATAAACAACTAGAGGAGCGAAAATCACGACGGCCATATTTATCAGAAGGTTACGGTAGTCGTCATGTCAATGGAGCGCGCTTGGGAGCGAAAAGTGTGAAATGTATGCAATCCGACGGACCATGTTGTAATCCAATCCAAATTTGGCCTCCATATGCATATGGAAATGGATTTAATGATATATTCGGATTTGGCCGTGCACTTTTGACAGGAATTTGACGTTTTGGGATTTCGAAATTCGGAAGAGGGATTATAGGAGAAAAAGAGCTAATCCTTGAAAAACTTTGAGGAAAAGTGGTGTCAAAATGGCTCATTTTTTCCGAATCGTAAAAAAACTAACGAATCATTAACAACTACAGGAAGTGGAAATCAACGCTTTTGGGTTCCAAAGGGTTGCGCCCGACCCTAAACGACTTACGGACTCTGCTAAGCTTCACTTCGTTTTTAAACCGAAAAAGCAAAATTAAGCCCAAATATAGCTTTATTCTATCATTCAGATTTATGTAAGCCAGCCGAATTTGATGAGTCTGTCAGAAAAACTGACTTTTTTAGCTTTTTTTGCAAGTTTTTTTCTATTAATTCTCATTTGAAACGAAGCAGTTCAAGCTTTTTTTCGAGCTGAAATTGAAATTTACAACGTTTTTTTTTTTTTGGTTTGTAGACTTTTTTATTTGAAACTGTCCAAAAAACCACCAATTTCCGCCTTTCGCAAAATTTTCTTCTGTTAGTTTTCGATGAAATCGAGCTTTTCGAGTCAAATTGAAATCTACAACCTTTTTTGGGTTTTTAGGCTATTCAGTCTGAAGCTGTTCAAAAATCAACATTTTTCCGCTTTTTTTAAATTTTTCTTCTAGTAGCTTTTTGATCAAATCGAGCTTTAAAACCATATTTTTTTCGAGTCAAAATCGAAATTTTTCAAAATTTTTTTCAGTTTTTTTAAACATGGACAAAGTATTTCCATTTTTTTACAAAAAAATTGTTTCAAACTGTTCGAAAAAAATAAAAAAATTTTTTTGCCTTTTTTTCTTCTCGAAGCTTTTTCATCAAATCGCGCTTTCAAACCATATTTTTTTCGAGTCGAAATCAGAATTTTCTTTTCAAAATTTTTCAGTTAGAATATTAATTCGCATGGTCAAATTTTTTTCATTTTTTCAAAAAAATGTTTTTTTCTTTCATTTGTTTTTGGATCTAAAACCGTCAAAAAAAATTCCCATTTTCCGCCTTTTTCAAGATTTTCTTCCAGAAGCTCTCATTCGAAACGAAGCATTTCAAGCGTACCTGACCAGAGCCCTTTTCCATTCAAACCAATTCAGTGGCGCAGGTCAAGGAGGACTGCATAATAATTGAAACTAATGACGATGGCACCGGCGGAGCCGTCGCTGGAGAGATAATCCCTTTCGGTTTCCATGGCGATATACCTCGACAAATAACAACAACCTCTACCTTGTGCCCTTTTTAGAGAGTGCAATTGGTTATTTATGAGGAACGGATATGTGGGGAGTTATGAATTTAGAGATCGCAGGGCGGGAATCGAAAAACTTTCACATGGAAGGTCATTTTTGCGTAGGGTTTAAAATTTTCTATAAATCTTTGATGGACTGTGAATCGATCTTCCATAGTCGCTATCTACGCAAACTTTTCGTTTTGGAGATATGATTTTTTAAAGTTTTTGTCCTTAAACACGTGACAACTTTTGGAAGGAATGTGTCCGCAGCACAAGTCATTGCATGGCAGCTAGAAGCGTGGTGGAGTGGCTAGCGCAGTAGCCTGCTAAGCCTATGATGAACGTTCGAATCTTTTTGCCGCGTTTGTTTTTTGTCACTTTTTTTTGACGGATTTTGATAAAAATATCAAAAACCGTTCGATGGCCATTTTCTTCCAGAAATTACTTTTTTTACAGAAAACTTATTTTTGAAATCTTCTCGAAGTTATGATCATCACATCATCCGTGACTATTTTTTTTTCCGATTCCGAAAATTGTCACGTGTTTAAGGACAAAAACTTTGAAAAATCATATCTCCAAAACGAAAAGTTTGCGCAGATAGCGACTATGGAGGATCGATTCCCAGTCCATCAAAGACTGTTTGAGCAAATTTATAGAAAATTCCAAACCCTACGCAAAAATGACCTTCCATGTCAGAGTAAAACCAGTCTTCGTTTTTTGTGTTACCTTTCTCGGCTTTTTTAAACGTTGTCATTCTGAAAAGGAAAATTTCAAAAATCTAAATATATTTATTGGAGAAGCAGCTGATCGGGAAGCTCATAACTTTTATACTTCTATCACGAAAATACTTGCTGATCTACGCGCCGTTCTTGATCAACGACAGTTTTCTGGACCGACAGAAGCTTTTTAACTATTATTGATACAAAAGGAAACCTTGAAGACTGAAGGAATTTTTCAAATACATTCACTGCAGTAAAAGGTGTTTTTGTACTTTTTTAATCATTTTTACTCAAAAGAAACATTTTGAAGCAACTTCAAAACTTTGAATCTTTGCAGACATTCTTTATTTTAAGAAAAATTACTAACTTGACCTTCTTTGGCAAAGTTTGCTAGCTTTTGAACTTTTTGAAAAGTCTGAAAGCTCAAAATTGTAATGTCATAACGGAACTTTACATCTACAGAACGAAAATAGTGATCACCAAAGTTTACTTCCATCTTTTAGCCTTCTTTTAAGAAAAAATCATTGCTTTAATTATATCATATGAGCTTTAGATCTGACTATTAAAGTCTCAAAAGCTTGAAATACAGAAAAAATTGAATCAAACCAATCGATGAAGCTCAAACTCCAAGTCTGACTCTCACAAGGGAGGTCACATTACTTTTTTGGTTTGGAATTTCTTGAAACTCCTTGATGTACCAGATGAAGATTCTGAAAGTCTCAATCTACACAACTTACTACTTTTCGAGAAATAAGGTCTCAAAGCCTCAAAATAGCCTATTTTATGGATTTGTAGGGTCTCCTGTGACTTTGAGGCGTCTTTTTCTGAAAACGAGTAAGTTCTGTAGGTTGAGACTTTCAGAATCTTCTTCTGGTACATCAAGGAGTGTTCTGGCCAATTTTCAGAAACCGCAAAGTGAAATGACCTCCTTGTCAGGAGTCTTTTCTCAACTTGGAATTCAAAACTTCCACAAAAAAACCTGACCCTAATTTTTGGTAGGATGTCTTAAAATACTTTTTTATCGAAAAAAGAGCTCTAAAATCCTCTTTTTCAACCAACTACTTCCGAACCTCTCAAGAAGTTCCGTCATCCTGCAACCCATTACAGAGTTGCCATCTCTTTCCTGGCGGAGGGCCAAGAAGCGCCAGATGGTGGATCTGCGCACTCCGGAGTCTGGCCGTTCCCTCGGCAAGTCTTCTGCCGATGATTTATCGCGGTCACCAGAAACGGGACCGCCGAAACAGCCGCCGCAGCAGCAGCAGCATCAACACAAAGCACACATGTTCCTTTCCGATCGAGAGTCCAGAGGGGTAAACTGTCGGAATTCGGTTCGTGCAGATGGGGCTCCTTAGATGATTGATCAGATGCAAAACTAACGGGGAGTGAAGCTTTCTAACTAGGAAAAAATGTTTAAATTGATAAATATACGCCTAGTTGTACCAAATGATTTTTCTTCATTTTGACTAGGAATCGTTTTTTAGTTAGGACACTTCAAAAGCCCGAAATAGTGATATTTTGGCCTAATTTGCGTAATTTCACACTTTGGTAGAATTTGATTCCTGGAGATCCTTGGCAGGCTCACCAGGCGCAAAACTAACAAGGAATGAAGCTTCTCAACCAGGACAAATTTTTGAAATTGATAAAAAAAAAATACGCCTAGTTGTACCGAATAATGTTCTTTTCTTCTGAGTTTCTGAAACCTTCAAAGTCGAATAAAAACCATCGAAGGCTAGCAAAAATGGTTCATTCTGACCAGGGAACGTTTTTTACCCCCCGGTTGAACTTTTGCTGAAACTTTGCTGAAGTCTACTTTAGAACCCCCTGATTCCAGAACAGAAAGAATATTTCTCGCAATTGATCTTGTTTCCGAGTTATGGAGCTTCAAAGTGTGCAAAACACGCAAATTAGGCCAAAAAAGCGCTATTTCGGGCTTTTGAAGTGTCCTATCTCGAAAACGAGATCTATTGCGAGAAATTTTCTTCCTGTTCTGGAATCAGAGGGTCCTAAAGTACACTTCGGCAAAGTTTCAGCAAAAGTTCAACCGGGGGGTAAAAAACGTTCCCTGGTGAGACCTTAAAGTCTTTGTAATCTGAGAACGGGGGGTTGCAAATTGTTGGAATTTGGACCAAGTTATTTTTTTCCTGGAGATGGAGATTGGATGACAATTAAACATATGCAATACTGAAGCTTTTAACAAGTTAAATAATTTAAAAAAGGTCTGGGAAGATTTTTTGAAGCTTTCTAACAAGTTAAATAATTTAAAAAAGGTCTGGGAAAATTTTTAGTGATCCCTTCAGGGTCCTGACACTTTAGTGACCACTACAGAAGTCGAATTAGTGGTCACTTAAGTGGCTAAATTCCAGGGGTTTACTTTACGTGGTATAACTAAGCTAATTATGCTCTAGTAGCCACTAAGAAGCAAAGTGGTGGCCCCTACAGTGAGGAGCCTCTTAAGTGGCCACTCGAGCTTTTTCCAGGTTCGGAAACTTAGAAAAATTAGGAGCAGAAATTGAAATTACTTCACAAATATAGGCTAGAACTTTTTTAGCAGGTCAATGTGAAAGAAAATCAATTTTACCTACAATAACCACTACTCTACTCTACAAATCCATTTGACTCTTATTTACCGTCCTTTTCCGAGCGGCACTCACACACACACAGACAGTTATTCATCTACGTACTGTGCGCAATTTACTGCCTCTTTGGCAGTTTCGCGCTCTTCTGCACAACAATGGGCACAATAGGGGAGTAGACCAAAGAGTGCATCGGAATTGAGCTCGACCCTCCTGGGTCAGTCCATCATTCGAATGAATAGAGGAGATTGGGCGAGCCGATGGATGGCATATAGAAAGGATTTTTAGCGCGTTGGAGGGATAGTTTCCGAATTTTTGGTGTATTTTGCTTATAAATTGTGAAAGAAGTAAGTTTTTTAAACCTCAAATAATGAAATCTGTAGCTTTTAGGCTTTTAAAGTCATTTTACTTGATCCCAAAATCCGGTTACCGTGGTGATTTTTCAAACTTCATAGGCTTCCAGAAAAGTTTGCTCTGTAATCGTGAATCCTTTTCATCTTGTGGATGAATAAATTATTATAATTATTAATTCAAATGACTGAAAAAACTGTTCCGAAACACTCTAAAAAGATTAATTTCTAAAAGATTTCCTGAAAGCGAAAAAAATATATAAAGTTCAAAAAAATTTTTCACGCAAGCCCTAAAGTTACTACTTATCAATAGTTCAGCTTATCATGAAATTTAATTCAGATTAAGGCAGACATTGAATTTTTTTAGAACCCCTAGAGTGGCCACTAGTAGTATATTTTTCGATTTTAACCTCTCAGTATCCCAAAACTGCTTGAAAATTTAAATTATCTTGTTAAAGTTTAAAAAAAAACATGAAAAAGCCGTTTTTTTTTTAGGATGTTCAAAACTTCCAAAGCCTATTTTTTTCAAGGTCGCACTGAATAAAAAAACTTTTTGGTTCGAAAAAAAATGTGATCTTTCGAAATTCAATCTTTGATCTTTCACTAGATTATTAGATTCAAAATTGAAAAGTCGGTACGAAGCAAAGGCTAATGAACCTGGAGATGAAGGAAGAGCACAAAAGCGCCGTGGCATCGCTAATTGGTCACCTGGGGGACAAATGAGCCTTTTTGTCGGTGGAGCAACCTTTTGCGGCTAATGAGCCAGGTGCCAAGTTAATGTGCGACAGGATAAGCCGTGATTAAATGGCTACGGACGGATTGTCGGGTTCTGGAAATCAAAAATCAAAGAATTTCTAATTCTATCGTATGCTACCTGTTCGAAAATTTCCGCAGGGATTGTTCAAAAGAGCACAGTTTTTATATTTAAAGCCTGCTATTCAAAGTAGTTTCGCAATTTTCAAAACCGAAAAAGATTTCTCAAACTGACTTCACCTGAAAAAGTGTTGCCAAAAAAGGCGTAAAACTCAAAAACCAATTGCTTTCAACCGTAAAATCGCAGCAAAGGGCACTTTGGTGAGTTACAAAATGTTACCGAGTAATAGGAAAACCGGTTTCCATGACCGTTCTCTTTTTTTTTCTCAACGCGGAATGCGCTCGTTGCTACGGTTTTCAAACGAGAAGAAAAAAGCGTATATTGGAACAACTTACCTCCAAGGGGAAATAATTTTTAAAAGAAAAAATCTGTTCTTTGGAGTGGAAAATTTCGAAAAAAAAAACCAAGTTTTTCGATAAAATAGAAAAAATATTTCAAAATTTATGCCGTGTTCAAAGTGATTCCGCGAAATTCAAAATAGCCGTCGAAAGAGAAAGATAACTGAATTTTGGAGAAAGAGAAAGATAACTGAAGAGAAAGAGAAAGATAACTGAATTTTGGAGGGTCAGAGACCATTTCGCATTTCGCGGAAATTACTTTGAACACGACATTAGAAATAAATATTTAAAAAAATCGAGAAAAACAATTTTTGAAATTCTCATGAAAGCGTGCGCCTTTGCGCGAGCGTGTGTGTGTGTGCTAAAATGTTTTCAAAATTTTACAAATTCAAAATTTTTTTTTGTTTTTGTTCGTTTCTTGAAAGTTGTTTCTAACAAAAGTTTATAGGGAATGTTAATGCTTTAATAACTGTGCATAAAAAAAATTAACTTTGTAATTTCGCCTTAAACGATCATTAATGATAAAAAAGTAGTTCCTTCTAATTTTACCCGAGTTTTGTGTAAAATTTGAGTTCTCTGTTAACTATTTAAGAGATTCTTTAGTAGAAGGAGCCAAGTGAATTATATTAAGAACAATATTTATCATTTCCTCTCGTTCGTTTCGGGTTTTCCGCGCACCTTTCTTTCTCCTATTTTTCGACGTTTCTGATCGTAAAAAGTTCAAATTACACGAAAATGATACCTGAAACTTAGAGATGGGACGTCTGGCGACGATGTTATTCTATGCTCCGTCGAGGAGAATCCGATGACGCAATCGAGGAATGTCTGGCGATGTTCTTTATGACAATTGCACAACAGGTGAGCTGATCCGCCGACGATATGCGGCACGGAGGTCAAAATCGCCAGACAAGTTGGGCCAAAGTCGGACTTGAGCGTCCGTTTGATCTCTTCCTTCGAGACCACTGCGCCTTGAAATCTTTCTTTCGAAATCATCCTTTTAGCATCACTTTAAAGACCTTTCTTTCTACAGTTTCACGCCTTTTACACTTTTAAATTTAATAACCTTCAAATTTTCGTTTTTTTTTCACTTTCCTTTTTCTTGAGTTTGATCATTTCTTTCGAGCGCTTTCGCATTTTTTGACATAAGTACCTTCAAAATCTTCTTCGAATTTATTATTACAATCTTCTTTAAAAACCTTCCTTTGTCACTTTTATGCCTATTCCATTTTTAAATTTGTTATTTTCTTTCTCGTAGGTTTGTTTTATACTGTTTTTCTAAAATTTTACGACTTTTTCTGTTAGAGAGTTCTAGTTGTACTGTCTCAAGGCCGTGGAAATTTTGAAATAAAAACCCATAAATTTTGAGATTCCTTCTGATATTTATCATTGGAACTAAGATTTCAGTTCATTTCTCATCTGAAAATTTTTTTATTCACCAAAAAACGGAAAATTGTCAACCTTTTGACTTCAAAAAAAAAGAAAAACAGTTTTTCTTACATTTTTTCAATCAAAAACCATTCGAAACGATAATATTTTCTCAAGCAAACCAAAAAATTGACATCCGTAAGCGTTCCGTGACGGCGGATACGTCAAAAGAAAAGCAAATTTATTTGGTTTGCATGCGATTTTGACCATTTGAGGCTCTCTTTCCATTCTGTTTCTTATTACTTTTGAAAATTGACCATTTTCAGTACGAGGATGAACAGAATAATCTTCCTGTTGATTCTGACGACGTGCAACGCTTCGATCCTGGAGACGTTCCATGAAAATGGCATCGAATATGAGGCCTACGGGGAAGGAAGGTCCGTTGTTCGCCTCAGAAGTTCACGTGATTTTTTTTTCCGGTTGCGCGAAAAGTGTTATTTTTGAGAAGAATTGACAGACTTTTCAAAGAATAAATGAATAACTGGAAAAATTTTTAGTAGCCACTCTGGAGGCACGCCAAGGACTACTTGGAGAGGACACTAAAGTGGCCACTAAACCCACCTCTATAGTGGCCACTACTTTCCGTTTTAGTGGCCACTTCAGTAATTTTTCATCCAGTATTCCTTCCAGCAACTCTCAGAATTTTAAAACAAACAGATTGGACCAGTTATGTTGATCCATTGACCCCTAAAGTTGCCACTAAAATTTTTAGTGGTCTTGTAGTAGCACTTAGACCTCTATAGTGGCCACTAACTTTTAAACCCTTAAGTGGCCACTAATTCGACTACTATAGTGGCCAGTAAAACGTGAAAAACCTATAGTGGTCACTGAAAATTTTCCCAGAGTTTTATCATTTTTTTCTAAAAGGATGCCTTGAATTTTACGTTCCTCCATCCACTGTGAGACAAAAATGTTGTTACAAGGAAATTTACATGTTGATTTTCGAGTTTTCTGTTTATCCTTCACACTAGAAACATGATTATCACAAAATTCTTTCAATTTTTTTTTTGATACTGTTTTTTTATCGTGCAAATAACATTGAGAAAGATTCAAATCTCGAAAAATGGAAAAAAAGTTGGAAAAATATTCTAAAAAAAACCTGGAGATGACGTCACGCAACGGATGTGTATGCACGCAACGCGCATATCCGCATACAGTACCCTCCGCAAATGAAAAACTCGTTCTTCCCGTAGCACCAAAATGTTCTCAGACTGGTCCCGGAGAGCCGCCATTGCCAACCCTACACGTTGGACCTCTTCGAGTACGTCAACACGCTCAACACCAACGAGATGACCGAGTACGGCCGCGAAATGCTCAAACGCCGCATTTTCGCCTCCTTCGACAACATTTGTCGCGATTTCAACGTTTCTACCGGTCTGCAGCTCTTAAGTCCTTGAAAGTTGCTTCTATTTTCAAGACACCGACGAACTGCCGCCAACTGTCGAGATCTCGTTGGACCGACTTCATCTGAGGTTCATGGACCGTTTCGAGTTGACCTGGAACGCGTTGAAGTTCGAACGCGACCTCAAATCGCTCTTCCTTGAGCACAAGATCAACACTCCCTTCTTGGACATTGTCAAGCAGGTTGGGATTTTATTTTTAGAGATTCCCAGGATAGTCTAAGATTTACAGGTTCAATCATTTTGAAAATTCGTTAAGTTTGATGGGATCTTTAAAAAAGTATAGGTTGATTTTGTAAAGGTATCACGGCGAAGAGCCATTTTCTGAGTCACCTTGAGCCAAAATTCACTTTTTTGCGGCACAACACATCGACCTGCACAGTTTACCACGTTCAGAAAAAGAAAAAGGCGAGCATTGTTGATATGATCTTTGAAGGAGCATAGGTTGATTTTGTAGAGGTCTCGCGGCGAAGAGCCATTTTTCTGAGTGAACTTGACCCCAAATCCTTTTTTTTCGACTCTGAGAAACACAGCGAGCCGCATAGTTCGCAAAATTTCATAGAAAAAAAAAACTTTTTTTCCAGGAAATCGTTAAAATGTCGGGTTCTGGCGACAAAATGGACTTTTCGCACCGGTCGACCGTCTTCCCGATGAAGTGCAACGTCGCCCAGATGACCCTGGAAACGCGTCTCTGCTTCAATATTTCCGAAGTTCCACAGTCCGGCATGGTCTACGCGGTTGGGTCTTTGGAGTTTAATAATTATTGAAGTTTTCACGATTTTTTTAAATGGTTTTTTCATCGCGATATTGATGATTCTCATGATGATAGTTAAGAAATTAAAGTCCAAAAGAATCCCTAACTAAGTTTGAAAAAAAGCCGTGGAGAATTAAGATAAAGATGTCAGAATAACCGTCAGAAAATAAAAAAGATAACTAATTTTTTGGAGGGTCAGAGATAATTTCGTATCGCTTCAAAAAAGAAAATTCTTTTTTAGGCATTTTTCCGATACAGTACTTGAGGAAAAATTCAAGAAAAAAAAATTCAAAGAACCTTCAAAACTCTTTTGATTCAAATTCATAATGATCTAGTTTCAATGAGGACCTTACGGCTTACTGTGGAATTATTTATTATTCCTGAAAAACTGTACCTAAGTTCGAAAAAAGAAGCAAGAGAGAGGAAATTGGACCTGAACCCTCAAGACTTGGATAAGCTATCTAGAAAAAAAAAACCGACCTTCAGCTGGCTCACGGCGGCGAGTTCTTGCAAAAGGACGAAGTGTACGCATTTTACGAAGTTCCGGAGTACGTGCTGATCACCACGGAAGCCGTCCTTCCCATCGACCTCGCCAAGTGCAAAGTCTTGGTGAGAGGCAAAAAATAAAATGAAAATCCGTTGATTCTCCAGTTCGGCACCTACATCTACTGCTTCGCCGAGCTCGACACCCAGTGTGACGTCAGAACCTTGAGCGACTGCCCGATTATGGCCCAGAAGACGGGCGACGACTTCACACTCGTCCGACGCTTCGGAACTGGAAGGATCGTCGCGACGACTGAAATTGTAGGGGATTTTGGGGCTTGGAAAGGATGAGATTCACGATTTTGAATAACTCTTTTTTTCTTGACCTACCTTGAACAATACAATAATAATGATTTGCCGAACATAAACATAAAATAGTGGGCTTGAAACAGCTATGATGAGCTCGGAATAGATTAAGTCTCAGAAAAATCTTTCGTGAAGCTTCTAGAGTTTTTCGACCTGAAGCTGTAGCTGAACCAATAGAAAAGTTCATTTATCCGAATTCAGAAAAACAAAAAATCGATCTAGCTCAAAGTAGGCCAAAGCTGAAGAAAAGCTTATTTTAACCATGATCCTTTTGGAAGTTTTTTTCGATTTCAAAAATCATCTGAAGCCTATAACTGGCTGAAAGTACAGGAAAAGCTGAAGAGAAGCTTTTCAAAGATCTTTTTTTAACCTGAAATTGTGAAAAAAATTATTTTATAGATTTGAAAAAAAGGTTCCCAACTTGACCTAACAGTAGTTCAATCAACCCAGATTGAAATTTGAAAAAAACCCGAGAATCCGCTGAATCAATCGTATGTCGTTTGGAGCAATTGAGCGGATCTCATTCTAGTTTTGAATGGAAAAAAATTAGATTTTCATTTTTTCGACATAAAAAAAAACACGAGAATTTTGAACTCTTTGAACTAAAGAGCACGATTCCTAGGAGTTCGACCTGTTCCGCAACGGGACGAAGCTCTCGGTGCCCAGCCAGATCTTTACGGTCCGCGTCGACTACAACACGGAGTCCAACGGCGGTGACGTCATCAACCATGTCGACCTGCGACCGCACGTCATCGAAAAGGTCTTCTAATCAGTTCGAAAGAGAAAGTTGCAACGAGGTACTCTAGACGCAGTTCGCGACCCTCCTGCCTGAAACTATCGGCGTCCTGAGCTCGGACAAGCTCACCAGGCTCTTCACCACCAACCGACGCGGGAAGAACATGCTCAGCCACAAGGTTTGTTCAGAACCAACCCCCATTGAAAAAAATTTAGAATTCTGATAGAAATTCATAAAAATTAAAAAGTCCAACCTGATAATTTCTTGAAGAAGTATCGAATAATTGACTTATGAACCCAAGTCTCGCGTAAAAAAATAAATTTCGAAAAATTCAAAGGATTTAACCTAAGATTTCCTGAAGTTTTTTGAGACTTTCGAAACTTGATAAGCTCTAGAAAAAGGTTGATCCTAAAATATCCCGAGTAAGTTCCGAATTTTACTGAAAAAGAACATAATTTGAATGATCCTGAAACTTTCAAAAATCTCAAGATTGAACTTTTTCGCAGTTTCGAGCAGCCAGTTCAGAAAAATATCTTGAATAAATGACACTCTAATTTTACTCGAAAAAATTGTTGTAAACTTCCAAAAATCAATTTCAAACTAATTATTTCTTGCAGCACCACGACCAGTCGGCCTGGGACCGCGTCCGCAACTTTTTTGGCCTTTAATTCACTGAAATTCCCGCTTTTTTCCTACTTTTTCCACTACCTTATATAACTCAAAGCAATATACCCTCAACTCACGTGTCCAACGATCTTCTTTCGCCTTAGAATATATATATATAAAACTTATTTTTAATTAACAACCGGGGAAATAACAGTGGGAAAGGGTGCAGAAAAGGCATAACATGAGCAACAATATGCTATGCTGAGTGTGGAATAGGACTGAAAAAAGCCTGAAGTTATGTCCTTTTTGATAAAAAATCGGTGGTATGAAAAAAACACCAGCGAAAATTCAAAAGACGACTTTTCCGATTTTTTCATATCGCTAGGGAACTTTCCGACGGCCACCTTTCCGACTAATCTTTTTCCGACTTTTTCCGTTACGTTTTTATGTTTATAAAACATCTATAAACATATTTTTTTCCTATTTCTTTGTGTTTTTAATCATGAACCACTTACTTTATATAGGAAGTTTTAAAACGAAGATTTTATCGAGAAAAAAAGTCGGAAAAAATTTCCTCGGGAAGGTGGCCGTCGGAAAGTTCCCTAGCGATATGAAAAAATCGGAAAAATCGCCGTTTGAATTTTCGCTGGTGTTTTTTTCATACCACCAAAAAATCAGAAAGGCTGAAAATTTTTGAGAAACTTGGCTTCGAAATGAGCCGCAAGCATGTAATATTCAAATAATAGCGACGAATCAAACTCAACAATAATTGACAGAATATTTGAAGGTGACATAAAAAGTAGAAATTTTAAATGGCGGTGACTTTGGACGGGTCAATTTCGTCGAAGAACAAGGTATTGAAGGCGGTGTCGGCGAAATCTGGATAGTACTGACAGGCGCGGTTGCAGTCGGGCATAAAGTTGCACTCGAGCAACTTCGGATGCACCTCTCCTGAAAATAAGAAGCGGCTGGAAGGTTTATATAAGCTTGGAGTGGAGCATGAAAAAAAGATTTTTCAAAAATTCAACTACTAAAATTTGTACATGACTTATTATAGCACTTTAATCGGCTCTTCGCCTCGAGACCTTTATTAAACTCACTATGCTCTTTTAACACCCTAGATAATTCATTAAAAATTGCTTTGAGAAAAAACCCATTACTTAAAGGCGCAGAAGTTAGGGGTGACCTAAAATGACTTTTCGCCTCGAGACCTTCATTAAACTTACTGTGATCCATTAAAAGCCCTAAAAACTAGTTGAAAATTGTTTCAGCTACAATATAAATAGCTTAAAGCGTGAAAGTCCTGAATAGCTAAAAGCTGAGTACGGCTCTTCCCCTCAATACCATTATTAAAGTTGCGATCTCCTTCAAGAAAAGGGGCTTGAACTCATCAAACAACGAAAAACTTTCATTTCTTCGAATTTCTAGTTTCAAAAGTTCGAAATTTCTTACTGAAAAAAATACAGAAAGCTTCTTTTCTACGTTTGTTTAAATCATCGTTGACATTGTGAGTTTATATACAAATGTCACATTTTAAAAGCCCCAAGTAGTTTTCCATTTAAGAAATTTGCTTCAAGTTGTGTTCATCTTACTCATTCAACAAAACAGTGAAAACGAACCGTTATCATCCGATTCGAGCATTACATCACAGCCATACATTGCTCGCGACTGCGCATTTGGCGCGACGCCTTTAGGAGGATCGTTCCTGGAAAAAGTGCACTTTTCATCATCTTTGAAGTTTTTTTTAAAAGTTCTTCGAAAGTTTGGGGGAAAAAAAAGAAGAGAGAGCCTTCATCCATTTTTTCCTTTTTTTAATGCATAAACATTTTATTAATTGTTATTTTACTTCGAAACGAGCTCCAGCATCTCACGGAACATCTTCTGAACCTTCTGCTCGACCGTCGGCCATTTCAAGTTCGGATAGGCCGTTTCCATAGTTTGTATGAATTCCTCGCAGTGCATCTGAAATTTTTTCCTGGGTTATAAAAGCCAAGTTCAACTTTTTGAACGGTAGATCCCAAAAAATAGAATCTTCTCGATATTTTTTTTCTGTGAAGTTATTTTTTGCCAGCTTTTCCCATCAGTTTATGTTGAAGCTTCAGAAATTTGGCGAATTATTTAAGAAAAACTAAATTCTTCACCTTGGGGAAAATATTCGCGCATCTCTAGAGGTTGTTTCTAGACGCGCCCGACTAAAAGCGGTTCGCGCTCGAGAGCATAAAAATAATTAGAGAGATAAAATTCAACGCATCAAAGTTCTATTTTTTTTTTCTACTAGAACTCCATTCTCTTAAAAGTTAAGAGATCCATGATTGGTTTTGGAATTTTCCACCCGAAAAATGGTCTTGAGGCGGATCCTACAGTAACCCTTTCGGGAAAACAAGACTGATTCACTCACATTGAAGACTTGATCCCCATTGCCGCTGTAGTTGAAGACGGTAGTATGGGTCCGGGTGCAGTCCAACTGCGACAAGTTGAACTCCCTGATTTATTTCTTTTCCGAATAAAAGTTTCTCAACTTACTTCAAAGAGAATCGGATCCATAACTTGTTGTAGGTGAAGGCAATGACCGGGCGAAGTTGGCGGACGAAAAGGATGAACCGGAGGTCGAATTTGACGTTTTTCTTGATGTCTGGCCGAGGGAACAGCAACGGGCGGGAGATGTACTCGCAGGCGATCTAAAAACTTCTGAATTTCCTAAAATTTGACTTGAAAAATCAGATTGGTGCACTGGCTAACGCGATAGCCGCGGAGCCCATGATGAAAGTTCGAATCCTCTTGCCGCTAACTTTTTTTTTTGTCATTTTTTTGAAGATTTCTTTGGCGGGATAGTGTTGAAAGGCTCCGAAAAGTCGTACACCCAACATACCTGACTATATCGCAGGCGATATAGCCCAAATTTTTTCAAAGATGATATAGCCAAATTTTCAGTGTCTCGCTGCAATTTCGCTCTTCCTTATACATTTAAAATTCCAAAAACATTTTTTTTTTCTTGCTTCTTTCAGCCCTCTATGATGAAACGAATCAAAACAAAGAAAAAAAAGCAAAGAGGAAAAAATATTTTTGGAACGCGATAACGCAAATTGTTCGCGATATCGCTCCCCTACGACATAGCTCATTTTTTTTTTGCTCTTTTTTAGCTTTCTAAAATGGAACGAATCAAAACAGAGAAAAAAAAAAGCAAAGTGGAAAAAATATTTTTGGAACGCGATACCGCAGATTTTCCGCGATATCGCTCCCCCTGCGACATAGCTCGTTTTTTTGGTGCATATTTTTATAAAAAAACTTTGAAGTCAGTTTTTTTGTTAGGATAGTTATGCGAATCGATTCTCGGACCCTCAAAGCTTTTTTGAACAAATAATTTTTAGAGAAGCCTGAAAAGACCCCGCCCCTTTTTTCCCCGTGATAAATTTTTTTAAAACAACTCCTTTTTCCTCCCATACCTTCGGGCCCGACTCGACAAGTCGTACAATCTTTCCGATATCGTCCGTCACATGAATATCCATGCCTCGGGCCAAATTCCACGGTTTGATGATCCAAATGTTGCTTTGGCCGCTTGAAATTCATTTTGTGAGGTTTGAATAAAATGCTTCTAAAACCTCTTTTGTCGCTTCTGGAAATGGGCCACGAATTGCGGAAGTTCGGTGTTGAGATTGTAGGTGAGCTGAAAAATGGATTCAGAAAGGGGATTAAATATTTTTATAACAAAAAACATTTTTTAATAATCCTGCATTCAGATCAAAGATAACAAGAGAACTGAAAAAAAAAACAACTTCATTCAAAATCCCTAAAGTGACTTCTCAACCAAACTTTCAATAAATTCCCTATCCGGTGAAGTCACTCGTGAGGGTGACCTAAAACCGGTTCTTAACCTTATTTATTCTTTTCACTTTGTGAGTGAGTAAATTATTATTATTAAAGTTGGGATCAAACTATAAAGATTGAAATTCAGGCTCTTTTAAGGTCAGTTAATCAAATATTCTAAGTGAAAACAAGAATCGTACAAACTTTTGTTCATCTTCCATCAAACCCACCGGGTACCAGTCAATCTTCTTCGTGTCGTATTCATTCATTGCCACCGACGCGAGCAAATCTTTGACCGTCAAAGTCGATTCGTAGGGGAACTGATTGACCAGGCCGCAGGGGTTCTCATCGGCGAACTTCCTAAGATCATACGCAATGATTCAGAACCTTTTCCCATGTTTTGCTAAATTAAAGTCATGACTACTTTCTTGACAATGAAAGTCATTTCACTTTGTGGTCAGGACATACGTCGGCTGGATCCCACCACGGGGTTCGGTTCATTTTCAAAGTATTTTTTCGACCGCAAAAGGCTGGGATGAGTCAGGAACTTTTCAAAAAATTGGTTAAAGAATTCTTTGATGGACACAAAACTTCCCAGAGAAAAGTCGAAGAAAACCCTTAAAATCTGCTAATAAAGGCTATTTGCGAGTTTTGAGCTCTCATTTTCTCAAAAGGACGTTTGAAACAGATTCTATTTAATAAATCTTATGGCTCGGAGGGGTTTCTAAACGAGTTTTGTAAGAAATTTCATGTTTTAGTTAGGCCATCTAGCCTGCCCTGGACTAATTCTTTGAGTATTCTTGACCCCAGTTTTTGTCTTTTTTTTCTGTGGATAAAGAGTGTCTTATTAATCTGCCAAATCATGCCAAAGTTCATACATGAGCTTGCTATTTCCAAGGAAAACCCTATATCAGAAAAAAAAAACCAACGCGTAGTCGTGGTAATGATCCGAAGTCCAGACGACGTCGGCTTTCAAGGGCGAGTCGACTTTCTCGAATTTTCGTTTCAATTGACTTGGCAGTTGCATCTGTAAATTCGATCCAATACTTCTTCGTTTCCTAGAAAAAATCGGAAGAAGCCTTAACGGACCTATGGGTGCAAAAGGTTTCCAAGACTGGTTCCTAAACGGGTGGAAACGGTTTCCTTTTTACTGCCTTTTTTCGCCTTCATTCACCCTTTTTGGACCCTTTTGAGAAAACATTTCTAAATTGAGAATAATATTTATTAGTGACTGTATATGCACTAAAAGGTGCTACAGTAATACAATCGGAAATCACCCATGGTCAAAACTTTCAGCATCCTTTTTTCACCGTTTTTAAAGCTGTTTAGCCGAACCAAGAAAGAAAGGCTCAATAAAGGCCGCAAAACGGAACTCTTTTAGCGACCATTTTGCACCCTTTTTCCGCACTTCCGACTTCGGCAGTGTTAGTTAGTACAAACCTGAGATTCCGGACAGTAAATCCTGACGGATCGCTGCTTGACCGTCGGGAGAGAAGCGGAGATGGCGGAAACGGCGGTCGCCTGCTGCTCCGCCGTCGGCACTTCGTCAGGGGTCCGACCAGACTACATTCAACTCATTTGAACCTGAGAAGACCCTTCAGAATACCAGAAAGTACTCGTCGGACGGCTTCGGATGCTTGTCAGACTCCGCGGAGAAGTCCTTCTCGACCCAAGGAAGCTGAAGATAATCGGCCCAATCAGGGTGGCTCTTCAGAAGAGCTCCTTCGGCGAAGTTGCGCGTGATTTCTTCTGAATGTTACTTGGAGTTGTAGGGTGAAAAAATTGAATGAGAATGGGAATTTCTAAATTAATGGTCAGAGAGGGAACTTCAGAATCTCGCTTTCAGTTCAAAAATCTTTCAGCAACTAAGCGCAATGAATTTATGGATAAAAAAGTTGAAAGGCGACAGGAATAAAGAAAAGAAAAAACAAATGGATGAAAGATCAATGGAAACCACAAAAAAACACAAGTTTATTTCCCACCAAGACAGCGGAATATCGGTGTACACCGAGCTGCTTACCGTAATCTAATACTCATAAAAAACATTTATTGGTTTTCTCGAAGATTTTTAGGAGATCAACAGAAAGAATATAATCGAAAAATGACAACGCTTCTTTTCCACAGGGCAACTTTTCTCTAAAATGCCCTTCTGGCGGCAATTCAAATTTCTCATAACTTAAGAATTTCAGAGTGATCCCTATAGGGGTTAGGATGGAAAAGAGCCCCTACAGGGGCCAAAAAAGTGGTCCCTAAAGGGGTTATTGAAGCTAAAATGGGCCCTCCAGGAGTCTTCCGATTTCCTTAGAAAAATACGCCTAATTATTCAGAACATTCATTCATTAGCATGTGACTATAGGGGACCCTAACTAAATTTCCTATAGGAACCACTTTTGCAAGCTTTAGTGGCCACTATAGGGATTGGGGAAGTTGTCGTTAGAGGGTACCACTATTTCAACCGATATTCACCATTTTCCTTGACAGGAGCTGTCAAGAACAAGACACTGTAGCTGAAGCCGGCTGGAACGCAGAAAAAGGGAACGACTCTAGCGTTGGGCGTCAAGGAATGGTCGATGGAGATCCCAAACTCGTCCATCAAGTACCAAGTCGGTTGGGCTTCTCGATCTCCCTGGGAACGTTGGTGGAATAAAGCTTTCCAAAGAACTCTACGTACTTCGAAGCGAATCGAGTAGGTCTGGGCGTACTTCCAGACCATTTTCAGGGCATCGTCGACGTCGTTGGGAGACGGCTTTTCGGCTCCGGGAGTTCCTGAAACCGAGTTTCAGGCCTTCTTCATTTTCTACTTCGGAAGTCTTCAAGAAGACACGGCGTTTTTTTTAACGACGCACCGCCAATTTTTTTTCTTCGTAAAGTACAGTGTGTCGGGTGCATGCACTGCGGCGCTCTAGCACAGAAAATTGCGTCATTTAGTTAGAAATCGGTTCGTCCCATGACCCATGGAGTTACTGTCGCATGCGCCTTTAAGTTTTTTTTTGTTGAGTTTGTGTTTCATGACGTCACATGGTAAAAGTGGAGGTTTCGGTCCCGCCTGGGGAAGAATTTAATTGAAAACAGCCAGAAAAAGAAATCCCGTCATATAGCTATTTCACGGCTGGCTTAAGCCATCGAAAAAAAGGTCCTGACACGATAGTGAAAGAGACAGTGACAGGTTGGTGGAGGGCAGAGACAGGTCACGCCTCTCAGGCTAGCCGTGAATAAGTCGACACGTCAGATCTCACCAGGCCGACTTCCGTCGTCCGATCCCTCTCCCTTGGGCCGAGTGCTGCCGTCGTCGCCACGACAGACGAGTTCCTCGGCGGATTCTTCGCCGTCGGTGCCGTCGTCCTTCTCGACGGTCCACAGATTCCGAATTCTTTGGAGGAGGCCAGGAGGACGATTTTCCAGGTCTTCTCGAGCCTCGTGGGCTCGGAACGTCCACATGTGGTCGATGAGGAAAATGCTGTAAGGCAATTTTTAATGAAATTGAAACGAGATCTTCAATGAGGTCACAGTCTGAAGTTTGAGATATTTCGGCATCAAGAATTTTTTTTCAATGGTAGATTATGTTAATCCTTGTTCAAAAATAATTTCAATATTTTTTTATAGCAGCATAGAAAACTTTTTCATTACGGTTTCGTGGCGAACAGCTTTTCAGGAGAACTTTCAAGTTTATTCAATTTTTCGACCGCCTTGAAAATATCCGTAACGGTTTTTAAAAACAAAAAAATACACTCACAACATCAAAAATATAAAAAAAATTTCAACTTTTCAACCAATTTACGCGGGATTTTGACTAAATCATGAAACTCCGAGATGGAAATTTTTATACAGGAAGAATAGATAAAAAGTATATTCCCGAAATTTCAAGAAAATTCGAAAAAAAGGAGCAAAATTTGGCAATTTCCTGTCTAAAAACTGCATGAAGTTTGATTTAAAACTTGATTTTGACAGATATATTCCTATTACAGATTACTTTCAAGAAATAAAATTGATATTACTCAAAAAAATATAAATAATACTAACTTGTCCTCGTCGACGTTGTGCATCTCGTCCAAGGCGTAAACTTTGCACTGCTTCCTGCCGTCGTCGCCCATTTCACAGAGCACTTGGAAGTGATCCCCGGCGTCAAAAATCTAAATTTAAATTTAAAATTTCCTCCGAAAATTCCTGTCCAAACCTCCTTGAGAAGCTTTTTGTAGAGGCCGTTCCAGAGTTCTGGTGGAACGCCACTCGCGTTCAACTGATCTTTGTGTTGACGTAAGAATTCGGAGAATGGATAGGTTGTATCCGACATTATGCTAGAAAAATTTTTGAAATTGTAAAAATGAAAAAAAGCGGAAAAAAAAATTCTTCTCGATAGAATCTCATAAATATCATCAAATAGATCAAAAAAAATCGACACAGGAGCCAATGATTTGCATTTTGTCATTTCCACAAGTAATTTATCATAAGAAGCAAGAAGAAATCATACAAAGAAAGCAAACAAATGAAAATTTTTTTCGAATGTAGAGTATGCAAAAGTGCGTCTGTGCTACGTACTCTGGTCGTCAAAAATAGTAAATCGACACAGGAGCTGGGAATTCGCATTTTCGCCATTTTACAAGGGATTTTTGCTACTTTTCGGCATTCTGGTTTTTTTTTATCGAAGAAAATAAGTTTACTATTTGGATATTTCCTTTTTTTTCCAGCGTGTGTTTTGAAATTCAAAAATTTTAAGTTTGAAATGGTTCAGTAGCAAATATTTCGACAAAGGTTAAAAAAGGTTCAAAAGTACTTTGAAAAACAGGTTTCAATTGATCGATTTCATAAAATTTCAAGTTATTTGAGAAACTCGAAAAGAAAAATCGAGAAAAATGGAATTTTGAACCTTTCAATGCCGCTCGAAACCTTGCTTTCGCTAAACAAAAGCAACCAAGTTAAGAAAACTCATGAATCATCATTTTTCAGGAAAAAAAAACAAAAGGTATGCAAAAATGGTTCAAAACCAACCAGAAAAGACAAAAAGAAGAAAAAAATGGAAATATTTTATTGGAAAGGTGAAACCTGAGGAAACGTGTTAGCAAGTGAATTTTTGAGCAAGATGAGCGAAAATATGGCACACGGAGGCAAAAAGGCACAAGAGAAATTTACACAAGGAATAGAAATCTAAAAATAGAGAAAATTGTTTAAAGGAGCATGAAAGAATTCGATAAAGGTCTCAGAGCGAAAAACATTTTTAGTGATCAATAAGCAGTTTATGAACAGTGTTGGGCATACTAAATTAATGGTCTAGGCAAAAATTTATGGAATTTTTAAAGGAGCATAGGTCTTGAAGGGAATAGCCATTCAAGATGTCCCTGCCCTTTCAAAAACCACAGAAAACGATTATGAATGAACGATTTTCATTTAATGCGAGCCACTGGGACATTTACTGCGAACATTGTATTGGAAGCCAAACAAAGAACGCTTTTCTCGTCCAATTTTCGAATTGAGCCGATTGTACAACCGATATCAACCTGGAAAAGCCATTTTTAGGTTCGAAAAACTTTTCGAGCCTTCAAGGGGGCCAAAAGAAAACAAATGGTAAGATTTTAGGTAAATATACCACGCAGGGGTCACGTGAAAAAAGGGGTTTTTCAATAGATCAAAGATGAAAAATTGAATTTTAATGAACTTTTCAAATATTTTCGATTACTGTGACCATATGGTGAATATTCCATATGAGACCTCTAAAGTTAAAAGTCTTTATTCACTTTTTGCTTGAGTCAAAACTTAAAGGCGCAGTGATTTTTCACGAAAATGATCCTAGTACGATAAAAAAGGCTGTTTCCCCACCTGCCGCAAGATTGCTCTATGGGCAATGTCCCAAAAAGTGACATTTGTTCCGGAAATTGTAGCCGCAATGTTCTCGTCCAACGCCACGATCCCACAGCCCGACATCGACTCGTCGCCCTGAAAAATTGAAAAAAAAGCTTGAGAAAAAAGCTCAGAAAAGCGAGGAAAAGCTGTTTTTCAAGGGGATCTAACACCTCTTGAGCGACCCCTTAACGTCTCGGTTATAATTTAAAAAAAAAGTAAAACTGTAAGGGATGGGTTTTCTTCGAAAAAGAATAATGCAAATCTTAAAACTATTCAAGACATCACTTAACTGCTCCGTCCGTTCATAAAAACCACTGAGAGAAACGGAAATGTTGAGATCTTTTCAAAAGAGAGTAAAAGAAATATAAACATCCCTATAGTAATCAGTAATCACTCAACGGCTCACTTAAAATCAAACAATCACCAAGACAAACTAGAACGTTGGGATGTTTCAGAAGAGCATAGTGAAGGTCTCGAAAACACTAAAGTGATAACTATATGACTGAGGCAAAAAGAAAGAATCACTGAGCATAATTGGAGGATTTGATTCTTTTCTAAATAGTACTGTAAAGACTTTGAAGGTACTCAAATGATCCCTCTTGAAGAGGAACTAACGAACAAATCCAGAATTTGTAGCCTCGGCGATCCTCGAGGCGAGTTGTCCGTTGGGGCGGGACCAAAGGTACAATTGGGCGTTTCCATAAAACCCGAGCAGATATGAGGATGTCAAGGCGATTTGGCATGTTCCTGAAGAACAAGACGTTTGAGCTTGTGAAACCTCTTTTTTTTGGAAAAAAAAGTGTTTTTCCTAAACTTATCAAACCAAGTGCGCTCTAACGTTACTTCGATAGTTTATTCATCGTTGGCTTGGGAAATTATTCGATAATTGCTTTATAATACCCTTAATACAATTTCTCATGTTTAAAATAGGGACAAAGGGGGATTTCTTGAAAAAAGTTAATCGAATTTAAAGAGGATTTGCGCTCCACTGGACAAATTTTGAAAGAAATGTATCATTGTTGAGAATGTAAATGAGGCGTGACTGAGAAATAGATCACGTGGAAGATTAGACCACTATATAAGGGTCTAATTCCACTGATCATCAATTTAATAATCACGACCGCACCGCCGCTCCCGCCTTCTCCTCACCGCATCCGACGTCGTCAGGCCGCCGACGACGCCACTCACTGATCAACTCGACCTCTTATTACACCTAACCAGGTATCATCAACAAATTTCACTCCATGACTAACTAAACCCCCATAGGGACCACTTTTAGTGGAAATAAGGTGGTATGAAAAAAAGACCAGCGAAAATTCAAACGGCGACTTCTTCGATTTTTTCGTTAGGGAACTTTCCGACTTTTTCCCTCCTAATTTTCGGTCCACGCTGAGAACATCAGCGAAGATGGACCATCAAAGTGGCAAGTGGTATGAAAAAAACAGTGAAAATTCAAACGGCGACTTGTTGATAGTGTTCTCAGCGTGGACCACACGTTCTCCAGGCGGCTCGGTCTTGCGCGACGATCATCCAGTGGCGGCCTGGCTGACTGATGTTCTTGCGGAAGTAGTCCGTCCATCTGGTCGGTGGGCGCTTTATGTTTCTCGGAATCCAGTGGAATCTGCGGATGACGTGGCCGCCCCAACGATGTTCCCCGCGCTGTATGTGCTCTTCTAGATCCCGGATTTGGGACAGTTGACGGAGGTCTGTGCTCTGTTCTTTTTCCCACTGCTTGGGGTGCCGATGAGAGCACGTTCCAGTGCGCAGTAGGAAGTTTGTAGGGCGGTTGCATTTTTTTTCGAGTCTGGTCAAACTTCGGTACCGTAGGAGATGGCAGGGATTATTTTCATACCACCGGAAATAAGGTGGTCCCTAGAGGGGCTCTTCAAGTGCTTTTAGGTTGCCCCTCTAGAGACCACTCTGGCGTTCCTAAGTTCCATTACCAGTTTCAGACTAACCCGCATAATTATTGTCGATGGAGCGAATAAGCTTTCCGGTGACCAGGTCCCACCAGCAGACCACGCCGTCTTCACACGACGAGAATAGAACCTAGAAACTCGTCTTTTTCGAGTTTTATTGGTTATTTTTACGTTTTCATCGGTATCCACAGCCAAGTCGAGAACGCCGCTGTTGTGAGCCAAAAGGACGTTGACGAGTTCGGTCGTCTTCAGATCGAAAATCTTGATGGTTCTGTCGAAGGAAGACGTGATCAGCTGCGCGTTGTAGGTGATCATCCGACAGACTGGCTTCTGGTGGGCTCTCACAGTCCGGATCACGTTGATTTTCTTTACGCGGAGGGGTTGTGAGTCCTAGATTTTGAAATGAGGGAGGAGAGAAAAATGATCTTGTTTCTCGGGACTTTTAAGGGACTTCTCTGCGCCCTCCTCGTCTCTCGGCGACTCTCTCATGTTGACGTGCTATTTTTATGCTTCTCTGACCTCACCGGCGAGGGAACAGAGAGACGCAGGCACGCGAAAATGTCACGGGGATTTTTTTTTCCGCTTTTTTTGTATTCAAGTGTTATTGCAAAAAGACTTGGAAGTTCGAGGATTCATTCAAAAAAACGTGATCTGAACTCGAAAAAAAGAACTAAATTTTCAACAACACTGAATTTCAATGATGAAAACCTTTTTAATAACTTCCAAACGCATTAATTCCCTAACAATGGGAGGTGATTTCAGTGTTTGAAAACTTATATAACAAACAAAAAACTGCTCTACCTCGTAAGAAACGTCCAAAAACTCGATGCTGCCATCAAGACGGGCCAAAATCACCCGATTTTCGAACATCTGTAACCGAGAAGACATCAATGAACAGCATGAAAAAGGCATAGTCAAGAAAATGGATCTTTTTTATTTCCTTTATGACTTTAACTAGCCCGAGTATGGTTCAAAGTGTGTACCTCAACATGAGTAATGCCAACTGGCGACTGAACAAAAACGCCGATCAGTTTATTCCTGTCGATGCTGGCGATCTCGACACTTCCGTCGGCACATCCCAGAATGGCGATTTCGTTTCTGAAAAAAAATGAGAATAGCCCGTCAACATGAGCGGACTCAAAAAGGCCTCTTCCTTTCAAATCGTGAAAAAGGGACATAAAACAAGGATTACTGTAAGGCTAGAGTCCAGACTCGTGGCGGGGTCGGAGGCTCGGCTTGGGCGTCTGGGACGACTCGAAGACGACTCAGCCGTTTCACGAGCTCTCCTGCAGAAAAAATAGAAGAAAAATCAGGCAATTTTTGATAAATTCATTCACAAAATGATCAGTAATGAGGAGGATTTCATACTACCCAGAAATGGGAATAAAATACAATTTTTGAAAAAACCTTTCTTATGCTCCCTTAACGTCTCAAAAAAGTACTTTTTTTTTAATTTGCTAATCGTTCCAGCTAATGCTCCTCTTTGAGGCTATTCGTTGACTTCTTAAAGGAACAGTTCCTTCCGAAGATTAAAATATAGTCTGTTCAGATTTTGAATGTCAAGCCGTCGCTCAAGCTCCGCCCCTAATATTGCGATAAACAAATCAGAGCGAGCCATCCGCAGAGAATTTTTTCAGTGACGCCATTGTACTTGACATTCAAAACTTGGACAGTCTTGATCAAAGTTGAAACGCTGGATAATGGCCACTAAAGGGGAGAGGCTCAAAAAAGGCCGCAGCAAGGAAGCAAAAAGCCATTTTTTTTTCTGTAAATTTAAAGAGTCAAGAATTGGTGGAAAAAGTTAGAGGCTTCAAAAATGGTGCATAAGGGCCGAGAAACAGGGGCAAAAAGGCGACAAAAAAGGAGCCTTTGTCATCCTAAAAGGAACATTTCTATGGACCCTTTCCGACTCTGCCTATGATGCGAAAAGCCTATTTTGAAAGCAAACTTCTCTAACTTTTCAAGCGAGCTTTTCGACTTGCAAACGGTCGCTTCTCTTAAAATGACTGCTCTTCTTCGTTTTGGAAGCCTTCTTTCCCTTGTTAAAAAATTATTTTCAACGTAATCCCATTCAGAGAAGCTTCAGGAGCAACTTTTTTCAGGTCGTCTTGCTCCTACTTGAAAAATCAAATACTTTTTTCGAAACCAAACTTTTTTCCTAGTTACTGCGACTTTTTCTATCTACTAAAAGGTCAATTTTTTTGCCTTTTACCAAGCATACAAAGCTTGATTCCAAGGAAACCCACCAGTGGATCCATTCCAGACGAAAACCCGGCCTTCCTGACAGCAAGAGATGAATATTTTCGAGCTACTTCGCTTATCGATTCCCACCGTTTCGATTGGGAATCGATGACCGGAAAATACGATTGGTAGCTGAATTTTTTTTTTCTTCTTTGAAAGCTGGAAACGGGGATAAGGAACCGATTCAACAAAAGATTTGTTATTGGCGTTGCCGCCTTCTTGATGCTTGTTGGAAACTGTCGCTTCCTGCAAAAATTTTTCTTCTTGTTTGTTGAATCTTATTGGTCTAAAAATTTTTGTAGTTGATTCATCAAGTATTTTAAACTTCTTTTTCGACGTCACATTCTCGAAAAACATGACTTTTTTCAAAAAAAAGTAGTGAAAAATATCTTTTTTTTTTGATTGAAAAGCAAACACTTTGACAAAGTTTGACTCGTTGCGTAATATTAAAAAAGTGATTTTCCGCTGGAAAATGTCTTCTTCGACGTCCTTTTCTCCAAAAAAGTCTTCTGAAAAATTCACTGGCCCTCGGTAACGCAAAACGGATGTTTTTGAGCATTTGAAGAGATCACTTTAGCGTTCAGAGGTCGCTAAAGGGATCACTAGATCGGAAACGTCCTGTATCCGTTTCGAGGCCTAAAGATCGCCAAAACTTTTTCTCTAACCCACAGTATTTCTTCCTTTTCTCGCAGCTAGATAACGACGAAATAGCGTGTGTCAGAGAAAATTTTGTGGAGACCTTTAGGAGCCATATGTCAGCGTATGTGAAAAATTAGAAAAAGAAGAGCCATGGAGCGCCTTTAAACAAGAGAATTTTCATTTTTCGCGGCTGTTTTTCCCCGTGTTCCGCGCCCTTTTACACACGTATATCTTTCCCGTTTCACCTGAACCCGGCCAGCTCCAAACTTCCACCGATCGCGGAAGCAGACGTAGGCAAAGAACATTCCAACGGTGAAGAGCAAAAGGATCCAAAAAGCCGCCAAATACATTGTCAGTCGCATTTCCAGCCAATCGATCTTGGATCTAAAAATAGTATTTTACTAAATCAGAGGAGAAGAAAGCCTTGAAAACCCAAAAATTACAGAAAAAGCGTTCTCTCAGATTTCTCTCTGCTCCTTAAAAACCCGAAAATGAAGATTTATACAACATAATTTTAATGCCAACTTCTTTAGTCTCCAAAAAAAGTTTGAATTGTAAAAAAGATGACCGCATTTGGAATGGCTTGAAGTGAGACTGAAAAGAGACTGAGACTTTTTTGTCCAGTAAGTCTGACTACTTTAAGGCGGTTAAAAGAAATCCGATTTAATGGTGCTAAGCGCAAACCGTTCACAGTCGGGTGCATTTAAAAATGATCTTATTTCCTTCGAAACTGGGACTTTACGAGTTAACCGCGACGCATGAGGCCATTACAGTAAAGTGAATTTTTATGAAGTGGGACGGCATTTGGAATGGCTCAACGCGTGAGGATCGCTAAATTTGAAAAACTTGTCGGCTAAAAGTAACCTGAACTTTTCAATGGTACTAAGCGCAAACCGTTTTCAGTCGGGTGCATTTAAAAATGATCTTTTATTTGGAACATAAGCCTTACGCGTTGAACTACTTTAATGTCGACGTGAAAACTTATGGATTTTTTTTTGACTGACTTTAAAAAATTTTTTCACAGACTTTCCAAAGTTTTCTTTTCGTTATTGTAGCTTTTAAACTCTCAAACCTCAAAACTGGCGTTTCTGAAGATTTTTCATCAATTTTTGAATGAACTGGCTTTATTCTTTCCATCAGCTGGTCCGTTGGTGAGACCTAAATTCAAAAAAAAATTGACGATTTTTCAACAAATTATTTAATACTCATTCATCTTTCCATTAGGGATTGAAACCCACCTGAGCCTTCAAGACGATCGGCGGCAAAAAAGTCAGATAACGCGACGGCAGAGTGATATTGTAGTTATCCGCCAGCATTGGCCACCTAAATTTCGAAAAAATATTGGCTTCGTAACAAACAAAAAAAACCATTTATAAGTTCTTTTCTGCCAATCGAGAAACTGTAAATTGGCTCTATGGAGTTGCCGATGCAATGCTAGCGCGTCGGTGGTTGTTTCATCTGGAAAAGTTTACATGTGACGTCATAAAATGAAAATAATCAGATGATATCAGCTCAAAATGACTCATTTACTACTCACGAAAAAAAAAATTTTTGAGAAAGCTTCTGGGAATTTTTCAAGAATTTTTATACGCTGGGACGTCATAATTTTATGAGAGGGACGTCATGTTTTTTTGAAATTGACGCCATAAATTCAAGAGAATGACACCATAATTTTCATGAAAATGACGTCATAAGTTCATGAGAATGACGTCACAACTATGAAAATGACGTCACAATTTTCATGAAAATGACGTCATAACTATGAAAATGACGTCACATTTCCCTTCGACGTGACGTCAATTTTTCAGAGAAGTGAAGCCATTTTTACTCCAAATTGGATCCTAAAAAGCGAGAAAATTTTAGAATTTCACCCTGCGAAACCTTTTTTCAAATGAAAAATAAATCTAAGATGAACTTTTCATCAAAAATTAACCGAAATTACGTCATTAAATCAGAATTTTTCTCTTCTTAAAGTAAAAAAATTTCAGATCTCACTGATCTTCTTATATTGGACAGGTGGTTTTCAGGAGAAAACTCAGATTGCGATAAATAATTCTTTCAAAAACCCACTCTCAAGGCTCGTTGGCTGATATTGCCACGATCGAACTATAAACGCCAACCAGAAGACCCAAACCGCGAAAACTACCATGATTGTTCGCTGGAAAATATTTATTATAATTCAAATAAGGTGTCATGAGACCCAGTAAGCTTCATCAGAAAATAGGGAAAAAATTAGAAAAAAAAAATCGATTCCCTCCGTAAATCTACACAACTTCCAAGAAAGTGCGCGCCGTTGCAAACTACAGGAAATTTTCGGTTTTTAACATTACTCCCCGTTTCATCTTCTTCATAAGTTCTATTTTCAAGTTGTCTTGCGATAAAAGAATTCGTTGAATTCGTCATTTGACGTACTATTCATTGTATTTTAATTCCATGTTAAAAGAGATTCCGCAAAATTCAAAATAGCCATCGAAAGTGAGAAAGATAACTAAATTTTGGAAAGTCAGAGATAATTTTTGAGTTTCAGTTTGAAAATAGCATGAAAATAACTTTTTCATCAACGTATCCTTTTCACTAAAAGAAAACCTGAATGATTCTCGTTCGCGTGATAAAATACAGAAAACGAAGGCGATTGCTCTTGGAATCGTCGCTGACCGACTTGAGCTCGGTGCTCTCAAACTCAGGGTGTCCGGTCGTTGAGCACGACCTTTTGTACTCTTAATATCTTGTTAACGGGAAAGCTACACAAGGAATCAGGTGTAGCGAGTTTTCCATTTTCGAAGGGTACTGTATGTGGAAGTCCGCATTCCGAGCGTGTTTATTTTGTGAGTTTGCATCTTTTTTTGCGTGACGTCCATCTCCACGTTTTGTTTTTCAAGTTTCCCGTATAGTCAGTTCAGATTCAAAATGTCGTAGCCGCTCAAGCTCCGCCCCTGATGGCTAAACCAATCAGGAAGCGAGCCATCCTAAAGCGCTTTCTAGTGACGTCGTTGTACTTGAAATTCAAAATCGGAACAGACTACATACTTCTTAATTCCAATTTTTCAATGTATGCTTGATTTATGCGAAGTTCTTTGCCATTTTTTTTTCGTTTCCATAGATTTTAAATAAAAATGCAAAAATGAAAGTGAAAAGTAAAAAAAAGTGCAAACACACAAAGCCTCAGAATGCGGACTTCCGTCTACAGTAATCTTCGGAAATGGAAAACTCTCTCTTCTCGTAGCACCAAAATTCAAAAAATACCCCTCCTAGTCCTGCCAGCCGGAATCAGCTCCCGCTCTTCGATTTGAGAATCGGAAAGTCTGCGTTTCTGGATTTTTTTCATGGCGAACAGCGTCGGCCAGATTTTCCTCATTGGACAGCTTGAAATTATAGAAAATCGAGTCATTATCTCTTATTTACAGTACCTAACCGGGGCATAATTTTTCAAGCGAGGTATTTCCGCAGAGAAGAGCATTTCAGCAAATCGCCGTTTCTCCTCCAATCCCAACCGTTGCAGGTCGAAAGTGAGGCAGGGGGCATAGAAAAAGAGCTGAAAAATTGGGAGGCTAATTTACAGTTTTTTGATTGGATTATCCACTTTGAATAGGTTTTTTTTTTCGAGCAAAGTATGAATTTTTTTAAAACTTCGATAACTCAAAAATTCATGACATCAGCTGGTCGAGTTTAGTGTTTATCAAAATAAAAAAACGAAACTCAAGAATTCCCAGAAATATTCAACGATTTTTTGCCATATTTCTTTCAAAAAGAGCTCTAAACAGGTTTTTTTTTTTTCCCAGCCCACTTTGGCTCTACCGTAATTCTACGCCCGATCGCATCCTATAGAACTTAGAGAAAGTCGCTCGAGGTCGGACGCAGCTAAAATTAGATACCAATATTAGAAAAAAAAAACGCAGTGAATCCGCAACGCTTTGAGCCAATAGCAGTAGTGGTAACAGCCGCAATTTTCAAAATTTCGGATTTTTCTTTTTCCTAAGTGATTCTCTCTCATTTTCACATGCTATTTCCATGATCCTTCGACATTATCACTTAGGGATAAGAGGGCGCAGACAGGTCAGACTGTTTCAACTCGTTGAAAAATTTCAGTGGTACTTTCAGTGACCACTTAAGGATTGGGAAGTTTTAGTGGGCACTATAGTAGTCAAGGCAGTGGCCACTTAAGAAGCTAAAATTTAGTCTCTTTCAAAAAATCAATGTGGTTTTAATCCTCCCAGTGGCCACTAAGACGCAAAGAGGTGCTTCTAGTGGCCACTTTAGTATCCTCTCCAAGTAGCCCTTGAAGAACCTCTTAAGTGACCACTAAAAATTTTCCCTGTAACCGTCAAGATTTGATTTCTCTGAGCTCCCTCTCTCTTCCCTCGGTCTCTCATTTTAAATGCTATTTTCATTATTTTTTTCCTGACCTCGTTGAGAGAAAAGAGAGCGCAGACAGGTCAGACGGTCTGTGGAAAAGAGTATACCTGCATATAAAAGTCGACGATGAGACAGATCGAGCTGAAGCAGCAGAACTCCTGAATGTCGCCGACGCCGGTCAAATAGCCGCAAAGAAGGGAAAATTGCTCCAGGACAAAGTATTTGGTGATTTTGTAGCCTTCTTGCGAGAGTCCGTGAGCGATTCGAGAAGAAACGTCCAGAGATGGTGGCGTGTAGACCACGGATCTTAAAATAGGTTGATCTTTACAAAAATGATGAGATATTTTTCGTCATTTTGTAAAAAGTCAGAATCCTTTTCTGAGACTGATAGGTCAGTATTCAAACATCTCAAAACCTCCACTCCAGCTCATTAAAACTCTATTTTCTGTCATTTTTCGCGAAAAAATAATTTATTGATGAGCTTCAGTGAGTCAAGCTTTTCATGACAACTCACCTCCTTACAAGGTAATTTTTTCGAAAATATTTATCCAGCACATCAAAGTGATCTCTTGGGAACGCCAGAGTGGTCCCTAGAAGGGTTAGGGGAAGAAACTGCTTATATAGGGGACGAAATAGTGCTCCCTGGAGGGTTGGAATTTAGGTGGTCCTTATAGTAGTTTACGGTCTCGATGGAGGTTCACGGTTTCGAGCTTTTTCCCATAGATTTCATGAAAATAATCGACTAGCATGTCCCCTGTAGGTGCCACTTTCACAAGCTCTATTGCCCCTTTAGGGAAAGGTAAGGTAGTCTCAAGAGAGTAGCCTTTTTTAAGTATCCCTACGGTTGCCTCTTAAGGAGCCACTTTGGCAGTTTGAAAAAGAACTAAAGAGGGAAAGATAAAAAACTCTCTAGCGACCTTCAAACGACGCCTCCAACCCACCTCGTAACGCAGAGGATATTCTCGAGTCCCAGAATCAGAGCAATGTAAGGGTAGAGCTCGGCTCCCCACAAGGTCGTGCTCAGATCAAGGTGGGCACAGATTCCAGTCGTCATGACGAGAGTCGCCGCAACGGTGAATGCCGCCGCGAAGGCGAGTCCCCATCGTGACGCCACCATCTCGAACTTTCTCGCCGAAAAGTACAGGTAGACCTGAAAGGAGGTCGGAGCTTTTTCAGATTCAAATTTCCCTTTTCTCCATCTCCAACCCACCATAAAGAGCATATAAGTTGCAATGAGAGGAGTATAATCCGAGAATTTCTTCAGTGGCCAGTAGTAGAGGTGAACGAAGACATTCTCATCTTTCCCAGCTGACTTCTGAGAAACTTATAATCAGAAAAATCCTATAGAAGTAAAAACCACGAGTTCAAAACTATTTCCGAGGTTCTCGCGAAGCGATTTCAACAGCTTCGGGTTGAATCGGGCAAAAAATACAGTCAACGCGTATTCGATTGCTAAAAAAAAAGAAGTTGGAACGGATTTTAGAATGCCATAGTGATTCCTAGAGGGGTTAAAATTTTGGTAGTCTCTATAGGAGATTCGGGTCGGACAGCCCTTAAAGCTTAACTGGTCCCTATAGTGGTCTTTTTTCTCATCTGAAGTTTGAAAAGACGTATAGAGACCACTAGAATACACCCCTAGAGTGGCAACTAACTTGAACCCCTAAAGTGATCCTTTTTGCAATCTCAGGTGTGGGGAGTTAAGGTGGTCTCTAGAGGAGAACACTCGAACGCCTCCAAGATTTTGCCCCTCTAGGGATTACTTTGGCATTCCTAAGAACGTGTAAATATTTCATTTGATTATTTAGGAAGCTAAAGAAAAAACTCTGCATGGCAGGATAGAAAAAAGATATCGCCTGAAGAGACGCCAGAGAAAGAGAGAGTATTGACTTCTCTGGCGTCCCTTCAGGATGCAGCTGATCTCATCTTTTTATATTTTTTTTTTGTCGAGAAATGATAATTTTACACCTGCTTCAATATACAAAAATGAATAGGAACGAGAGATCATACTTTCGAAAGAGACGCCGGAGAAAAATAGTCTCTCGCTTCTCTGACGTCTCTTCAGGCTGCAGCTGATCTCATCCTATCATAGTTTTTTTTTGCCGTGAAATGAGAATTTTACGCCTGCTTCAATATACAAAAATGAATAGGAACGAGAGATCATACTTTCTGAAGAGACGCCGGAGAAAAATGCTCACTTCTCTGACGTCTCTTCAAGCCACCGCTAATCTCTCACTCTCTTTTTCTCCTCACTTCGCTTCCGATTCGTTTCGAAACGCTTCTTGATTCCCGTCTGCTGGGTCGGAGCGCCAAGAAGGACGTCTCGGATGCAAAAAGACGGATTGCAGTTGGTAGCGAAAATGGTTCTCAGAACATCTTCGTCCTTAAAAGGAACTGCCTTATTTTTCCAGAAGTTGGTTTTCAACCTCCATCAATTTCTGAGGGTTGTTGAGCCAAAAAGAGGCCGGGGAGATGACGAGGCATCCTCCAGAAGGCATGAAGAACGACGGAGACGCAGGAGACGAGAAATGAAGACAAGATTCGTCCAGTCCCGGCTCGGATAAGACAGCTTCTCGTATTCGGAAAGCCGTTGAGAGTGAGCCGCGGACTGCCTGGAAATTGAGTCCGTTTTTCGCGGTTTGAATGACTTCTCTGCGCCCTCCTCGTCTCTCGGCTACCTTCTCAGGATGGAGTGCTATTTTCATGCTTCTCTGACCTCGTCGGTGAGGGAACAAAGAGACGCAGACACTCGAAAACTTTCAAGTCGCGGCGGAAGGACTATATGCTGATTCACGGCTCACTTGGGACGAGAGGGCGTGGCGTGTCTGCGCTCTCCACCAACCAGACGCTATCTCTTTTATTATCGTGTCAGGACCCTTTTTTCGTTCGCTTTGCGCCAGCTTGTCACGATTTTTTAGTATCCTCCAAGCTTAGAAACCTTCCCTACACGGGGTGGCCAGACGTCAAAAAAATATCCGCGCTAAAACTCAAACCTCAAGTACGCAGTCAAAGGCAATCGAACAAAAAAGTTATTAACGTTGAATACTCAGTGCAACTTATGACATAGAATGACGTCATTTTATCCGGAGCGCGCATTTGCTTTTTTTGTAAATTCAGAAACTTTGACGCTTCCCTCACCCCATTAGGAATGCCGTGCCCTATGTATGCGCCTTTAAAATTAAGGAAATTTCAGGCTAAAGTAAGCTATGCGCCTTTAAACTTTAAGTGCCTGAAATTTCCTTAATTTTAAAGGCGCATACACAGATCGAAGAAAAGGGTTCTGTAGCTCGAGGGAAACCAAAAATCGTAAAAACTTTGCGCAGAATGGGACACTTTGACTAGAGAACTTTTCTAGGCGTCAATATAAAAATCCTAAAAACTTTGAACCTTACTCCTATTACCAAAATTTGATCGAATACTGTTTTTTTATACTTTTGAACAATTTGATACCTTCTCCGAGGTCATGTTTGCAGAAATCCAGGGTTCAACAGTCGCCCGAACGATAATTTGCTGTAGAAAAGCGGCTGGTGGAGAACTGAGCCATGGAGGCGTTGAACCTCCTGAGAAATTCATTTTAAGAAAAAAATTTTTGAAATTTATTCTTGTACGAATTCTTACAAAACCTTACTGCCTATCTTTAAAGTTATTGAAATAAATTTTACGCAATAATCTTCAATTTTTTTCATAGCCTTCTTCTCGCAGTTCGTTGCACATAACGACATTCGAAAACTGTATTTTCTATTTTATTTGAAAATTTTTCAAGCTTTCTGGAGCACAAGTAATCTTTTTTGGCTTCACGCTGCGCTTTCAAACATTACTAGGAGCAGTTTTGTGACTACAGTTCATTTGAAAATAGCTTCACTGAACTTTTAAAGGCACAGAAATCGTGAATTACTTCCAAAAAACTGAAAAAGGAGTGTTTTTATCGAATTTAACTCATGCGCCTTAAAATTACTCAAAAAAATGTGTATATTTTTTGAATTTTTGTGTTCTTGTCATACAGTTCTGAATATAGTTTCATCAAAACTTTTTCAATTCTTACGCCCTGCGCCTTTAAAAATTTCATGACAATCATCTTAAGAATATTGCAATCGAAAAAGCTTCGATAAAAATTTAAAGGCGCGGGACATTTTCCCTAACCTGAAACAACACGGGAAAAAAATTTTTTTGTTTGAGATTTTTCATAGGAATTTATCTATGCGCCTTTATAATTCCCAGAAAAACTTTGTGAACCGGCAAAAAAAAAACTGACAGTGTCTCACCTTTATCATATATATTCTCGCTCCAAAACACGTCCAAGGGACGATTTACGGGCAATTGTAGCCGCGTTAGAGTTGGATATGATAACATGGCCATTGTGATGATCGACATCGTCAAGCAGGCGAATGGATGAGCCGCGCATAATCTTCAAACAAAATACTAGTTAGAAAAAAATAATGAAAAACCATTGCGAATGAAAAAATGAATTTTTTTAGTAAATCCCGACAAGAGAAGCTAGAATTTCCGATCTAAAGTCTTTGACCATTTTACGAATAAAAAGAGAATTAAAAGTGGAAAAAAAATAAAAAAAGTTTATGAAATTCACTTGAAAAACAGATATTTTTCATAAATTCCGACGAGGAAATTTATAAGTCCTCTAAAAACGTGTAATCTGTGAAAAAAAAGAACAGCTTTTATTGAAATGTTATTTTTTTTTTCAAATTATTCAAAGTTGACATTTCTAAAAATTCAATAACATTGAAAAAAACAGGAAATTTTGGTGAAAACTCCGAAAAAGAACCCTTCTCAAAAAATTGGCTGAAATCAAAATGAACAAAAAAAGGAGGCTAATTTTTTTCTTTTGGAAAAAATGCTCTTTGTAAAAAATTATATCAATTTAAAAAAATTTCTTTTTGAACAGATTTTTAACGTATCTTTTGAGTTCGTAAAAAAACGTTGAAATCAGTTCAAAATTTCACTTTTTATAATATTTTTTTCAAAGCCAGGGTCCGTTCAAAATAATTTTTTTAGTGAAATTCCTCAATTTTTCTTCGATTATTTTGATAAATATCATATAATCGTACCTTATTTTTATTTCTAATGATCTCAAAATTCCGTTTAACTTCCAATTTTTTTTTCGAACTGTTTTTTCAGGACTAAAAATCATTTATAGCCCAATCCGCGCCAGCTTGTCCCGATTTTCATTTTCCTCCGGGAAGCTCACCTTCGATGCGCGCGGTCTGTCTCCACGTATGCGCCTTCAACCTAACAGATTTTTAGGCCAATTTAAAGGCGCATATACAGAGAAAGGCCGCACGCATCGAAGGGAAGGGTTCTGTAGCTCGGAGGAAAATCAAAATCGTGACAAATTGACTCGGAATGGACTATATAAACGTCTCAAGCCCTTGAAGGGTCACTTAGAATTCGCCCTGGAGCTTTCCCTTTACGTAAAAAGGTTTAAAAAATCATTCCCATTTTCGAATTTTAAACCTCCCATAATCGTGGTAGGCGTGTGCGACGCGTTCCTTAACGGTCAGCCACCGGAACCGTTTCTCCCGCGGCACACTCATTTCACATTGATCTTCAGCTCAAGGAAATGCGTTTCGAAACAAGATTTCTTTTATATAATCAACGAAAAACATGCTTCAATCAAGAAATACAGGAAAACCTTCCAATATTTATTAGTTTGGCAAAAACCGAAAAGAGTAAATATGTGAGAGAAACAAGAACAGAACAAAAACAACAAGGGAAAAGTCCAGAGGAAACCAATAAAAAGGAACATTTTTTTTGAAAAGAGACGTCTACATTGAGATCATCCGCTCGTGGAGTTGAAGCTGAGTTTTGGTCAGGTTGGCCAGGTAGGAAACCATCATGTAGTCCTGGAAAAAACTCAATAAAATTCCAGATTTTTTTAAAGTATATTTTATATGTTTTTGCGTTATACTGTGTTCATGTTTCGAATTTCAAGCAGCTAACTTCTCCTCCCACAAGCAAAGGATCTTTTCTTGTCGATTATTTATCGCGCGAAACGCTGATACTTTAATAACGCTCTTTTTTTTTAATTTTTTGATCTGACAGCTTGAGAAAAAGTAAAAAAAAATTCATTATCAAAAAGATCATTGTGATACGAATTTAAAAAAGATACTGTATATCCGATAGTTAGCTAATTGACATTCAGAATCTGAACCGACAAACTCTTCAATGTTTGATGCTTAAACTACTGGTTCTAGAATTTTTTATAGTATTATGTACACATCTAGTCTCATTACGTCGTCATAGGAATCATGTGTTCGGGAGGGATCTCTAAAACTTTGGAATGTTCTACTTTTCACTGTAATCTCAATACTATATAAACTCCCTCCTCCTTTCTGGAGCATTCCAGTATCTTCTGGATCTCTTCCTTCAGCTATATATAAATTTATGTGTTATGGTAGATGACTACTTTCTATTATGGTAGATGTATACAGTATAATTTCTTGTTAATCATAAGTTTTCCTATTACAACGTCTTCACTGGCAACCTGCGCCGACTTTAAAACTAAGCTAGAAGCCAAAAAAAAAAAGCTAACTGGACCCATGACAAAGCCAATCGAATATATATATTTTTTTAATTCTGAGAGAGATAGAAAAAGATTTCAAAGACAATATCGTTTTTCAAGTAACTCAAGTTTCGCACCAAAAAGCCTCCCTTGCCTTTCAAGTCTGGTTAAAGTATGGTTAAAGGCGCAGGAAGTAGCTTGAAAAATTCCTCTACTTTTTATTGTTCACTCTTCCTTTTTTAAAAAGCCTGAAAAAAAGCTTAATAATTCATTTAAAAAAATATAAAGTTAAAATTTTTTTGAGTGGCGTGGAACTGTTAGGAGAGAGCTAGAAAAAAGGCAAAATTTTTTGCGAAAATATTTTTTTCTGGAAGAATTGACTATACCCATATCCTTTTATGGAAGCAATAAAAATTGACTATAAGGATTATTGAAAGTTTCAAAACGAACCCTGAGAGTGTTCTTGACGAGCGCATCGAGTTTGTCGGTCTGCATGTGGGTGGCGGCCGTGTTGACGATGTCCATCAAAGTTCGGCCCATGGTCGCGTCAGCCGGAAGCTCTTCACGGGCGACAACTTCGTTCACGTACCTTTAATTGTAATCATCGAAAATTAATGTTCAAAAAATGCATTCCACTCTTTTAAACTGTGATCGAAATTCGATGAATAATGAGGGTTTTTAGTATGAAACTCATCTTTGAGGATCATTTTTTCCCGCAATAAATAAATAATTCATTGAAAGTGACTCAAAAAAAAAAAATTAGTACTCACTCTAAAAGTCTCTCGAGCCATCCAATAATATCGCCGGTACTTCGCTCCAACTGCTGAAGTCCACTTTCAAGAGAAGCTTCACGGCGCTTCGAGTCCAACGAGTTCTACAAATCATCATTTTGTTTTACATGGAATTTATGGGATGTTCAATTTCTTGTTAGAAACGTAACATTTATTAAAAAATTAACTTTTCAACAATTTTTAAAAAAATCATATCTACGCTCAAAACTTGTTTTGAAGGAAAATAATTGGATTTCTGTCACCAGTGGAATAGGATCTATATACCCTCCAAAAATAAGCTCAATTGGAAGAATCGAATTATTCGTCTTTGAGAGCCCCTAACTTTTTTCACCGGCCTCGAAGCTAACTTTTGAGCACAGATTCGGGATCAGCTTATAAAACAACATCTAGTGTCCCTTTAGAAGTCCCACTGTGACCGGTAAAATTCGTGAAAATCTCTTCTTTCGAAGCTTCAAGTACCTCGATGAGCTGCATGGCGACGCACTCTCCGGGGAAAGCGTCGAGTTCGACGCGAAGCGGGTTGAAAATGGCGCAGTGAGGCTGCGGACTGCCGGGGATTCCGGCCTTGGACCGGAGGTAGGCGCGGATCGGCATCCGCGTCTTGTTGTCGCCGGAGAACGTCGTGTCGAGCGTCAGGAGCACGAGTGGCGGCGTTTCTTTTCTCGCCGAAATCTGAAAACTTTGAGATTATTTTAGGCATTACTCACGGATATTAGTCGATCATTTTTTTGCTAGTCGCTTGTTCCAACTTAACTCAGTCAACTGTTTCTGATTGGCTAGCCCTTAAAAGGTGAAAAAAAGACATAGCAACGCAGAAGCATAGCTTCCTGGAGCGTGGTTAAAAAAAGGTTGTGAATAGATTTTAAAAAAAGGTTCTCATCTTTTCAATACTTGAATAATTTTACGAAAAGTCAATGCAAATCAGAAAAAGAAAATTTGAGATTAATTTGCATCTAAACAGTTTCAAAATTTTTCTTAGACCCTACTGTTGATAATGTTGACAAATTATTTACAAAAAATCATGTATGTCATACTTTTATTCGTCAATTCTTATCAAAGTTTCACCTCAAACTACAACTTCTGATTCACTTTCCTGTGTAAAGTTCTCTTATTCTATAAAACCTATATTTTAAAACTCCATAATCGTAATAAATTCTCAACGAACCTCGCTGATCACTCGCACGTAGTAATCATGATAGACAAGGCAATTGGAGGAGATGTCCGACGAGGTCAGGAACCATCCGACGGGCTGCTCGTTCGGGGCGGCGCGTTTCAACATGGAGATCATCTGCTGGTTGAAGGAATCGTCGAGTTCCAGGTCGTCGTGGTACTCGTTGAAGGGGATCGCGAAACAGTTGGTCACCTGGAAATTGACATGATTTTGGGCTGGAAAATATTTGATATTCAAAACTGAAGCTTTTCAGAAATCAATCCTACTGTAAAATTTGAATATAGACGTTCAAAATGAAGAGATTACCGAGAAAAAAAGGTTTAAGAAACGATTGGTCGGAAAAAAATCCCTAGCATCAAAGAGAAAAATGCAAAAAAACTAGAAAAACAGTACAAAATTTAAAAATTTTTATATAATATGATTTCAACGCAAGCATAACTGCAATATCAAGAAGATTTCCTCCAAAATTAACCTGAATGGCGCCCTTCTCATAGAAGCCCATCAACGTTCCGAGAGCCTTCTCGTTAGCCGATCCTTTCGTGGTTCCGCGGGACCGACGAAGGTACGAATCGACAATCGTCATGTACACCACCGGGTGCACTTTCACCGTCATGTTCGACGCCATCTTGAAACCCTGAAAGCCCTAGGATTGGATGCTGTCCGAAATTTATTAGAGAAATTTTTAATCGGACGAAGAAGAGAAGAAAAAAACGAGTTAAGAAAAATATATAAAATACTAGTACCCACAAAACATGTCTAGGAGTAATGATGGGTAAATAAAACGCGACAAAACTGATTCAAAAGAGCCTAACTCTGTTCTAAAAAAACACCCAGTTCAGAGACGAAACAGCTTAATGTGTTGATTTTTATTACTGAAAGTTAAATAAAAGGTTTCCAAAATGTATTCAGTTTGAAAATCAAGGGTGAAACTTCAGAAAGACAAAAAAATAAAGCCAAAATCGCTCAAGGCACTTCATTCATCTTTTTTTATTTGTAAGTTTCGAGGATTTGATGTAAAAGTTCTATATTTTTGGAAATAATCATCAGATTTTTTTGTTCATTTTCCAGCAGCAAAAAGAAAATGTTCCGAAAAATTTTTTGGTTTTAGAATTTTTAGGACAAAATTTCTTATAACTGCTTTTTTTAAAAATTCAAAGAGAAAAAATATGGAAAAACGCAACAAAAAGTACATTTAAAAAAAGGCACAGTGACCTTTAAAAAAATTAAAAAAACAACAAATACAGAAAAACTTTTTATTCTTTATAAGAAAAAATACAAAAACATATCACAACCCCCAAAAAAACGGCGATTTGTTTGAATCACCGGGAAGGAAAGAGTGAACTGATGCATATAAAAGATTACGCGTAAAAATAGTGTAGCTTTCAGCAAATATTTTTTTCTAAACAGAGATTTCCATAAAATAATAAAAAAATTTTTCCGAATCGTGAAAATGAAAGGAGTCAGGCTGAATGTAGATTCTGACAGAGTTTATATTTAAGGAAATCAAATGGTTCTTAAGTGATTCCTTGAACAAATGAATGAAATAGAAATTTGAAAGAAAACCTCGGGAAATAATAAAATTTTTTTTTTGAAAAACAGAAAAATGCTTGAGAGTAAGTGCGCTCTACCGCCATAATCGTTTTTCAAAAAAACTGGATTCCGGTCATTCCTATTGAAAATATAGGTTTTATAAAGTTTTCTCACCCGAGTAGAGTGACCATTCAAGGGATTTGCAATGTCAGCTTTTTAGAAAAAGGAAAATCTCCACTATACACTTAGAAGGCTTGAATCTCTGTAAGGCAACCCTGATTTTCTTGAGCACTCTAGTGATCACTTAATAGTACTGACGACGCTAAAGTGATCAATAGAAATTTCCAGAAGAGTCTGGTTTGCGTCACCGAGAGCGCAGAAGTCGCACTTTTCGTCTCAAGGCCTAGCAATGAATAAAAAACCTCCATGTTCCCGAATCGATAACTATATTACAAGTATATTTTTTTATACAATATATATTTCTACAGTCTACAGCTCCATCACCAGCCAATTATCAACCAGATGCCCTTTAATTCCTTCGCCGGAGCCCTTCCGCAGATTCTCCGTAAGCCGGCGGTGGCTCCCATTGTCCAGCGATGTGAAGTTCCTCCGTCGGTTGCGGTGGCCTTTCCGGTCCGATGCCGGGATACGGCGGCGGGGCGCCACTGATGAAGACTCTCGATGGATTCGGCTGGTCGGGAAAAGCTTCGGTCGACGGATTATAGCCGTTGGCGGCTCCTGAACGCCATCTTTTGAGAAAAAATGAAAAAGTCAGAAAAAAGGAGTCTTCTACTAGGGGAGGTTTTTTGACAAAAAAGCGCTATTTCAAGCTTTTGGAAAGACCTAACTCGATAACCAGATCTATTGCGAAAAAATTGCTTATTGTTCTGGAATCAGGAAGTCTTAAAGTACACTTCGAATTTCATCAAAAGTTCAACATGGGGTAAAAAACTTTCCTTTGTAAGGCCATATCGTAGAGCTTTTTGTCGTGTTACAAAAACGTGTTAGAACAAACTTGTTTTTTGAAAAAACCATATGCAGCGAAAGATAGAAAAACTGAGAAAAAAGCCTAGAAATATTTAAAGTTCAGAAAAAATAGTTCAAAATTCACACGCAATGATTGTGACTCGAGAAAGGTTCAAAAACCAACAAAAAATTAAAAAAAAAACAAGCGAAATCTTAAAAAATAGCGAAGAAAAAAGAGAGGCTCGAAAAGACAGCCGAGAAAAAATAAGCAACAAAACTTCTCTAAAGTCTCTCCAAGCTTCTTTCTTCTTTTTATCTTTTTTTTTCAGGTTTTTTTTCTGATCTCATCCTAGATAGACACAACTTGAGCTACATTTTGCAACTTTGAGTAGTTTATACCTTGATTATTAGGTTGATAATAAGCAGGTGGGGCGGTGTAAAAATTGCCGGCCGGAGGTGCGTATGGTGGCGGCGCGCTAGCCGGTCGTAATCTGCAAAAAATTGGTTTGCAAAGAGTTTTCGATTTCTGTTCAGTTTGCACCGAAAATTTTCAAGTTTCTTTTTCATTTTTCTTAACACCTTTTAAAGTATCATTCTTCTTTCTCACACTGATAAAGCTCGAATTCACAATTTTCAATTTTTGTTTCGCCTCCTTTCTACAATGAAAATTGTAAATTTTCACTTCTTCTCTTTGCTCAAACATTATCGATTTGAGCAACTTCAAGTTAATTATTTTCTCACCTAGCAGCCCGGTCGACAGCTTCCAAGAGAGCATGGCCGAAATCTATACAGCCGCCCTTGTTGAAAGTCATCCGCCAAGGGACTTCGCCACGCATTTGGCCGCCTTGGACCGCCACGGCGATCCCTTTCAGGTAATTGGCACCTGGAGAAAAAGGAAGTTTTTTTTGATGAAAAAGTCTTCGTAGCGACTAGAAAAAGTATAGTTTAGTGAGAACAGCTTGGAGAAGAATCTGGGCATCTTCTTTCTTCAAGAAAGTTTGAATTGAATTGAATTGAAGAAAGTTGATCGACTTTTCAAAAAAATAGTTCATCTTAATTATATACACGGGCAAAGTCCAAAAGAACTTTTAGAAAAAAAAATCTGTAAAAGGCCTCAAAGGCGCCTTTTTTTCTGGACCTTTTAAAAAGTAACAAAAAAAGAAGGCGGAAAAAAATGATGAAAAGATTCCGAGAAATTTTTTTGCCTCTTTCTAGAAACTCAAAAAGTAGCTCTTTGGCTCTTTTTTTTTAATGCTTTTGAGGTCGTTTGGACTTTGCCTGTGTGTTCAGATTTTGATATTTTATTCCAAAAAATACAATTCAATCAAAAAATTTGTAGCGATTAGAAAAAAGTACATTTCAGTAAGAAAAAGTAATTTTTTTCTCCAAAAAGTGTTTTTTATAGATTGTCGTCTTCTGAAAGTTCTCTGATATGAGCTCATTATGATCCGAGAACCAGCTAAATTCCAACAAAAATCAGATAAAATGAGTGTTTTGAAACGGTGAACTGTTCGCAGAGGGAAGAAAAATCCTGAAGGCGGGAGGAGCCCTCAAGGTTACCTAATATGGTACTCAAAAGCTGGAAAAAAATATGTCTTATTATTTTTCTAATCTATTTACTGCCTCTTTTTTTGTCCACCTTTTAAGCCATTGAAAAAAAAAAATCGAAACGGAACTATTTTTGCGGCTTTTCTTTCCTATTTCGCTAGAGATGAGAATGAGAAAAGGAGTTATTCGGAAAAAAATGTCAAAAGATTTCTTCACAATTTTCCCATTTTTTGACAAGAAAAATCAAAGTTGCGAAAAATCCCGTTCTGAGACTAATATATTACGAAGAAAAAGGCCTACCAAATATGGGTTGTTCCAACTGCACAGCCTGCATGCAGTTGAAGGGCATCTCAAAAGATTTGACCCAATCTCCGGGGTCTGGCATGAAAATTATCCGGTGAGAAGTCAAATAAATGGTACCCGTTCGGCGGCCTTCCAGACTCTGGAATTAAAACTAGTTTAAAAAATATTTTCAAAAACTTAGAAACACCAGGGGGGTCTCTATAGGGGTTTAGGGTCTGACCCCTTAGCCCCTAAAGCTCAAGTGGATCCTATAAGGGTCTTTTCAATTTTTCATTCAAAAAATGCTTATTTATGCAGTTATTCCATGGAACAGCTTCTTCGCTTAGAGTTTATAACAATTATCGACTAGCATGTTTCCTATAGGGGCCACTAACTGAAACTTCAGTAGGGACCACTTCTGCGATCTTTAGTAGCCCCTATAGGAATTGGTAAAGTAGCCCCTACAGAAGACCCTCCAACGGCCCCTATAGGGACCACTCTGGATTTCCCAAGTTTTTTTTATTTTTCAGAATGTCTTCTTTTCAATAGATTTTCATTTAAAAATTTCTTTCTCGAGAAAATTTAAAAATTTCTTTCTCGAGAAAAAAAACACCCAAAGTTTCACCACCTGTTTTCCGTTTTTCACAAAAGCTGTTAAAGCTTGAAACACGGGCAAAGTCCAAAAGAGCTTGAAAAGGCCTCAAAAAGAAGAGACTGAAGCTCCTTTTTGAGTTCCTAAAAAGGTGTCAAAAGTTTCTCGGAATATCCTTTTTTCCGCCCCATTTTTCTAGTCCTCCTTAAAAGGTCCTTTTCAGAAAAAGGTCTAGAAAAAAAGGCGTATTTGAGACCTTTTAAAGTCCTTTTTGAGACCTTTTGGACTTTGCCCGTGAAATTCAAGAAATCCATAAATGACTAATAAAATTCGATCAAGGTATCAAAAAACCTGATTTTCACTGGTTCCCAGGGTCATCACGACACCTTGAGCGAAAATGACGATCACTTCGCCATTGTACAGCAAAACGCCCAGGCCGTCCGGGGTGTTCGCCGTATTCACAGACATTCTTCAAAAATACCTAATTCAATACACAAAACAAATGAAAAAAAATCCATAAAAAACGGACGCTTTTTGAATTTTTAGTTGGGCTTGTCTTTCATTATTGCTACTTCTTAGGATTAACTTTTTTGAATTCTCTTTTTAATTTTTTTGCGGAAAAAAAGAATCGGTGGAGTCATTTTTTTATTGATAACTTAAGTGATCAGAAAACTTCAAATGAGTTTTTTTAAAACTCAATCTTGAGAAAAATCTAAATTTTTTTCGATTCTCTGTTTTTGTGGGTAAAAATTTTTTTCAAAAGCACCATTAAAAAAAATGCAAAAAAATTCCTGAAGTTTGATAATTATCAGAAAAAAGCTTGAATATTTCTGATTAAAAAAAATAAGGTTTCAATCCAAAAAGCGTCCATCATTTCATGATTGCTTCAAAAATCGAAAAAAAGCCAATAAATCAGGGAAATTAACCCCAAAAAACTACAAAAAAGGCACAAATTTCGAATCTCTTTACGGAAAAAAAAAAAATCGCACAAAAGGTCGTATCGGATTCAAACCGGGCAGAAACAAATCAAACCAGTCATCATAAAAAAGGGAAAAAAACGGGTCGATCGCAAATATATATACACTACAGCCATGAGACAAAGCGACTAGATAATTTACCGATTAAAAAAAATGATTCGTAAGGAAAATTGGCAATGAGCAAAGTGATGTACAAGCAGGTGAAAAATTGGGATCTAAACAAGAAAAATGGCTTTGAAATAGGGAAAAGATTGAGAAATAACCTGAGGAGACAGAATTCAAGGAGAAAAAATAGGCAAACTGGTTCAAAAAACAGGTTGGGTGAGCATTTCATAGTTTTTTAAGTGACGGACTTTTTTAATCACTTTTTTTGATGGAGCTAATGCCAGAGTTTCCCAAAAAATGAAAAAGTTCTTTGAAAAAAAGCCTTTTCATGCAGGAATTTATAAAAAATATTTTCCAAGCTGATCTTTGCTGGGAATTGCCAAATTTTTAGAAATCAACTTTTTAAATTTTCGAATTACAGATAGTTCATTTAGAAAAAATCGGATCAATCCCTTTTTTCTCAGAAAAAAACGGCAAACGGCTCAATTTGATCAAAAGAGAAATTCTAAAAAACCTCGAGATTCATTTTTCTCATGAATACCTAACAAATAAACTAGAAAATCTTCAGTTCAAACTTTCCAAGCCTCAAAACCCCCAGTTAACATCAAAAACTATCGAATTGCACACACACACGCCTCCAAAATCAATCTAAACAATCCGAAATCCGAAAAATCCCGCAAAAAACAACAATATTTGAGCGGAAAGGTCGCCGTGGGGAAGAAGAAGACTCTTGCATGGAAAATTTGGGGAGAAAGGAAGAAGTTCCGCCTCCCCACACACACAAAACTCGGAGATTAAGCATCACAACGAACTCAATGATCAGCCAGAAGTGACGAGAGTCCATTTTTTGTTCCTCTTTTGGGCTTTTGCTCTTTTCTTATTGATAATTTCGTTGAAAAATTTCTGAAACGGCATCGAAAAATGGGCAAAAAAGACAGTTCTAGGCTCAAATTATAATTTGAAGTCCGTTGAACTCATTCGCGTCGGACATTCAGAATTTTGCAAATTTTTTTTTGGGATTTTGCTCTCTTCTCATTGATAATTTCGTTGAATGACTTGATTTTTCGAGAAAAAGTTCTAGATTGGCCTCTGGAAGTGAACAAAAAAGGACAGTTATAAGCTCAAATTAAAAGTTTGTGAAACTCCTTCTTTTTCTCTCTTCTCATTGATTAATTAGTTAAAAATTTAGATTTCTTGAAGTGAAAACCGTCAAAAAACAACAGATAATTGCTCCAAAATCGCTCAAATGTCCTCTTAAAGGACAAAAGTGGTCACTTAAGTGATCAAAAAAAAAAATCCCTCAATTTTAATCTTCTGAAGGCTAATTCATCTACTGAGAGCACAGGAAAAAATATTTCCGCTCAATTTCCTATGAAATATCTGAAATTTAGAAGACCGATCTCTAAAAAAACTCAAAATTAGCACCGAAAAATCGTCCTAATCTACCTAAAATCGTAGGGGAAACACAATTTTCTAGACTTTTTCGCGTTGCAGCTGCGTCATGAACTCCTCCAGCTTCTCCTGAATCCGGCGGACTTGCTCTGAAATCATAGAATTATTTCGAAATTCGGGTTCAGATTCACTTATTTCCTCGGCAAGATCAACTCGGCGACCAGTCAAAAACTCCTTTTTCTTATCAGCTTCTTGGGACCAATCATCAAGAACGTCCTGTAAATAAAAAAAGGGATGATAATCTGGTTGTTGATTTTGGGCCAAACAAGGAACACTCATCGAACTAAAACCGTCGGAAAATAACTTTTTTTTTCGAAAATCTTCAAATTGAAAAATAAAAACAGACCTTAATTTCTTTTTCCAATCGCCGTTGTTCAGTGTTGGTGATCTGCTGCCTCAGCGCATTACACGTCAAATTGATCATTTTTTGTATCCTAAAATGAAAGACCTTATAGATTTATTTAAGCATCTTCAATTGATAAAATCAGATTTCTTTTTCCTCTTGGTAGATCCTCCTAAATCCCAAAAAAAAACAGCTATTAAAATGTGAAAATTTGAAACTTATCGATATTTTCAGTGAAAACTTCGAAGAGCCCCCAAACTAGAGTCTAGTTTCGAACCTTTGAAATGAATTAAGAACTCCAGAGTGGTCCCTAGAGGGGCATTTGTAGGTTCTTCTCAAGAGATCATTTTATCTCTCCTTAAAAGGGCACTAAATAATGCTAAAGTGATCACTATAGGGGAGCCTTTGTTCGTTTTTTATGTAGCCTATGGGAAGGAGCATTTCAAGCTTAAGCTTTAGGGTTATCCCACTTTATACCCCTATAGGGACTACCTAGATTTTTCCACTCTACGGAGCACTTTTTAATCCCTCTAGGGACCCTTTCTGGTGGTTCTATAAGTAAGAGAGCGTACAAAAATGAAACTCTATACTGCTCTAAAAGCTCCGAAGAACATAGATTCCCAAAAAATGTGAAAAATTTTGAAAAAAGAGGATTTTCTCACTGGAGCGCACTTGCTTCCACTACAAGATGATTTATTTAAAATCTTCGGAAAAAAAGGGCTTCATTTTCCCAAGTATTACCTGTAAAACAGCACAATCGTCTGACAGTCGATGTCCTGTCCCTCGGCGAGGCCTTCGCGATAAATTTGATACAGGGATAGGCATTCGCGGCTCGACTACAAGGATTTTTTTGAATCTCAGCCAAAAACCGAGCAAAACTTGAACGATTCGCTCCAAGAAGTGCTTTTTGAAGACGAGTTTCCACTGTTTCCGGATCGTTTCCGTTGGAATGTCCAGGACGCCTTTCGTTTCGATATTCCGCCTGATAACCGTGATATCCTCGTCAGTCAGCTGCTGTTTGTGCTCCTAAGAAAATAATGAATATTATTTCTGCAGAAACTTAAAAAATTGACTATTCAATCTACCATTACACAAAATCTTCACATCTATTCCTTCAAGACTCAAATGATGTATAAGTTTATAATGCCGTGTTCAATTTGATTCCGCGAAATGCAAAATGATCTCTGACTCTCCAAAATTTAGGGATCTGTTCCTTTTTCTAACGGGTATTTTGATTTCGCGGAATCAAATTGAACACGGCATAATGTATTCTCTTAAATTATAGATCCAAGTGCACTCGTTAGTGTCAATAAATCATTATTATTGAAGCTTCATCCTCGATTTTCACAAGTTTTCATTTAAAAGTTTCTTTAATTCCCATAAATCTCCTCATAGAAATGACTTCAAGGTCTCGATTTCCAGGAAGCTTAGGAAATTCAAATAAAGCTGCTTTTATTTTTTTTTTAAACGTCTTTCGCGGAAAAGCTTTGGAATTCTCAGAAACAAAAACAAAACCCAAAAAAAATCAGAAAATTCCCATTTCATAGAAAATTCCAATTTTCAGCTTTCACAAACGCCTGCTCATTTTACCTGGGCTAAACTTTCTTCTCAAAAAATTTTTTTTCGAACTTTTACTGAAAAATTAATTGATCAATAGCTTTCTTTTCAACTTCATTATTTTCTTTTCATCGGTTTTCGTAATTATTTTTTTTCAAATTTTAATTATCAACAAATGATTTACCAAACAGTAGAGCTACAACGGTCTTTGAATAAATATAAAGTTTGACAAAAAAATAATGAAAAAAAAGGATAAATTAAAGAAACATTTCTGAAATCTTATCAATCTTATTGTTCTCCTACATGCAGAAAGATTAAAAGTTCGCGCCAGTTTTGAAGAAATTAAACATGGATATCTCCAAAAAACGAACCGGATCATTGGCGAGCAAGGTCTTGAGCTCGTCCTGAATAAGACAGGCGTAGTGATTGTCGGCGGTGGGGGTCCTCCAGAAGACCCACTTGGACAGCCAAGACGGTCCTCGGCCCTCGTCCAGCTGCTTTTTCACCTCGGTCAGTCTCTCCGTGGCCGCCTTCACAGGGCAAAAAGGTACATTATAACGAGAAAAAGGCAGTGGAAAATAGAGCTCTTAAAAATGAACATTTGAACGGCTTTTTAATAATAACTTCCAGCAAAAATACATATTTTTTTCCCAAAAAGTCGTCATTTTGAAAACAGAAAGGTCAGACATTTCAACACGTCGATTCCGACGGAACGACATTTTTGAGAGCTCTAGTGGATAATCACTTTGCTGAGGAAATTGCACGCCGACTCCCACGATCTTCGGTCCTGCACGGCGCGGTCTTCCATCGCATTCAATTGGATGACGCGCTGCAAAAAAAGTCCCGAAAATTCAATTATTTCTATATGAAAAAAGGAGATTTTTAGGTGCAAATAATGTGATTTTGCTGAGTACCTGACTAAAGAAATTTCGAAAAATTTGAAAAAAATACTTTAAGAAATTTCCAATGAACTTCTCAACTCTGAAACCCGGATCACGAATTTGAAATGCCCTTAGGCGGAGAAAAATTCGGGCAAACGACAAAAATTTCCACTGCTTTAGAAAATTTCAGGTTTCATTTTTGTCGTTTTTTTCCTTCAAAAACTACGCTTTTTTCTTCTTTTTTTTTCACTCACCAAGTAGTCCATGGCCTTCTCGTCCCACTGATGCGTACTCATAGCTTCTTCAATGACGGCTTCTTTTAATGGGTCGAAAATCGGATCGTGATCCCGTCGAGCAACGACATCCTGCTTGATTTGTCGCAGAAAGACCTCTCGAAGAGTTTCCCAACCCGTCTAAAAATTGTTTTTTTAATCGTTTTTTTCAAACAAATCATTTTTTTCTTCGGATCTTGAAAAAAATTCCGTTGATATCTCGATGAATGAAGAAACTACTTTTTTTGAATCGAAAAGTTAAAAAAATGGATTTGGATTTTTTTAAAACAAGATTGGTTTTTTTAAAAAAACATTATTCTGAAAAAAATACGCTCTAAGAAAAAAATTTAATCGAGTCAAGAGCTGGAATTTGTCATAATTTTTGACGAAAATCTCAATCAATATTTGAAAATAATTATTTTTTTGATCTTTCTTATCGATTCCAGCTATAAAATTGAAGTTTCCGCAAATAGAATAAAAAAAGTTCACTAAAAAAATTTGTCAGAAAAACGGGATCAGTTATCAGAAAATAAAGAACCATTTTTTTCAAGTTATCAAAGTTTTTTTCTCGATTTTTTCTGAATAAAACGGGTTTCACGATGATTTTTTTCGATGGTAAAAATCGGGTTAAGAATCCGAAAAAGAATTAAAAAAATCAAAACTTTGTATAACCTGATGATCAACTGATTATAACATCAATTCTCAAAAAGCCAATTTTTTTCTCTGAGAAATAATTTTTTTATGAATAATTTATGGAACAAAAAAATTTTTATCTGGTTCCTACTGTTTGATAATTTCGGTGGGAAGGCAAAAAAAAAAAACGGGTAATCTTCAAATTTTGCGTAAAAAAAAATCCCTAAATTTAAAAAAAAAATACAGGTTTTTCCTAACGTTTCTTCGGTCAATTTAACTCATGCAAATGATAAATGAAAACTTTGATCTCGACATTTGTTTTAAAGATTCAAATCATCCGAAAACAGGCAAAAACAAAGCAAAATAAAAAAAACCGAAATGCTTTTCGTGGCCAAATCCTTGTCGGCAAAGTGCTTGAGCCGTATATCCACCATAGTGTTGAAAGTCCTGAAAGTGCCAAAAATAAGGCACCCGGGGGGAAAAATGGGATAAACCCGGGATTATCGCTGGCATAAGCGGGCATGAGAATCTGGTCGAAGAAGTGGTCGGCGACGCCGTCCCACAGCTTCTTGTGCAGCATTTTCTCCCATTCTTCGACGCCGACCAGCGAAAGATTCACGATTTCGTCCAGAATCTCGCCTCGAGCCTGAATAAATAAAAAATAAATAAACAACTAACAGCCGTTTGAAGAAAAAATCTTCAAAGTTTACCATAGATATATTTTAAGAAGTTCATTCGCTTTCGATGAAAGCTTCAAAAGGTTGTGAAATTTATCTTTTTTCCTCAATCGTTTCGGGTACTATTCACAGTGTAAAAAATGTGTTCCTTTTTTGTCAAACAAATCTAAAAAATAAACGAGTTTTCATAAAATGTGAGCAAGAATATTTTAAGGTCAAATATAATAACTGTTTTGGTAGATAATGCTCCCTTTCTTCCACGGTTTAAGTTTGAACACTGAACTTTCAAAATAGTTCTATTTCGTGCTAAAAAATTTCAAAACGCCATAAATCTTGAAGTTCGAGTTCAAAAAGGTATTCTTTCTGAAAACTTCGACTTTTTTCTATCTTCTCTGAAAAAATTACAGCATCTACGAAAATTTTATGAGCACATACTTAAAATTTGGTTGTTAAGAACCGTAAATTTTCTGAAATTCTCAGAAATTCTAAAATAAATCTGTACAATTTTGTTCAAAATTAAATCTTGAACTGTGAAACAATTTTTCAAATCTTAATGGATCTAGAAACTTGTCAAAAGGCATTGATTATTGTAAATTATCGAGCTAAAGTCTGAAAACTTTATTTCCATCAGTTTTTGCACTCTCCTAAAACATTACCTTATCGAAAAGCTCATCGCGGTCGAGCTGCCGAACTCTTGGGAAGTTGTTTTTCCACTCCGTCTCCAAGTTGAATCTTGAAAAAACTACATAAATTCTGAAAATACTGAGAAAAGTAACCGTGAAGCTCGGAAAGCATCAGCTTGACTATCAATCGAATCTCGGACCATTCGCCAGAAACATTCGGAAACTGCCAGGGACATGTTTCTCGTGGTCATTTGGGAGGGCTTCAGGTTGCCGTCCCTGTAAAATTTGAATAAAATCGAGGATCTTCTATATTTCTAAAAATGTTTTTTCAAGATAGTGTTTTTATTTTTCGATTTATATTTTTTCATACAACTCCTTGTCCTTTTTCTGAAATAAAGACAACATTCACTAGAATTATATATCCACAAATCGTTGCGAAATCTTGCGTGCATTATCATACGAGCTATACTTATGTACAGAAATTAGCGCAACCGCTTTTACGTGCTAAAATAAATTTATGAACTCCGAATGGAGGATTAAATAGTCTGCATCATCTAAATTGGACCAATCTTCGTTTCAAGACCTTTGCTTATTGCTCTTAAATTTGCAGTTTTTCGATGTAAAAGTTGAGAAAATCTCTGTATATAGTAGCATTTTTCCTGCTGTTCTTTCTAAACGTGACCATTCTACGCAAAAAAAATTATTATAAGGATTTCATCGAAATTTTCCTAAAAAACAAGGCTTTTAAAGTGATTAAATCACATCTATAATAAAAAAATGCACGAAATATTAAAATTTGAAACAAAAAAATCACCGATTGGCCATTTTCCGCACCTTTTCGGAGAAAACTTCCCTGGGTTCAAAATCTTCGAAATTCTTTTTTGATCAGAACTTGAAAGGAAACACTTAAGAAAAACTCTGCATCTTTCAGTATCCTCAATTTTTGATTTATTTCACGCAGTTTTTCAATTTTTCTCTACCCAGTTCGAACCACTGCAAAGAACAAACAAAAAAGCTCCTTTTCAAATTTTTTTTTCCCGACTTTCCAGCCTCTTTTGAACTCAATTTCCTCCTCAAACCTCATCAAATGACTCGACGCGAAGAACTGTTCCTCGTATTTTCGGATCTCATCGATCGAATCGCTACTATTTCCGCGGCCAGTGACCACTCCAAAGTATCCCAAAGCCTTCATCGGGAACAATTTTCCTTCCAAAATCTTTTTGATTCTGTCAGGGTTGGCGAGGTTCTTCTCAGCCATGTCGACCTGAATCAAACTATTGAAAAATTCTTTAGAAACTCTCAAAAAGTAGAAAAATAGTCACTCTTGGAACTTTTTCAGAAAAATTCGACAAAGCTGTCAGCAACACAAAAAGATTGAAAGTTATCAAAATGGAACTCCCAATCAAATTTATAGATAGCAAGCTAATTTTGATTATATTATTCAATTTTCGGCCATTACTTTTTGTAGGATCATCCTCTGAAGACTTCCAAACCTTGGTCAAAACAAGGATCGTCCTCTTTCCACTCGGATCGATGCTGCTCACCAAATCCGTCACATTGCTTCGTTCAGCGTCGACGGACCTAAACTCAGAAATCCTCCTTTCTATTTCTACTTTCCTTTCAAACCCATCCTGAATGCACAAAATGATCGCATTCGGGTTCTCCATGTGGGCTTTGCTCATCCGGATGATGTCATCCTTCGTTTCCATGGCCATATCGGCCGTCACCGTCGAAATGACGCCGGGAAGGTCGACCAGGACCATTCGCGGGAGGCTCGGACCTTGAAAATCAATGATTTCGCTTTTTTTAAAGTTAAAATCAACGTTTTTGCAAAATTATTCAGATTTTTTTCAAGCTACATCGGTAATTTTGCTCGTGACGGCTTCTTAAAAGCGGTGCTCATTTTTTTTGCTGAAGCTATGTCCCTTTAATTTCATCTCATTTCCTATATATCCTATTAAAAATGAACAAACCATATTTGACTTATCCGTTTTTTTGACAAAAAAATACAAAAAAATTTCCACCGAAAAAGAAAAAGTCAGAAAAAAATTTACTATTTCGATTTTTTTGAAAAAAATTTCCCAAAAAGAAAAAAACTTCTGAGATGAATATTTTTTTAACCTATGACCTATACTGTCGAAAAATAGAAAACGACCCTTTTTGGGCTTCTAAAAGTTCAAATAATACAAGGAAAAACAGAAACTTCTGCATTTTTTTGGAAAAAGTTTCGAACAAAAAGCTTTATGAGCGTTAGTTTTTTTATGTTTCACTTTTTAACTTCTTATAAATTAACAAAAAAATCTAATCTTTCCTGCTCACACAGTTTTTTTAATAAGAAAAAAATTAATCGATTAGCTTCTCATCGATAATAAAAAAAAAAACTTAGACCATTAAAAAAATAATAAATAGATGATGGAACCACAAACTAATATATAAAAAAAATTAAAAAAATCTTTTGATATCCGAAAAAGAAAAATCTAAAATTTGAGCTCCTAATTTATAAATCCAAAATTTAGAAACTTTTTTTCAAAAAAAATACTTACCCGCATTTATTACATAAATAAATAAAAGGCACATCAAACTAAACTCAAGGGAAGGTTTTCTCTAAAAAACGCACCAAGAAGCTTCAGAAGTCATAGTTATAGCAAATAATAGACAGCGAGAAAAAAAGCGATGAATTTCCAATTGAAAGTACTCGAAAATTCGCAAAGAATCGTCGATCACGAGATAACCCTTTTCCGTCCTTTTTTTACACACTTCAGAGGGTTCAATGATCAGCCGGCAGTCTTCAGCCAAATACGGGCAGACCTTTTCTTTTTGATTTCACAGAAATCTTCGGAAGCTTTCAATTGATAGAATTATTCTAACTTTCCAAAACAAACATTCAAAATAAAAATGCAGATTCTTGGTCAAATTTTTGGAATGAGAAGCATAACAACAACAAAAAAGCAATTGTTCGAGAAAAATACTCAAAATTCGTTCCAATCTCAAATTTGCGGATTTTTGAAGTTCAACTCGCAGTGAAAGATGCAAAAGTAGATTCCGTCAAGGATACTGAAAACTCAGTCTACTTATAATAATCGAAATTTTGAAAGTTTTCTATGGTTTTTAAGAAAAATTAACTAATTAAATAATGCAATGAAGAGTTTCAAAATAAGGTTGAAATTAAAATTAAAAAAACCTCTTTCGAGCGAGTAGGTGATTCAAATTCCGGTTTTTTTCTCTAATGCTTGTAAGTTGTAAAAAGAGGAGCTTTTTCAAGTTTTTTCATTTTTCACGTTGATTTTTACACCTCATCTTTCTCAGTTAAAAAAATTTCTAGGTTTTTTTATCATAGTTTTTTTTTTGATTCTCTTTTTGAAAAACCCTTCGATTTCTAGCAATCCCCCTCTTTTTAAGGCCTTTAAGAGATCTTATTTTTCATAAAATTCGGTACCTTTGACAGTCAGGGCGATGACGTCATAGGAGACGGTTTTGCCGCCGCGGACCGAATTCCGCATGCGGACTTCGATCTCAGAGCGGAGCTGCTGGAGGTCCTGCTCCTTGTTCAAATCGAACTCCCGCGACGAATCTTTGAACTGCGCCACGTGGTACGGTCCTTCAGACAGTGTCACCTGGAAATTATTTCTCGTGGAGGGAAATGAAAATTAATGTAACAAAACGTTTATTTTTGAAAGCGGAAGCCGAACAACCAGCTCCAATAATTGATCGGTAATTAAAGAGCACAATTTCTCATTCGAAAAAAAAGAGGGTCGAGGAAGGCTTGAATGGAAATAATATTAACGAAACGCCCTTTTTTTTCCAATCCAGCCTAAACCCAAATGGCGCAGAACAAGTCTGCGCCTAATGAATGAATTGAACTACCTTAACAGGAGCTCGGGTCATCATTTCGCCGGATCCACGCGGGAAAATCCTCGCCTGAGCCACCATTTCGAGAACCGAGGTCTTGCCTACAAAATAAATCATATTGAGGCTACAATCATTCTTTTCCGGAGGCTGGAAATGAATCAGACAGTTCAAACAGCGAACATTTTCAGAAAGTTAGCCAGATATTTGTTTTGTGAAGATATTGAAAGGGTTGAAAAGATCCAAAAAGATAATTTTATTCTGAGGTCCTCGAGACAACTAACGGAACATAAAAAAGCCCATTTTTTGCCTAAAAATGGTTCAAATTGAGGCTAAAATTAATTTTTTTCAAAACCTGACAAGAAATTAAAAAAACTCTCAGGAAGCTGATTGAAGCGAAATCTATTTTTGGATCGAAAAAAAGTCCTTGAAAAAAATCCTTAAAAAAATAGTTTCTTCTTCATCATGACTGCTTACAAAACAAAAAAACAGAAGATTTTTATTGAAAATTACTCAAATTGAAGCTAAAATTAATCTTTTTTTCAAAACCTGACAAGGAATCGAAAAAAATATCAGAAAGATAACCAAAACTAAATTAATATATTTATGGAGAAGATATTATAAAAAAGGAGCTTAAAAATAATCTAAAATTATTGAGTTCTTGAAATTCTCCAAAAACGCTTACAAAACAAAAAAATCCGATGCTTTTGCCTACAAAACAAAAAAATGTCTCTAATTGAAGCTAAAATTACTCATTTTTCAAACACGGCAATGAATCTGATAGTTTATAGAGAAAAAAACCTAACCAAATAGAATATTTTTTTGAAAGATATATTACAATAAAACCTCAGGATGTCCATTAAAATCTTCTTAGTTGATGTTTCAAGACCACTTACAATATAAAAGACGATATTCCGGCTACAAAATAAATCAAATTGAAGCTACAAATTTTTTCTCTCCAAACCTGCACTCTGGTCTCCGACGACTACAACGCGAGGCAAATTGTCCGCCGTATTATACGAAGAATCGTACTCGTTGAGGAGATCCAACACCTCGCTGTACATGTCGATCAGGGACCTCTGAGATAAATGATTGTTTTTCGAGCAACCAATTTTTGAAACTTGTGAGAAAAACTGCTTCTTTTCCAAAAAAATTAATTCTGGAGGCTTCCTAAATCACGAACAAAGTCCAAAAAGTCTCAAAGGCGCCTTTTTTTCTACCTTTTTCTTGAAGGACCTTTTAAGGAGGAAAAAAAAGGAGGAGAAAGAAGATGAAAAGAAGGGGATTCCGAGAAACTTTCGGCATTTTCTTTGATCTCAAAAAGGAGCTTCCGACTCTTTTTTAAGGGATTTTTGAGGCTGTTCAGACTTTTCCTGTGATAGATCTCTCCAAAAATAAATTTATGTTAAAACTGTTCCTTTTTAATGATGAAAATCAGATTTTTATAATTAAATTTTTTTGAATCAAAAAAACAACTACAACTATTTCAATTGCACAAGAGGATTCGAATAAAAAAAAAACAAGAAAAAATTCGCTTTCTGGTGTTTTGAATAAGTTTTGAGTTTCACTCGCTGAATATTTGAAAAAACATAACTAATAACAATTAATCCAAAACGATGAAACACGAAAAAAATAAATTTTTTTAACTTGGATTTTTTTCGAACAGAAAAAAAGGTATTGAAAAATCCTTGAAGGACAGAAAAAAATTGGCGAATTCGCCACCTCAAACGGCAATCCTTCTATTAACTTCTTCAAAATCCCTGAATCAACTGAAGTTTTTTTGATATATTTTTTTAAAAAAATTTCAAAAAGAGCATTTCCCACAAAAATCTCTGACATCTTTAAACATTTTTCTAAAAAAATTCCCTGAACAAGATTTAAGCTCAGCCAATCGCGAATCATCACTGAACAGTTCCAGAAAACTCTTTGTGAGATATTTTGGAAGATTGTACAGCTCAAAGCTTCTCGATTTCTTCATAGCTTCAGAGAAATGGCAAATTTTTCGACGAGGGATTGAACCAAAGACACTTTTAACGAGAACAGCGCGCTTAGGCACTTGACCAATGAGGTGAGTAAGATCAGAGGGCCCAAATGAGGTGTGAAGACCTCGGACTTTGCTCATATGGTCAAAAAATAGTAATCAAGAAGATTTTTAAACAAAAAAGAATCGAAAAGAAGGTTTCCCGATTTACATGAATGTTTATTTCGCTCACAGACAGATCTGTGGCGTGGAGGAAGAGAACCATGAAAGTTATATTTGCCTCCACTTCGATAAAGTTCCATTTTAATCTAAAAAAATATTTTTAGGTCGAAATCGAAGAGAATCAAAAAAAGAAAAAGCAATCTATAAACGAGTTGAATCATTTTTGCGAAATTTGCAGCTTCCTTTATCAAAAAAACCAATTTTTTTCATACAACTTTTTAAATCTTCTTTGGTCATCCTCAAAAACCATAACTCTGTTTAAGCCGTTCCAGTATTTATACACGCGTTGCGTAATAAAGTTATAGTGAACATGATGGATTGGTGGGGGTTCGAGTTTTAAGGCCGTTGCCTCTCAGTTGGTTTCGTCTATTTGATATCGTTTGTAATTTGAATGGAGATGGACACCAATAATAGCCATATATGAACTGATGTGTAATTATGATATCTTTTTCGCAGACGCCTTGTCCATAGAGTGTCTAGAGAAAGGGATTTTTAGTCTTACAGCATAGGTTTCTTTTTGGGAGAAGCCGTTTGGTGAATTTTTCTTTGAACCGATTCTAGCCTGTTTATGTCAGATTGGGTTAGTGGAGAGAATAGCTCTGATCCATACTCTAAAATTGGTAGAATTTTTGGCTTTATAACAGTTCATAAAGTTTTTTTAACGGAAAAAAAGTGAAGCAACGGAAAAAGATTATTGATTATACGAATGCTTTTTTTGACTATTATGTCGATATGATGATGCATTTTTCAGATCGGAACTGAAATTAACTCCTAAATCTCTAATCACCTCTTGTTTGGGGATGGATTCCTCTCCTATTCTATAGTCGTTCCAGATTCCCCTTCTTTTACCATACCGCACATAGACGCTTTTTAGAGCTAGAAATAGATAGTTGCCTTTCTAAAAAGCCAGTATCTTATTGAGTTAATATCTGATTGCAGCTTGAGGTTGTAATTATCAGTTTCTGAGCTTATGAATAATTTTTACGTCATCTGCATAAATGAGCATTTTGCTATGTTTTTACGACACTAGTTATATCATTTATGTATATCAAGAAAAAAACAACGGTCCTAAGCAGCTTCCTTGTGGAACCCCAGACAACACCTCGGTTTCGTTGGATACCTCATCATTGAGGCGGACAAATTGAGTTCTATTGGTTAAGTACTGTGAAAACCATTTGTGTAAGCGACCTACACACCCATAAGCTTTAAACATTTTAATGAGCCTACATATGATTTTACATGGTGGATATTTTTTCTACGAATTTTTTTTTAGAATTCAAATTTTGTAATAAGATACCTTCAACCGTTTCAATCTTCTCACGGCTCCTTGATCCGACAGCAAGAGTCGCTGTTTCAGGACTTTATTTTCCTTTTCCAGACGTTCCAGCTCGCGTTGGTATTGACTCTGAAATTGGAATTTCAAAAAGATTCATATGAAAATCGAATTTAAAATATTTGAATGTTGGCTGAAAAGCTGCCAACACGTTCACATTTTCAGCTAAAAATTTTTTTTCCATAACTTTCTCCTTGTAATCAAGTTATTGCCGAGTTCAAAGTGATTCCGTGAAAATAAAAAATACCCATCAGAGATTGAAAAAAGATAACTAAATTTTGAAGGGTCAGAGATAATTTCGCATTTCGCCGAAATTACACGGCATAAAATCTATCAATTTTTGTAAAATACCATGATTTATGGTGGAAAAAGATTTTTCATATTTTTTTATTGGTATACTGTGAAACACTTCAGAATTCAATTTCAAAAATGTTTTTTTTTCATCAAAAATTTTCAACTTGTAAATTTTTCTTCAAGAAGAAATGGGATACTTAGAGAACAACGAAAAATTATGAGCTGAAAAAAGTTTGAAAAGTTTTCACCGTTTTCTTCAAATTCACTGCCTAGAACTTTGAAAAAAATAAAAATAAAAACAGTTACTTGAGAAAAATCTTTCAATCAAGCTAGCAAAAGAAACAAAAAATATCGCCAAACAGGTTATCACCGATTTCAGGACGGAAAATTGAAAAAAAGCTAAAAAAATACTTCTTTTTAAAGAAATAAAACAGAGATCTTTCATTATTTTTTTGTTTCTAATGATTTTAGGCTTTATTTTCTGTTTTAAACTTAAGAAATTGCTCAAAATTCATTTCACTGTCCCTCGAAAAGTGAACGATTTTTTTTTTCGGAACATTCGGGAAAGATATTTATTATTGTTTTTTTGTTGATCCAAAAAAACCTGAGTGCGGAGCATTTCCTCTTGAAGCTTTTTGATCCTCTCTTCCAATGGTTCGTCTTCTTTTTTTCTCCTCTTCCTTCTTCCCGAAAGCGGCCATGAATGAAAGTAGTACAGGTTCTGGAGAAAGTTCGAGATTTCATTTTAAAAAAATGAAGTTCACAATGCAAATATTATTCGAAAGGCACATTATCGAGAAAAAAATTTTTTTATTTTTTTATTTTTTTACTATTCGAACTTTAGAGAAGTTTAGCATGAGATCTACCTCTGAAAGTCGATTTTTGTCGAAAAAAACTCGGATAGGAACTTTTTTTGAAATGATTTTTTTAAAAAAATTCCTCCGAAAATGGAAAAACTCACATCTGAAAAAAAGAATTTTCTTCAAGAAAAAAATTCCGATTCGAAACTTTCTAAAAATTCTTTTTCATTAAAATTTTTCGACGGAAATGTCTACTTTTTCCAACTTTTTTTCTATCCCTCTAAAACCAACTTTAATAGAAAAAAATTCTAATTTAAAAAAACTTGTCAAATCGCTCTTCATTGAAAAACTTTCCAACTTTTTCCTAAAAAGTTTTTTTCTCAAACCTTTCACAGGGATCTCCGGCCCACTGCCACTTCCGCCAGATTCGTTTCCGTTTTCTTAAAAACTTCAACGATTAACTGAGATCAATTTCGAGTTTCAGAGCACCTTTATCCTTCCGGAAAGCTTCCAACTTGGCCAGCCATTCGGCCCACTTGCTCTCCCCATCTTTTGCGCCGAATCCTTCGCGAATCGCTCGGATTTTGTCGGAAACTTCGCCCCAAGCAGGACTGCTGTCGAATTTCGCCCATTCGGGCAGGGAAAGGTCCGGCAGATTCGATTTCCAGTCTTCGTACCACTGGAAATATTCGTTCGATGTTTTTTTTTTTTTTTGAGAAAAAATTGATTGTTAAAATATCTATTATTTTTCGAAGAGTTCCTTCTAGCTTCATAGGCAAAGTCGGAGAGAGTGGAAAAAGGATTCATAGAAATTTTTCCTTTTTTTGCTGCCTTTTTTTCTGGCATGTCAACAGGTTCTATGGCTCTTAGAAAACACTGCGATATCAAACGAAAACCAAACCTATAAGAAACAGCTGAAACGGGAATATTATTTTTTTAAACGAATTTTTTTCTCCGATTGAAAAAAACTTCAGTCCTCACGTCTTTCTGAGAATATACTCCAAGAAAAAAGTGAATTTTAATTTTTTCCTCTTGAAAATTGAGAAGGGTTCCAAGGTTACTCAACCAGTAATGAAAGCGAACTGAAATTTTTTTTTCACTTTCCCGGTAAAACTGTAAAAGTTTCTTACTAGGGAACTTTTTTATCCAGTTGAACTTTCGATGAAACTTCTCTGAAGTGTACTTTAAGACCCCCTGATTGCAGACCAAAAAAAAAAATTTCTTGATCTCGTTCGAATGAGAACGCTTCAAAATCTTGAAATAGCGCTTTTTTTGTCCGTTTGCGTATTTTGCGCACTTTGAAGCTTCATAACTCGAAAACGAGATCTATTGCGTGAAAAAATTTTCTTGTTCTGCAATCCGGAGGTCCTAAAGTAAACTTTTTGTGTTTCCAAAAGTGTTTCCACACTACATCCACTGAAAGTTATAATAAATTGCAATTCATTCGGTGGTATGAAAAAAACACTAGCGAAAATTCAAACGGCGACTTTTCCGATTTTTTCATTTCGCTAGGGAACTTTCCGACGGCCACCTTTCCGACGAAACTTTTTCCGACTTTTTCCCCTTATGTTTTTCAGTTTATAACACATCTATTAACTTTTCTTTTCCCTATTTTTTTGCGTTTTAATCATGAATAACTTTTTCTACTTTATATAGGAAGATTTAAAACGAAGCGTTTATCGAGAAAAAAAGTCGGAAAAAGATTAGTCGGAAAAGGTGGCCGTCGGAAAGTTCCGTAGCGATATCAAAAAAATCGGAAAAGTCGCCTTTTGAATTTTTCGCTGGTCTTTTTCATACCACCCCTTTTTTGTCCCAATTTGCGTATTTTGCGCACTTTGAAGCTTCATAACTCAAAAAATTTTTTTATTTTGCAATCAAGAGGTCCTAAATTACCCTTCAGCGAAGTTTCCACACTACCTCCTGAAGTTGGAACTTTATTGAAATTCATATACTCGAGACTAAAGTTCATTTTTTTCATTTAATTTTCAAAAATTAGGTAAGCCTTCTGTGATTTTTGAGTTCTGTACTTGCCAACTTATGATAACGATAGAATTTATGGTAAGCATGGACAATTACGAAGATATCGAGAAATTTCAAACCGTTCTAGCTGCGACACTGCCTCCAATGACGCCGGTCGCCACGAAGTACCGGAGTTTCAACAAATGCCTGGCGATATTCCCAACGACTCCGATGAATGCCCGTTCACTTTGAAGATTTACAGTCATCGGCCTTCGGAGAAGCCTGAAAACTCTGTTTTCAAAAAGAGCGTTTTTAATTGCCATGAAACAGCTATAATTGCTGCTGGGAGGGTTAGGGAAAGGGTGTAATTGATAATTGTCTCTCAATTATTTCGAGTAGAAGATAAAAAAAAATTAGATTAACTTTCATATTCGGATTTCATTCGAACTGAATCTCTTTCTCATCAAAAAAAATTCCAAAAAACGTGATCCGAAATCAAATTTCGTGCTAATTGGGATGCCTTAAAACAGCTCATTTCGTTTTAGAATTTAAAAAAATTTTTTTCGATTGTAACGTTTTTCTCAAATTTTGAAGCTTCAAGTTTTGCTTCTAATAAAATTATAAGTTCTACAGAAACCAATAACGGCTTTTTTTATTTATTTTTAAAAAGTCTTCTTTTCGAATGAAACAGTACAGAACAACTAAAATACTGCCGAAAGGTCGGATTGAAAATTTTGAATTCAAAAAATGAAAATGAAAAGAGCTCAAAAAAGAACAAAAACATGATTATCTATTCTTCAGTCGTCCCAAAACAGTAAAAAACTGTTTTTAAGCGTTTTTTATGTTTATATTTTTTTTATTAAACGAAAATTTTTTCGCAAAATTTCGATTTTCTCTGTGAAAAAATTTCATAAACGGAGTACACTTAAGCTTTCTTCTCTCAAGGGTTTGTTTTTTTCTGAATATTACAGTATGAAATCTTTAAAAAAAAGCCAGGGAAGACCTTGAAGAAATTCGAAAACTGAAAACGATTGGAAAATAAGAAACTATAAACTTAATTAACATGTTGGATTAAGTTAAAATGCAATTTTTCCAGCAGAGACTAAAAAAAAAATCCATTTTTACTTGCTAAGAATCTTTTTCGAGGTAAAAAGCTTAACACGCTGTCTCCGTTATTCTCAAAAATTTCTAAAAGCAACGGGTACAATAAAAAAAATATTTTTTGATTTCGACAAAACTTCATCCAGTGTGATAACCCATCATCAGAAATGCGGACCCAACTTTTTGAGCCATTTCCTCTTACTGTAGCCGGGTTACGGTAGGCAGGTGGGCACCTGCGTATCTCAGTATTTATGAGTTTTTTTATTAGGCAAGTGATATATCAATCGATAGGTAATTCAATTTTTAGAAACTTTTTACAGTACATACCATCATGGGTTACGGTGGGAAAATTTTTGAGTTACGGTACTTTTTTTGTGTCCGCCGAGTCAGTTTTTTTCGACCACCATGAGCTTGAGCCAGGAGATCCATTCTTCCTAACTTCTCAAAAGATACCTTATGAGAAGCTGTACAAGCTGTTACTAGTTTGAAAAAATCCTAGGTGGACCATCATTTCGAAAAATCGCCTCGAAGGCGCGCAATCGTGGTCTTGCGGCGGCCAAGTGGGTGAAGTCCACGATGCCTGACCATACGTGGGCTAACAGGCTGTTTTTCACTTTCGGGCCCCCCTATTCATTCAGATGGCTTTCTAAGCCGCGGAAAATGTATCCATATTATTTATCGAGCTTTTTGAAGTACATTTAGTAGGAAATTCGTTGCCTATATTTTTGCCTAGCTCCGAACGGTAGAAAAAATCGAGAGGAATCGTAGAAATAGCCTTATAAAAAATTCCAGAGCTGATTAATCGACCTGGATTCTAGTTTAAATGGTACCAATGGATGATATATACATGCTCAACAAATTTTAAGCCGTTTGGAAAATTGAAAAAAATAATCAACTTCTGACCCCATAAGAAAATGATTTCTGGAAATCTACAATTTTTTGGCTCAAAATCATTATCAACCTTGAGTTAACCCTGAATAAGGTATATGCTCCAAGTTTCCAGGCTTCCGGACGTTTTTTGACCAAGTTACAGTGTTTCAAAGCGTTATCACTTGACGGTTTGCGTACCCCCCCGTACTCCCCCAAAATCCGAAAATCGATCTGTTTTCAATGTTATCCTACTTTATGAAGTGAGTTTTATGATCTGGCCAAGTTTCAAGCCGCTTGGATGAGTTTTAAGAAAAATAATTTTTCGGGTCACCGGAAATTGATGTTTTGAAATTTTGAATTTTTTGGCTCAAAATCATTATCAACCTTGAGTTAACCCTGAATAAGGTATATGCTCCAAGTTTCCAGGCTTCCGGACGTTTTTTGACCAAGTTACAGTGTTTCAAAGCGTTATCACTTGACGGTTTGCGTACCCCCCCGTACTCCCCCAAAATCCGAAAATCGATCTGTTTTCAATGTTATCCTACTTTATGAAGTGAGTTTTATGATCTGGCCAAGTTTCAGGCCGTTGGGATGAGTTTTAAGAAAAATAATTTTTCGGGTCACCGGAAATTGATGTTTTGAAATTTTGAATTTTTTGGCTCAAAATCATTATCAACCTTGAGTTAACCCTGAATAAGGTATATGCTCCAAGTTTCCAGGCTTCCGGACGTTTTTTGACCAAGTTACAGTGTTTCAAAGCGTTATCACTTGACGGTTTGCGTACCCCCCCGTACTCCCCCAAAATCCGAAAATCGATCTGTTTTCAATGTTATCCTACTTTATGAAGTGAGTTTTATGATCTGGCCAAGTTTCAAGCCGCTTGGATGAGTTTTAAGAAAAATAATTTTTCGGGTCACCGGAAATTGATGTTTTGAAATTTTGAATTTTTTGGTTTATTATTGTGGCGTGCGCGGCAAGGCGACACTATTTCGCTCAACTTTTTCAACACTCCTCATGAGCATGTCTTTCGAAGACTCTACTGGAGTGAACATGGAATCTCCGTTAACGGGACGCCTCTCACACATCTCCGGTTTGCTGACGACATCGTTTTGTTCGCTTCAAGTTGGAAGAAATTAGAAGAAATGGCAAACCAACTAGCCACTGAGAGCAAGAAATCCGGCTTGATCATCATCTTCTCGAAAACGTATATTATGCCCAATCGAACAAAGAGAAAAGTGGAAATTGACGGGAAAAAATTTTATATGTTGACCAGTTCACATATCTCGGAACTCATCTTCATTACGCAGAAGTTTTCAAAACGAAAATACTCCGCAGAATAAAATCTGCATGATCAGTTTTTCACGTTCTCTATATATTTGACGAAGAAAACAATACCTCTCAAGAACAAAGTCAAAATATACCAAGCTTGTATAGAACCTGCGCTCTTATACGGATCAGAAGTCTGGACAAAAAAAAACGTTCCCTGGTAAGAACAAGTCCCGCTTAAATGACCTGAAACACTGTAACTTGGTCAAAAAACGTCCGGAAGCCTGGAAACTTGGAGCATATACCTTATTTAGGGTTAACTCAAGGTTGATAATGATTTTGAGCCAAAAAATTCAAAAATTCAAAACATCAATTTCCGGTGACCCGAAAAATTATTTTTCTTAAAACTCATCCAAGCGGCTTGAAACTTGGCCAGATCATAAAACTCACTTCATAAAGTAGGATAACATTGAAAACAAATCGATTTTCGGATTTTGGGGGAGTACGGGGGGGTACGCAAACCGTCAAGTGATAACGCTTTGAAACACTGTAACTTGGTCAAAAAACGTCCGGAAGCCTGGAAACTTGGAGCATATACCTTATTTAGAGTTAACTCAAGATTAATATTGATTTTTGAGCCAAAAAAATTCAAAAATTTCAAAATATCCCTTCCCGGTGGTCCAAAAAAATCTATTTTTCCTTAAAACTCATCCCAACGGCCTGAAACTTGGCCAGATCATAAAACTCATTTTATAATGTGGAATAACATTGAAAACAGATTGATTCTCGGATTTTGAGGGTCTACGCAAAAAGTTGAAATATTTCTGTTTTGGAGTATTGACACCTAGCTGAATATACTTCCAAAAAGCCTGCGAAACAAGATAATAGTTTCATTCAATTTTTTTATATTAACTTTAATAATCATTTCACATTGATAGTTTTTCCGCGGGGGGTACGTAGTTTTTTTCGAGGGGAGTACGTACTTTTTTTCAAAGGGGGTACGTGATGACGTCACAAAAAGTAGTTGGTTAGCCCATGTATGTGCCTGACGGCTCATTCTTCAGAGATCCATTCCAATCTTTGTTTCCATTTTACTAATAGACATCTATTATTGATTTTTTTATTTCAATTTGAGATGTTTTCGGGTTGACCATCATCTCGAAATTTCATTTTGAACCCAAATTTGGCCTAAAATGGCCGACTCGGCCTTTTTCACGGGATCCCTGACCCCGTATGTGACCGTTCTCAACTTTTTTCTTTCTTAAACATGAACAAGAGTGTCTGAACAACAGTTTTATAACAATCGGAACCCCTTTTTGAGAGGACCATCATCTCGAAATTTCATTTTGAACCCAAATTTGGCCTAAAATGGCCGACTCGGCCTTTTTCACGGGATCCCTGACCCCGTATGTGACCGTTCTCAACTTTTTTCTTTCTTAAACATGAACAAGAGTGTCTGAACAACAGTTTTATAACAATCGGAACCCCTTTTGAGAGGACCATCATCTCGAAATTTCATTTTGAACCCAAATTTGGCCTAAAATGGCCGACTCGGCCTTTTTCACGGGATCCCTGACCCCGTACAGTACCGCTCAAAAGTCTATTAACTTTTGGTTATTTGGGGATATCTCAGCGAGTACTTATCCGATTTATATATAACTTTCAGGGATAATGTAAAAATATACTTTGAAACATATACGGTACACAAAGACATGTCCGCAATGACTGTGACGCGTTTTAGGCATTTTTTTATTGAATTCCATTTTTTTGTTTTTTTATGCTTTTTATTTTTTTATTTATTTTTTTATTAAATTTTTTTAAAATTAATAATGTTGCCATATGATTTTTTTCATGTTTTCAGACATGGGAAGAATCTCTGGAAAAAAGGATTTGACTGATAACGACAAAAGAGCCATCGTTGTGGGTCGTCAAAATGGACTGACCATGATGACGTTGGCAGGAATGTTCGGCGTGACAAAGGCGGGCATTTCTCAGTTCCTAAAGCGTCAGAAAGCTCAAGATGGCTCTACTAACAGCCAACGCACTGGAAGACCACGTGTCACTGATCGTAATGACGATAGGAACATTTTTGAAGACGTCTAGAACCAATCCAAGACTCACCGCCCCTGCGATCAGACGGGAAGTTTTTCTTGAATTCGCCATCTCCGCCATCCGTCTCGACCGTGAAACGACGTCTGAATGCTGCTGGAATCATGGGAAGACGTCCAGTGAAGAAACCGCTGATTTCTGAAAAGAATCGAGCCGCCAGGGTGAAGTGGGCGAAGGAGCATCTCAACTGGACCCGTCAAGACTGGAACAAGATTCTGTCGTCCGACGAAATCAAGTTCCTCCTCTTCGGAAGTGACGGAATTCAATGAGTTCGTAGACCAATTGGGTCCAGATATCATCCGAAATACCAATTACCCTTTGTGAAACATGGTGGAGGACCGTTTCGTCGAATCACAGAATCTTGTTCCAGTCTTGACGGGTCCAGTTGAGATGCTCCTTCGCCCACTTCACCCTGGCGACTCGATTCTTTTCAGAAATCAGCGGTTTCTTCACTGGACGTCTTCCCATGATTCCAGCAGCATTCAGACGTCGTTTCACGGTCGAGACGGATGGCGGAGATGGCGAATTCAAGAAAACTTCCCGTCTGATCGCAGGGGCGGTGAGTCTTGGATTGGTTCTAGACGTCTTCAAAATGTTCCTATCGTCATTACGATCAGTGACACGTGGTCTTCCAGTGCGTTGGCTGTTAGTAGAGCCATCTTGAGCTTTCTGACGCTTTAGGAACTGAGAAATGCCCGCCTTTGTCACGCCGAACATTCCTGCCAACGTCATCATGGTCAGTCCATTTTGACGACCCACAACGATGGCTCTTTTGTCGTTATCAGTCAAATCCTTTTTTCCAGAGATTCTTCCCATGTCTGAAAAACATGAAAAAAACATATGGCAACATTATTACTTCTAAAAAAATTTAATAAAAAAATAAATAAAAAAATAAAAGCATAAAAAAAAAAAAAAATGGAATTCAATAAAAAATGCCTAAAACGCGTCACAGTCATTGCGGACATGTCTTTGTATACCGTATATTTTTCAAAGTATATTTTACATTATCCCTGAAAGTTATATATAAATCGGATGAGTACTCGCTGAGATATCCTCAAAAAACCAAAAGTTAATAACTTTTGAGCGGTACTGTATGTGACCGTTCTCAACTTTTTTCTTTCTTAAACATGAACAAGAGTGTCTGAACAACATTTTTATAACAATCGGAACCCCTTTTGAGAGGACCATCATCTCGAAATCGGTCACATACGGGGTCAGGGATCCCGTGAAAAAAGCCGAGTCGGCCATTTTAGGCCAAATTTGGGTTCAAAATGAGATTTCGAGATGATAGTCCTCTCAAAAGGGGTTCCGATTGTTATAAAACTGTTGTTCAGACACTCTTGTTCATGTTTAAGAAAGAAAAAAGTTGAGAACGGTCACATACGGGGTCAGGGATCCCGTGAAAAAGGCCGAGTCGGCCATTTTAGGCCAAATTTGGGTTCAAAATGAAATTTCGAGATGATGGTCAACCCGAAAACATCTCAAATTGAAATAAAAATCAATAATAGATATCTATTAGTAAAATGGAAACAAAGATTGGAATGGATCTCTGAAGAATGAGCCGTCAGGCATCGTGGACTTCACCCACTTGGCCGCCGCAAGACCACGATTGCGCGCCTTCGAGGCGATTTTTCGAAATGATGGTCCACCTAGGATTTTTTCAAACTAGTAACAGCTTGTACAGCTTCTCATAAGGTATCTTTTGAGAAGTTAAGAAGAATGGATCTCCCGGCTCAAGCTCATGGTGGTCGAAAAACTGACTCGGCGGACACAAAAAGTACCGTAACTCAAAATTTTCCCACCGTAACCCATGATTGTATGTACTGTAAAAAGTTTCTAAAAATTGAATTACCTATCGATTGATATATCACTTGCCTAATAAAAAAACTCATAAATACTGAGATACGCAGGTGCCCACCTGCCTACCGTAACCCGGCTACAGTAAGAGGAAATGGCTCAAAAAGTTGGGTCCGCATTTCTGATGATGTGTTATCACACTGGATGAAGTTTTGTCGAAATCAAAAAATATTTTTTTTTATTGTACCCGTTGTTTTTGAGAATAACGGAGACAGCGTGTTAAAAAGCAAAAAATCGCATTTGCGTAATTTTCAGACATTGATGCTTCATAATTCGAAAAACGATCTAATGTGAAAAATCTTCTGTGTTTTGGAATCAGGAGGTCTTAAAATATACTTCAGGAAAGTTCCATCAAAAGTTCAACCAGGGAATAAAAACTTTCTTTAGTAAGCAAATTTTTCCAAAACTCACACAGACTTCTTCATGGCGTACTTCGAGGAAAAACATCTCTCATTTTGATGAGACCAAATGGGAGCGGCGGCAGAAGTGGCGCGGATCGCCTCGAGACCATTTAGCCGTTTGTTGAGGCTCGAGAGACGATAAAACCGAAAACGCATCATTCTCAGCATTCGCATATTATTCCATCACCTGTAAAACTCTTTATTAGTCTCTTTTTCACGAACAAAAACACAGGAAAAACGAGAAACACAACCAAGCGAAAGATACTGTGGCACCCTTTAAAAGTGATATTCATATGATACAAAGAAAAACGAAAGAAGAGGTAAAACTATCACAAATCGACCGAGATCGGGAGCAGTGCTGTTAGAAGATTTTTTGGTGGAATTTTTGGGACATAATATTTAAAAAAAAAACAAAAAACTGGCGAAGATCAAGATTATATGAAAGGTTATAAAATTAATATTTGAAAAAAATTAAAAGATTTTTTTCTGTGATATAGAAGCTTTAAAAACATTTTTTGGGTTTCTAAAGGTCCAATAAACCCCTCAAAAAGACTCTTCGCGTTCAAATAAACGTATAAATCGATTTTCTAAAACGGCACAAAAAGTTTCTTTTTAATCAAAAAATTTTTTTCATTGGAAGAAATCAAAAAATTAACGTCCCAATACTTCGCTAAAGCCATAATCAGAAGAAAACGGTAAAATAAAAAAAAAGTCAAAATTACAGAAAAAACCCCATGAATTACTCAGTTTTGAACTTTTTCTTGTAATAAATAGGAACAAGCGATAAAACGGCAAAGAATGAGATCAAAAGTATCGAGTTCCAGCTCCAAGCGACGTTCGTATGGGTCATCTGCTCCAAGGTGGAGCCGGCTTGGATGTAGAGGAAGCTCGGAGGAGCGACGCCGAGGAAAGTGCCCCAGAAGAAGGGAGACAGAGGGACGTCGAGAACCGGGCTGGCGATGTTGATGAGCCAATTCGGGACGATCGGCGTGACCCGGAGGAAGATCATGTAGTTGAGGAAGTCGTCACGGTGTTTCGAGACGTCCTCCTGCCATTTGGCGACTCTTTCCGGGAAGCGGCGCATCACGATGGAGCGTCCGAAGAGATGAGACAGCATGTAGCAGACGACGGCTCCGAAGGCGGAGCAGGAGCACACCAGCAGAATCGCGATGGGGAACGGGAACAGGTATCCCGAGAGGATCGTCAAGAAAATCGAGCCGGGAATGGCGAAGGACTGGAGCGTGATGTAGACGACGATCACCCCGATGAGCACCACGGCAACGTTGTCTTCCTTGTACTTGGAGAGCACGCGGCCGAGGTTCTTGGCATCGTCCAGACTTCTCGGATACTTCATGTACAGCTTGTCTTCGTCGGACATCTCCGGGAAATTCAAATAGATGCCGAAGAGAACGGTGAGAAACGCGCCGAAGATGGCCACAAGAACCCATGGCCTGTTCCCGTCGGCCGATGCTGTTTTTGGCATTTCTGGAAGAAAATAGAAAATTTTCTCGACTCATAAAAGAGTAAAGTTATTTTACAAAATTGAATAACATGCGGAAAAATCTAAATTAAATTTTAAACCAAAGAAATAATTAAAATAACCGTCACAGCTCAAAGTTTGGAAGTAGGAAAACTATCAAAGAACATTTCTTCGTTCGAAGTTTTTTTCTTTCGTCTTCATATAATATAGAGTAGATATATACTTGAAATTGAAATCTGAGCGAGATTTTTATTATTTTGATGTCCCGCGAGCCAGATAATAGAAAAAAATTTAGACCCATTTTGAAAAAAATAAATATCGAATCAAAAAAAGCAAAAAAAGCTTCGAGTTTGCTAACGTTTTTGTTCAAAAAAATTTCATTTTATGAATTATATTTGCATCAACAAAACGATAAAATGTCTAGACATCAGACGTCTGACATGAAGAGTTTCAAAATTTCGCAATAACTTCAAAAATTTCGTTTTTTCAAGAGAAAGCGAATTCGAAAAATATTTCTGCTTTGTAGTGAGTTTATAAATTACTTTCAAACAAACAATAAATTACTAAATAAAATGATATAAAAAAATAAAATAAAAAAAGAATTTATGGTTGAAACTATTGAAATTCAAAATCAACTCTTCGCTACGATTCACGCCAGCTTTCAAGTGGATGCGCCTTTAACACGAGGGCTGCCGGTTTCCGCTTGCGCAACATTTTTACGACCTTACTAATTTTTTATCATTAATTTAGAACGGTTTTCACTTTTTTTCCGTTTCAGAACAACTGCCTGAACGTTTCTACTGTTTCTGGAATCCGTGCGTCACTCATCTCCAAGTTAGTTTTGTGTTATTTTTGCATCATGGGAGTATACACTGCTGTACTGCGTTTAAGAAAATTTGTTATTGGCTTCTGAATTAAAATATAAAGTTACCAGTCCAAAGTTTTTTTTAATTGTTATGAAAAATTTTGAATTAGTGATAACAAAAATTTTAAAATGAAATTTGAATAAAAATATGGGCATTCATTCGTACTTTCATATTTTTCAGAATGGAGACTAATTTCATTGGCGATGATTATGGGCCGCTGTTCAACTATTTATTTCGATTCATCGTGATCGGAGATTCAACAGTTGGAAAGTCGAGTTTATTGAAGTATTTCACGGAGGGAAAGTCCGCTGAAATCACCGATCCGACGGTCGGCGTCGATTTTTACGCTAGAATGGTGGAATTGAAGCCTGGTTACCGAGTAAAGCTGCAATTATGGGATACTGCTGGTCAAGAGAAGTTCAGGTACAGTTTTGAAAATGAATAATTGAATTTTTTAAAATTTTTCATGTAGAAATTTGGTTGCCGGTTTTTCTGTCCGTGGTTAGTTCCCTTCGATAAAGAGAAGAATTATTATTTTTCAAATACTAAGTGTTGGAATTTAAAAATAAGATGGTTTTTCAGGTCGATAACACGATCATATTACCGAAACTCCGTGGGAGTTATGGTAATATACGATATAACCAACCGGGCAAGCTTTGAACACGCCGCGAGTTGGTTGAAAGAAGCCCAGGACAACGTCGGCGGTCCCGACCCTTCGAAATGCGTTTTCACGCTTGTTGGTCATAAATCCGATTGTCCCGAAGAGCAGAGAAGGGTGAGACTTTGTTTTTAGACAGAAGTGTTGGTTTAAAAAGTTTTTTGAGGTTTTTAAAGTCACAAAAATTCTCTTCAAAATCTTTTTTTTTTTTTTTGAGAACAGCGCACTGCCTTGAAAACTTTATTAGTTTGATTTTTGCTTTCCCAAAACTTCATAAGACATTCTAGAAAAACTTCATTCAAAAAAAGTCATATGCTTTTGAATTTTCAAGCTCCATGAAAGTACGTATTAAAAAAAAACTTTAAAAATAAAGTTCAAGATTTTTTCCCAGGTAAACTATGAGGAAGGTGAATATTTCGCCAAATACCACAAGATGAAGTTCATCGAAACGTCGGCCATCACTGGTGACAACGTTTTCGACGCCTTTACTATGATGGCACAGGAGGTCGGTTTTTTTTTGAATTTATGATCTTGAAATTCAACTTTTTTTCAACTTTTAATGTTACAAAATAGGGTTTTAAAAAAAGTTAAAAAAATGGCAAAACTCAATGGGATCCAAAAAACCGCATTTTTTTAAATAATATAGGCGAGGTCTCAAATTACTTCTCGTAGTTCTAAAAGCGACTTTAAAACATTTTTTTGTTTCACTAGAATTTTAAAGTTTGATCAATCTTCGAAATCTTTGTGCTTTTTGATTTTTCTGACTTTTTCACGGTTTCTTCTCCAAATTTCTTGACAAATATTGATAATTTTGCTAGCTTACTTCGAAAAAATATGTATCACTATTCTGTAAATTGGACGGTCAGTTCTAGAAAGTTTCAAAAACGCACCCGACCCAAAACGAGTTACGCGCGTCGGCATCAGAAAAAATATTATATTTTATCCGCAACGCGACCGCAGAGATCTACTATGGCTGAAATTTATTTCCAAAAACAAGGATTTTAATTTTTTCTTGAAAGCTTGAAGTTTATTTATTTTGATCCCAAACTAATGAAACACCAATTATCACTGAAAACGGAAGATTTTCAAAAAAATGTTCGCATTTTCCAGGTGCACGCCCGGGTCAACGAAGGACATTTGAGGCCGACAGAAGGCTGGGAAGGCGTCAAAAGCGGAATAATGCGCACGCAGTCTATATGCCTTTCCGAGCAAGATTTTCAGAGTTTTAATTCATCTGGTTGTTCTTGTTAATGTCCACTAAAATTGAGAAGTTTTTGAAACATTTTCATATACCCTCCTTTCTTTTTTTTTCTGTACCGCTTGTCATTCAAAATACGGTGTGCCCACTCAAGATTCTAGTTCCCAGAAAGAGATTCAGTCCGTTCATTTGCTCATAGTTGATTCGCTTTGTCCAAAATAATATACTATATTAACATTGATACTCATATAAATCAGGTGAAATTCATTTACAACACAATATCTTTCATAATACATTTTTAGTATCTTTGTCGTGTTCAAAGTGATCCCTAGAGCATACTAAAATCCCTCAAAGGAATACTCTCAAAACCACTTTGAACACGCCATTAGAAGTCTGTGCAGATCTTGTCAAAAATCACAATCAATTGGGAGGGGCGGTACCAGTTGTGAACAAGAAGAAGAAGAGAGTTTGACTACGCGTGTGTGTGTGTGAAAATCAACGGGGGATAAAACATGGATATAACCGGGCAATTATGTCACAATAAATGGGGAAATGAAGATGACATCGTTAAAAACTGTCCATTTTGGTTTTTACATGGTTCAAAAGTAAGGATAAAGGGGTTTAGAGTAGGCTTCGGACGTCCCAGATCATCACCATCAGATTTTTTCCGCTGGTGACGATTCGGCCGAGGGTTTCTTGTATGTACATTCCGGTGACGCCGGTTCGAAGTTCGTGGGTCACGGCCAGCGGCGTCAAACTGAAAAATTTTCATTTCATCGAGCTTTTTTCTTTTTAATAATGATAATATATTTAAAAAGACGAACAAGTGATCTCTAGAGCATACTTAGGAGTACTGATAAAGTTCAAATGTTCTCAAAATCACTTGAATTGGATTATTTCGAATTTTTAAGGGCCAATCTTTTTCAAAAAAATATGAATCTTTAATTTTTCTCTCTCATGAAAATTTTTAAATTCAAAGAATAAGTCCTGCAGAAATAAGAGCTAATTTTGACTTCTGAAGAGCAAATCAATGCCATTTCTTCAAGGAAAGGAAAAATTCTTCCATCCTTTTTTTTTTTTGCAAAAGTCCTCTATGCAAATCTTGTTGCGAAACGGTAATTTTCGAATACTGCGAAAAACCAAAACGAACTCAAAGTTCTGGGGAGTGTCCTGCATTTTCTCGTGGCATGTCTTGCAGATTCGGACTTTCAGTTCGTATCCCATCGGCGGGTAGGTCGTCCAATTATTGCAGCAATTTCCGCAGACGGCGGCTCCACAAGTACGGCAGTGGTGCTGTCGGAGTCCTACGACCTGGAAATATACTGTAAACAAAAAAACGGGCCCCCATGGATTATTCAATTTTTTTTTTTCAGATTTTGAGTTTCTTCAGAAACCGATAACTAATCGCTCTTTTTTTTCGAGCTTTTGAAGCGTCATAAATTTTTTTAAAGCCCAAGGAGGATAATTATTTTAAACCAGAAGGTCAAAAGTACATTTAGGCTAAATTTTTCAAAAGTTCAACCAGGAGCTAAAAAGGGATAACTAAAGGTATATTGAAACTGAATAACTAACTTTTCTCTGCCACATGGCCGTCAGATTCCAGAAAAACGGCGAGCTACACAATTCGCAAGCGTCCGACGTCCTCCAGGCCGGCGTTTCTTTTCTAAAATTCCCATGTTTTTATTTTATATGAACTTTGAAGCTTCAATGAAAGTATATAAATCCAGACATAGGCAAAGTCGGAAAGGGTGGAAAAAGGCTCAATAGGAATTCTCCTTTTAGAATGACAAAGGCTCCTTTTTTGCTGCCTTTTTGCGCCATTTCATCGGCTCTTATGCACTATTTTTTCTGTCTTCTCTTTTTTGCACTACTTCTTGAGCCTTTAAATTGCCAGAAAAATGGAAGACTCGATAAAGGGAGCCACTTTGCTGCCTTTCTGCGGCCTTTTTTGAGCCTCTTCCTTTTAGCAGCCATTATCTACACTTCCGATTTTGCCCGAGAATGAAAAATAACTTTGAAGCTTCAATGAGAGTATTCTGAATCCAAAGGGGTACTTGAACTTGATCTATTGTGAGAAAGGACGAAAATGGTTAAAAAAAGAAACTTTTTATATCTAAAATGCTGAAAGTTGATCACTCTTCTAGCTTTTCTTGATTTTCTTGAGCTTTTCACTCTTCTTGATCACCTCCTTCTAGCCCCTGCAAAAAGTCAATGAAAATTAATTAGTTTCTCTCTCATCTTTTATCATTTTAGATTTGTTTATTTTCCTTTCCTTCAAAATAAGTTTGAAAACTTTCTTCGAATCACAAAAAAAAGTTTCCACAATACCATTTTGTATCAATTGAACCTTGGAAAACCTTTCTTTGCAATCCTCAGAAACGCTAGATTGGTCCCTATAGGGGTAAGGGGAAAAAAGCTGCACTAGGGGACAAAAAAGGCAAAATTTATGTGACTTTTTCAAGCTTTTGTGTCCCCTGTAGAGGGAGGAAAATGGGCCCCTAGAGAAGAACCTTCAAAAACCCTTATAGGAACCAATTTGGCGTTTGGATCCAATTGGAAAAGAACCTTCTACTAGCCATATCCCAGCACAGGAGCCGTCCAGAATCATCAGCCGAAAATAATCTTTTCGATCCGGGAGCCGCGCAAAGTCGCGTCACTTTTGTTTCATGGCCACTATAAATTCTTATGTCCTTATTTTTGGTGGAAAAAAAACGAACTTGAGCTCATAAGCCTCGCCTCTGGCGCCGCCGATATCCCACATAATCACGAGATTATCATGGCTTCCCGAGTACAAAACTTCCTTCACACGGTCCCAAGCCAGAGAAGCGACAGGGGCTGCAAATGATCATCATCCTGGGAGAATATTTAGTGGCCGCTTTAGGGTTTTGACGTTTTAGTGGCCACTATAGGAATCAAATTAGTGGCCACTTAAGGGGTTAAAAACTAGTGGCCACTGTAGAGATCTAAGTTCTACTACTAGACCACAAAAAATTTTAGTAGCCACTTTAGGAGTCAATGAATCAACATAACTGGTCCAATCTGTTTGTTTTAAAATTATCAGAGTTACTGGAAAGAAAACTGGATGAAAAACTACTGAAGTGGCCACTAAATAGAGAACCTCTATAGTGGCCACTAAAACGGGGAATAGTGGCCACTATAGAGTTGGGTTTAGTGGCCACTTTAGTTTCCTCTCCAAGTAGCTCTTGGCGAGCCTCTATAGTGGCCACTGAATTTTTTTCCGTCATCATTCCGTGTTTCCGTTGAAAATGATTTCTCAATAAGAATTTCGTGAGCTACTAGAAAAATAGCGTGCGACTCATACGCGCGAAACCTCAAATTTTAAAAGCGTTTAGGAACCAAAAGTTTGAATCCAAAAACAGTACCTCTAGCGCGTCATACCGTTGTAGGGCTTTCCTAACGGTTCATAAAATCCAATTTCGCGAAACCATTGAAAACGAAAAACCCGTCAATGTTGAAATCTTCAAAATTACTTTGAACGCAATATCAAAAGTAAAAAAAACATCATCCAAAAGCTTCGGCCTGAACCATTCAATGAATTTGACAAAAAAATTTAGGAAAAACTTCACATGAATTGGCAAAGAAGTAGGAATTTTTTCCTCAATGTCACGTTGAAAGCTTTAGTTTTTGGTACATTGTGTTATCAGAAAAGTTTCAAAAATTGATTATAGTCGATTCACGACTAGGTTGGGATGAAAAGAGGAGTGGCCTATCTACGATCTCCACCTTTTTTTTTATTGTGACAGGAGCAATTTTCCGATGGCCCAAACCAGTCGTAAAACCATTATATAAAAATTATGCTTTAAAAAAAAACCGAAAAGCTTATTTCTATACCTAAATGTTGATCGTCTATGAAATCGATATCTACGCAAGGTTAAAACTGAAAAAAAAAGAAAAGAAAAAATTAAAGGCTAACAGGAGCTGCTGGTGGACAAGCTCGAATATGAAGGTGAAGTCAATATTCAAAGAAAAAATTGTTTTTTTTAAGATTACGAGCAGATCAAGAAACAAAATGAATAAAATATATGAGAAATTAAAAGAAAACCTGTATGAGCACTGAGCTTGCTCACGAGCGTCGCATTGTTCCCGGAGAGCCGTAAAACGATCACATTTCCACCGTAATCGCCGACAAAAGCAAACGGTAGATCGATGATCATCGCCGTGCAGCTGTTGTCGCAGTGATAACCTCCTAACATGAACAAATTTTGATAATCCAACCATTTTAACGAGCTCACGGGCTTAGAATGACTTTAAAAAAAGAGGGAAAAAGCAGTCGGGATGTAATATAAAAGCTCATAAAATTTAAAAAATGTATCTGGAACTCCTTTCTCAAATAGACTATCATTTAAAAATTTCATGTTCCCAAAGCTGAAAAAAGCTATTTTGCCTCGAAGCCTTTATTTCCTGCATCTTAACTGATTTCTAAATTTTTTGATGCAATTTTAATAGAAGAATAATTTTCGACGATATTTTCACATATTCACTTCCCCACACCTTGTTTAGCAGCAGTCTCGGAGCAGTGCCAAAATACGGATTTGTCCTTGGAGCAACTGAAGATGAGCTCGGAGGCGAGGGCCAAAGAAAGCCCGGAAATGGGTCCTGCGTGGATCGTCCATCTTCTCCGCTCCGACATACTGTTGAAATCGTCCGCCACTGAATACTCGTAGACGTGGCCGTTTATCAAACCCACCAAGAGTCTGAATCAAATATTTTCAAAGATTTTTGCAGGAAATAACGAATCAAACCTATAGGTTTCTTCGCTGTAGAAGATGCACGTTGGCGCGACCGGCATTGTGTGGTGAATCGAAGGCCAAAACTGATCATTGTCCCTTTTCAAGTAAAGTCGGATGGAACGATCGTCACTGGCCGTCCAAACCCCGTCATCTTTCGAAAGTAAAACGACATCGTTGATCCGCGCAATGTGTCCCGTGATTTTGTGGAGAAGCACTGAAAAAATATCGATAAAATCTTCATAACTTCCTTTTCCAACCTGGCTTCGCTTCACTTCCAATACTGCTCCCTGGTGCATCAGACCGTTGGTTTATTACGGCAGACATTGCCGGGAAATAGCGGTTTCAGGAGCGCTGTTTCCTGCAAAGTAAACATTTTCAAGCCGAAATAATAAATTACGCAAAAAGAAGAAGCTGCCAGAAACATCAGATACACGCACCGATTGTTTTAAAAAACCAAAAATTACGAAATTCGAAAAAAAAAGATGAAAAAACGGTCGATTGTGCAAAAGGAAAAATTTTTTGATTTGTAATGCATGTCTTTTTGCGGATGGCGTGCTTCAGAATAAACACAACTTCACGCGCAGGATGGTTTTTTAAATAAAAATTTTTTTATGTTTCTCTGTCCTAAGACAAAGACGTCTTTGCTTTATTGTGTTAATAGCTGAAGCGTTGGCATCTAGTTCATTTGTTCGAATAAACTTACTCTTTAAAAAATTCCGCGTTTTTTTTGACCAATTTTTTTAAATTATAGCTTTTGTCTCTTTTCGTTTCCACACCAAATTTTTTTCAGTGGTAAATGACATACGATACCCGTTCCAGTCGGATTGCAGCCTCTTTGAATGAAGAAAATCTTTACACGGACATCCCTTCTTGTTCCGTGATTCTTTCACGAGAAATCAAGTTTTTTTTTTCCAAATTTGTAGTCTAAAAAATGTCTGGTTTTCAGTTATAGTAGTTCGTTGAATCGATTAAAAGTGCAGAGAGAAATCGAAGATAGACGATTGTACAATTTACGGTTGCTTCGAAACCAAAAGTACAAGTTTCGGGCGAAGGCGGCCGTTGAAGTGATCGCCATCGATAAGCAAGATAATTCATTGTTTTTGAGATATCAGTGATATTTTGGGATTTTGTTGGTTTTAGCTTGTTATGCGGTGGAATAAACGGCTGCGTCGACATTATGAATTTGTACACGATGGAGCGTTCTGTAGGCTTCAAGCCGTTCAATGAGGAACTTCCACGGCCTCTTTCCTTGTTGGTTAATATTATTTTTTCAAAATTTTCGCAAAACTTTTGATTTTTGAACAGAATATGAAAACTCCTATATTTTTTCTACAATAATTCAGTTTCAGCGATCAAAAGCACATGATAAAGTGCGCTCAATGGTGCGCCAAAGATAATCGGTTTTTCGTAACTTCCTCTTCGAACAAAAATTTATCGGTCAGTTTAAAGGCGCACTGAAAAGAAAATTATTTCAACAAGCGATTTTTCTATTTTTCTTGAAAAAATAACGGGTTTCTACAGGCGTAATTATTTTATTTTTTTTAAAGATTATTTTTGAGCATTTCAGCCTCGTTTTAAAGTTTTTAGGATACTAGTAAAGTTGTGAAATCGAACGAGTCGCTTATTTCTGAGCATTTTTTAAGCAAATATGTTTGTTTTCGAATCAGATTTTTCATTTTAAATACTCTGGCAAAGTCGGAATGGTGCATAAAGGCCGTTGTTAGGAGAAGGTTACAAAAAGGGCAGCAAATATGGTGCTTAACAGCCCATGAAATGGCCTAAAAAGGCAGCAAAAAAGGAGCTTTTTCCACCTTAAAAAGAACTATGGAGCTTTTTTTTCCATCTTTCCATACTTTTTCTATATACGCAATTTCGAAAAATTCTTCTCCTTTTTAAGATTAAAAAAGGCTTACTTCCCTTAAGGGATCACTGGATGGCTCAGAAGTTCAAAAACCTGAATTTCTTTTCATTTTCCGCTAAATTATTTTCGAAAAAAACTTTAACTTTCCAACGAATCTTTTTGAAACCGTAATTCGACTTTGCATGTATCGAACATTTTTAGTTGAATGACGTCGAATACTTGTCGATTGTCAGTACGAACAAGTGCGAATTCTCTCCAAAAAGCCTTCACTGGAAAGATGACGAATCGAGGTGTCAGTTCATCGCCGTCGCGGACGGCCGTCCAGAAGTCAAGCTCTACGATTTGAAGTCGCTTTAAACACTGAAAATCAATCCATAAGGAAATGTTTTAGAACCTTCCCCAACACGATAGCATTACATCTGTGCCAAAAGTCGAAGACGAAAATGACGGCCGTTCAGTGGCATCCTTCGGGAATTCTGATCGCCGGTGACGCCAAGGGCTATGTCCATCTTTGTGATAAGAGGTTTCTTAAAATTTAACAGAGCTTACACGGGAAGTGCAAAAGGTAGAGGTATTGGAATTTAATGAGAAGTGGTATATAGGTACTTTCGGACATCCTGAATTCAAAGAAATTTGAAAAAAAGTGCGCCTTTTTGGTTCTAGTCGAGTTATAGCGCCTCAAAAATTGCACGCGAATATGCACATGTTAGTATAGCCTGTGCACCGCGACTTGGAATTTCAAGGAACGACATTCCGCTGTGCCGCTGCGCGCCTTTGTGAACCTTGGTCGCGCTTTTAATTTTTTTTTCTTTTTTTAAGGTACTCTACTTTCATGTGCTCTCACAACACTAACAATAAACTGAAAGCGTGACCTAGATTCGAAAGACGCTTCGCGAACGCACGCAGCGCAACAGCGGAATGTCGTTCCGTGAAATTTTTGTTCCGATTTTCATTCAAATTTCTCCTTTTAATGAGAGGTTTGACCATAATTGAAAGAAATTTGTAGGAAAGATTTCATTTGAAGGCTGTTTCAAATAACTTCCAAATTTTAAGTTAACAGATCAGTTTGGCATGCTGCTGGAAAAGTCGGTCGCTTTTTTGAAGTAACCATTTTTCGAAAATGGTCAAGTTTTTTTGAGTTATAAATTTTTTAAATGGACAAAATGCGTAGCATTATCAATTTTGGTCAGTTTTTAAGTGTCGAAAAACCGATTATGGGCGGCCCAAAATAGGGTAATTTTTTTCTATTTTTTTCAATAAATTTCATGTGAACCTTTTTACTTTGGCCCCTTTTTGAGCCGTTAAAGGTGTTGAGTCCTACAACGATATTTCGAGAAAATGACTTTTTTTTAAATTTCGGTTAAAAATCGATGACTTTTTTTTTTTTAATTTCGGTTAAAAATTGTCTAAATAGTTTCAAAATTTCGCGTGTAAAAGCCGCCAACTCGTTTTTCTCGGCTCTCGAAATCACGATTTCGCGTATTTCGCGAAATAGCTTCAAAAAAAGTTAATAGATTTAAACACGGCAAAAAAACAAAAATTTTTTTAGCTTGAAAAAAATGAGCTTACGGGAAGATTTCTTATGAATGCTGTTTCAAAGAACTTTTTGAATTATAAATTAATAATTTAATTTTACTTCTGTCATAATCGCTAGTGCTTATCTTTGGAAATAAATTCTTAAACTGAAATTGAATTTTTTTCTTTAATTTTGAAAGAAATAAAAATTGATAGGAAAGCTCGACGCCCTCTCCACTCTTTCTCGGCCAACTGCGCCCAAATCGAACAAATCCGCTGCACGTCCGATGGATTATTCTTCGTCACGATCGATTTGAGCTATCGAGTGATCGTCTGGAACTCACTATCGTTCAAAAAGCTCGCCCAGCACGAGGTGAGACTTCCTCCAACTCGAAAAATTCGGTTTTGATCGCATATAGATTGGCTTAACGGGCAGCGAGCTTTTATAGTTTAAACATTATGCACGCCAAGTGCCGTTATATGAGCTTTGAGCTGTTTAAAGCGCGCGCAAGTAGTTTTATTGTCGGATGCAAACCTTTTCGAAGCCTTTTGTGTTCTTGGCCGTGAAAAAAAGGAAAAAAAAGATAAGAGGTTCTTAGGGTAAACTAATGTTTCTTCACATCTTATTTTTTAAACTGACAAGGTTTCGAACATTTCAGAAAAAATTATCTTAAAATGCTAATTCTAGTTTTAAAAAAATGGAGTATGTGATAATGCGTCTCGGTGTGTTTACACCATAAACATCATAATTTACGAAAAACTTGACTTGCGTGTTAAAAAAAGGCCGTGGTATAGTCATTCCTCGTGCGGTGATTGTGCTTCAAAGAATTGACTTCGAATAAGTTTTCAGAAATTTAATGATCATTGTAAAGTTGAATTTTTAAAGTTAAAGTTGTTCTACGCGGCTCACTCTTTGAATCAAACTGTTCAAAATTTCCTAATTTCTCTGTGCGTTTGTGTGTGTATACGCTGAATTTTTCAAGTCTAGCCGAATTTTTGGACTTCTCAAAATCCAAAATCAGGTATAGCTGATTCACGGCTAGCTTGAGCCATCGAAAAACGGGTCCTGACACGATAAGGAAAAAAATAGTGACTGCTTGGTGGAGAGCACAGACAGGTCACGCCCCAAGTTAGCCGTGAATCGTCTACAGTTGTATTTAATATGGTTTTATAAATAATAATATTTTATTTTCTTGAGGATTATCATAGGTTCCTGAAACCTTGAAATTTAGTAATTAACAAGAAAAAAATAATGATAAATCTAGCACGTGAGGAGAAGCGACTGGTCTTCCCAGCCGAAAGATCTGAGTTTGTATGAAGATGGGAACGTCGTCTGGATCGCCTATCCTCTGGGAGATGAAGTCAAGATTTTGGTCTTCAATAGGGTGAGCTTCATTTTGATTAGGCCTGTGCGTAGGGTCGGGCGGCCCGGAAAAACTCTAAATTATCCTTGGAAAATCATGATTTGTGTTCAATTTTAGGTGAAAAATGAACCTAAAACGGTATTTTTGGCGTAGTTAACTAGAATGGTCACCTTTTGCAAGCTTTAGGGCCCCCTGAGGAAAGTAAGGCGGTTTTTCGAAAGGACCTTGAAGCTGTCCTTTTAGAGGTCATTTTGATTAGGACTGTATGTAGGGCTGTGCGGCCCGGGCCGGCCCAGGATTCGAAAAACTTCAAATACTCGCTGGAAAGTTATTTTTACTTCTTGAACTTCGAGTGGTGTTCATTTTTAAGGGGAAAATGGGCCAAAAACGGGATTTTTGTCGTAGAAAAGTATTATATTAGTCTTGAAGTAACATTGCCCCGGCTTTTTTTTTCATTAGGGCTTACTAAGGCCGGGCAGGGCTTGAAAATAGTCGGAAGTCGATTTTTCATCGGTCCGGCCCTTACACAAGCCTAATTTTGATGGAAAATTGGGAGTTTTTTCAAGAAATCCGCTCTTCTGGAGTCTCATGAACCGCTACGAGGTCATTTGAGCCGTGTCAACACGTGTCAGTTCCGAAACGGGCATCAGCAGGTTTTTTTTTTCGATACTTTATTCGGAAACAATGAGGGAATAGGGCCAGGAAACTAAATTTTTGCTGGTTGTGAAAGAATTTTTATTCTAAACCGCCTTAAGATGCGAACAAAAAATGAAAAAATTTTTTACACAGCTTTGAAAAAAGAAAGTTTTAAATGGTTAGCGAGAGAGTGTTTAAAATGAGAGGTTCAGACGTCGTAATCTTTTTTCTGATTTTACACTTGAATATAGAAACTGTTTTTGAGTAGTAAGGCTGGAAATTTTTAGAAAAAAAGGGGAATGAGAGATCACGCAGATCAGAGAGAGCTCAGAGAAGTGGAGGTACTTTCGTTATCTGGTGTCTCTCCAAAACGCCTTTATTTCGCTCTTCCAATCTCTTTAAAAAAGTTCTAGCATTTTTTATAGAGCAGTTAGTAACATTAGTACAAAGAAAATTCATGGCTTGGCTTTTTTCACTGAAATTTGATAGTTTTAAGGACAATTGGGCTTGTAAAGTAGCTGAGGGAAGCCCAAGAACAACGTAGAACTGAAGAGACGCGAGAGAAAGAGTGTCTTTTTCTTCTCTGGCCTCTCTTCATATCGTAGCTGATCTCTCGCCCAAAGTTTAGCTGGTCGAAAAATATTATTTTAAGCGCTAGTTTTGGACACAGAAACGTCTGAAACTACACTTTTTGAGATAATTCTTGAGAGCAGAGGTTATTAAGTTATTGTAGAGAAAGTTTATGGAAAAACGAAATTTTAATTTTTTTCAACAGATCCTGTCCGGAGGAGCGGATCAGAATTTGCTCTGGTGGGCTCCAAACTCCGACTTTGAAGCTCTGACGAGAAGAGACGAGATCGTGGAGAGGGTCCAGGCTCAGGAAGATAACTGGAGTGATGAAGATTGACCTTTTTTTGAACATTTTTGCTCGATTTGTTTATGTATTATTTTTTTGGGCTGGTCCTGATGTAAAAAGAAATTTGTTTCGAATATTTTTTATGATATATTTTTTTCTTTTTTTATGGTTAGATTGCTGTTTGATTGTTGAAAAATGATAAAGTTGTTCAGATTTTGAATTTCAATGACGTCATTTAAAAGCGCTCTGCATGGTTCGCTCTCTGATTGGTTTAACGTGCCATTAGGGGCGGAGCTTGAGTGATGATTTGAAATTGAAAATCTGTACAGACTGTATGTTTTGGTTTCTTTTTTCTTACACTTTTTTTGAATGTGTTAATGACACACTGGTTTTTAAATTGATTATCAACTTCTTAACTAGAAAAATTATTTCGAATTTAAAAAAAATTTCGCTAGAGCTCTACGTTTTTTTTTTCCTGAATTTTGATTTTTATAAGCAATTTTTCCCATACGTCTTTCATTTCTCATATTGCACATAATAAATAATTTTTGAATTTTTTTCGTTTTTTATTTAATTTTTCAAGTTGAAGACAAGTCATACGTTTGAAGGAAGGAGAAAGTCTTTTTTTTTCAGGAATTTTTTTCAAGGTCAGTTTCCCAGCAAAAATACCGTAATCCGGATTGGAACAAATTTCGCTTCAAGACCTCTTTTTCTGGCTGTTTTGTAGAGCAAGAACGCGAGAAAACTGTGGGTTACGGTAACTTTTTTTCTGTTGGGCTTCCGAAGAAAGCTTTACTACCATTGTTTGATTTGATTCACTCTTGTATAGTCCGTTTTTCGCGACTTCTCTGCGCCCTCCTCGTCTCTCGAGGACCCTCTCTTGTTGACGCGCTATTTCCATTTTTCTCTGACCTCGCCGGTGAGGGAACAGAGAGACGCAGACACTCGAAAACTGTCAAGTCGCGACGGACGGACTATATAGCTGATTCACGGCTGGCTTGAGCCATCTAGAAAAGGGTCCTGCCATGAAAAGAGACGAGACAGTGCCCTGGTTGGTGGAGAGTGCAGACAGGCCAGCCTTTTTGCGTCCCAAGGTAACCGTGAATCGTCTATACTGTACTCCGAGAAGGTGACAAATCTAATTGGCATATGTGGTAATTGGAAGAAGGTGTGTGTTAGTGGGCATTGTGTTGTGTGCGAGTTGCGTCACTCCAGAGGGGTCAGCCGGCGGCTACCGTCCAGTGGAGCTGCACCATCTCACCTCGTGCTCAGATATTCTGACCATCTTTGTCCTTTTTTGTTCCTATTCACCTTTTTTTTGAGCTACTGGTTCTACTCATAAATGTGCCGAACCCACTTAGAAATGTCAGAGTGGTCCCAATAGGGGTTAAGGAAAAAAAATTCTCTTTAGGGGGGAAAAAGAGACCTGTAGGGCTGAAATTCAGGTGGTTCTTATAGGGATTCATGATCTGATCGCTAAGCTTCTGGAGTTCAAATGGTCCCTGTAGGCCCTTCAGAGTGATCCCTAAAGAAGCAATCTTAAGGGCCCTTGGAGGATCTTTTCTAGGAACCACTTTACCAACCCCTATAGGGAACATGCTAGTCGATAATTTTTATGATTTCTATGCAAAGAAGCATTTCCATGCGATAAACTAAAAAATAACCTTTTTTGAATGAAATTGAACGACCCCTATAGGGACCACTTGAGCTACAGGGCCTTAGAGATCAGAACCCCTATGGGGACCACCTTGGTTCTATAGTCAATGTTTCCCGACTTGAAAGGCGAGGGAGGCGTGGCAAGGGGCGGGAAGCGTAGCGTGTGCGTACGCGGTTCTTGGCACGTGTTCAATTCAACCGCTAGCGAGCATTCAGAGAGCTTATTTATCGCTCTTTTTCACTTCTTTTTTTAATTATTTATTGATTATGTTCATGTGTGCATCAAAAAAATAGAAGAAAAATAAAAAAAGAGCGGTTGCCGAGCTTTTTTTAAATAGTCGGCGGCGATTGAATTGAACTGGCGCCAAGAACCGCGTACGCACACGCTACGCGTCCCGCCCCTTGCCCCGCCTCCCTCGCCTTTCAATTCGGGAAACATTGACTATACCCCTTTAATGACTACTTTTTCTGTTCCTCGAGGCGCTTTTTTCTGTCTTATAGGTAAGGTGAAGTAGTCTGTTTTATGGCCAAGTTTTGAAGTGTTTTTGAGGAACACATCTCTGTCTTCTTTTTTGACCTAATCTTTTCTTTTTTTTAACAATTAGTTCTTCTCATACACGGGCAAAGTCCAAGTGACCTTTCAAGGACCTCAAAATGAGAACAGAAGTTTCCTCTAAGAGCCACCTCAAAAAAATGACCTTATTTTAGCCCATTCCGAGTTTTTTGTCGGTTCACGAAACAGTAGTTGATCAAGAACACCGCGTAGATCTTCACGACGCTCCTTGATGTACCAGAAAAGGATCCTGGAAGTCTCAACGTGTACAACTTCTTCGTTTTTGAGATAAGACGCTTCAAACTCAATAAGAACGGCATGTTCTAAAACACGAGCGGTTGTGGGGCACGAGCGGCACGACCGTTACTAAATCACGAGCGGTTTCATCTTCGCTCCTTCGCGAACGCTTCTAAATCACGAGCGTTTTTGGCTTATCGTTCTGTTCGAGCGTTTCTAAACCGCGAGCGTTTCATTTTAATCATTTTCTTTATTACCATCCAAGTGTGTGTTTTTTCATATTTCTACCTTCTTTTTTTCTCCTTGAATAAAAAAATTTTTGACGATCTTACAGTACCGCTCAAAAAGTCTATTAAGTTTTTGGTTTTTTTGGGGATATCTCAGCGAGTACTTATCCGATTTATATATAACTTTCAGGGATAATGTAAAATATACTTTGAAACATATAAGGTATACAAAGACATGTCCGCAATGACTGTGACGCGTTTTTAGGCATTTTTTTATTGAATTCCATTTTTTTGTTTTTTTATGCTTTTTATTTTTTTATTTATTTTTTTATTAAATTTTTTTAAAATTAATAATGTTGCCATATGATTTTTTTCATGTTTTCAAACATGGGAAGAACCTCTGAAAAAAAGAATTTGACTGATAACGACAAAAGAGCCATCGTTGTGAGTCGTCAAAATGGACTGACCATGATGACGTTGGCAGGAATGTTCGGCGTGACAAAGGCGGGCATTTCTCAGTTCCTAAAGCGTCAGAAAGCTCAAGATGGCTCTATCAAGAGCCAACGAACTGGAAGACCACGTGTCACTGATCGTGATGACGATAGAAACATTTTGAAGACGTCCAGAACCAATCCAAGACTCACCGCCCCTGCGATCAGACGGGAAGTTTTCTTGAATTCGCCATCTCCGCCATCCGTCTCGACCGTGAAACGACGTCTGAATGCTGCTGGAATCATGGGAAGACGTCCAGTGAAGAAACCGCTGATTTCTGAAAAGAATCGAGCCGCCAGGGTGAAGTGGGCGAAGGAGCATCTCAACTGGACCCGTCAAGACTGGAACAAGATTCTGTGGTCCGACGAAAGCAAGTTCCTCCTCTTCGGGAGTGACGGAATTCAGTGGGTTCGTAGACCAATTGGGTCCAGATATCATCCGAAATACCAATTACCCACCGTGAAACATGGTGGAGGTTCTTGCATGGTGTGGGGCGCCTTCTCTGGAAGTGGCATCGGACCGCTTCATCGCGTGAACGGCATCATGGACAAGCACGTCTACAAAGACATTCTCCAGAACCAGATGTTGCCGCACTTGAGAGCCATGGGCCGTGGGAGTGTTTATCAACAGGATAACGATCCCAAGCACACTTCACTGTTCGTCAAGGTCAGAAAAATTGACAAGTAATTCGTATGGTTTTTGAAACTCAGGACTGGTTCAAGAGCCGTCGGGTCAATGTCATGGGGTGGCCAAGTCAATCTCCGGACCTGAACCCGATCGAACATCTCTGGGAAGAGTTGGAGCGACGTTGTGCCAACAAAAGAGCCAAGAATTGCAACGAGAAGTTTGCTCAACTGCTGTCTGAATGGAATCAGATCCCCATGTCTACCATCGACACTTTGCTCAATTCTATGCAGAGAAGATGCCAGGCAGTGATTGACGCCAGGGGCTTCGCAACCAAGTACTAGGTCCCGAATATTGTTTTTAACAATGTTTTGTGTTGATAAAAAAATTTTTTTGTTGAGCTATGATTTTTTTAATTGAAAATAGCAAAAAAATTCGATTTTTTTCCAAAAATTCGTTTTTTTCTCGAAAAAAATTATTATTCTTTGAGCTAGCAACTTGAAATTTTTGCCAGAACACGTATGTCTCTCTCAGAAAACTGTGAAAAAATTTGAATCGATATCGCACTTCAAAAATTTATCCCCAAAAACCAAAACTTAATAGACTTTTTGAGCGGTACTGTATATGCACATTTTTTCGCTCAATTTTTTGATTGATTCACATTTGAGAAATTTGAGAAATATTGACTTTCATGCGAGACGTCTGTGAAATATTAGTTTATCATACGCAAAATCTGTGAAATATTGAATATGAAAATCAGATGAAATTATTATGATAAAAAAATTTGCCATACGCAGAATCTGTGAAATTATAGAGACCGCAAAAAAACTTAGAAAAAATCCATTATATGAACCTCAAATGTGAATCAATCAACAAATTGAGCGAAAAAAATGTGCATATAAGATCGTCAAAATTTTTTTATTCAAGGAGAAAAAAAGAAGGTAGAAATATGAAAACACACACTTGGATGGTAATAAAGAAAATGATTAAAATGAAACGCTCGCGGTTTAGAAACGCTCGAACAGAACGATAAGCCAAAAACGCTCGTGATTTAGAAGCGTTCGCGAAGGAGCGAAAATGAAACCGCTCGTGATTTAGTAACGGTCGTGCCGCTCGTGCCCCACAACCGCTCGTGTTTTAGAACATGCCAATAAGAACCCTCAAAATCCATAAAAATAGGATTTGAGCCCTCATTTCTCGAAAACTAGGAAGTTTGTGCAGGTTGAGAATTTCAGGGTCTTCATCCTATCAATTTTCCCGAT